ACCAACTGGGTTGACACATCATAATAGTCAAGCTTAGAAAATACTGAATTATTTATGTACAAGTGATTGGTATTTTGGCAAGAAACAGACTACCCACATTCTAGCTTCCATACAGAAAACACTCCTTCAGGTATTACTGTGGAACGTTTTCTCTATCCCTACTAGTACTGATAAACAATGGCCCCTAAACATTCCTGGAAGACAATCTAAACTAATTCAGTTAAAAAAAAATCATATATATTTTATGAAGGATATATAATTATGAAAATATGCAACATTAACATCATAACAATATGACAACATAACAGAGACATTCATTTTCCATAAAAAAAGTTTAGAATTAGCATATGTCTTCTGAAGGATACCAGCTAATCCTCAACAAGAAAGTGCTGCCATGGTTCTGCCAGTAACAGTTTGTGTCGGGGCCAGACCAATATGTTTTCTCGTTCTGGGAAGAGGTCTTCTGTGTATTTTGTAAAACATGAATAGACAGGGGTTCAAAAATCCCATTGCCCGATGCCCGGGACAAGTCAGTTTTCATTTCGGGCAATCAAATAATGGTATCTTACTTGTCCGCGGGCTACTAGATAATTTCCACTTATGGTTTCAAACTGCAAATAAACTTGGATTTAATTTCATATCTGCTCAAAATGTAGCTATTAAATTTTGCAATGATAATAAAGTAGAGTTATCTTTTTTTGCTATTTATCACTTTAACATCAAATACCATGTTAATTTATTCTTTCATAATTACATCATCATAATTATGTCATAAAATCAGGGCAAGTGGAGAATTAGTCAGGACAAGTTACTTTCTTTAAGTTACTTGCCCTGTGGCAAGTGGCTTTTTAAAAACAATTTGAACCCCTGATAGAGTATGTGGGATCTTGTGAATAAAAGTAAATCACTTAATGAAAATCTTACATTTATCATGCTGTGTATGTTTTAAAGTATAACCTTTTAAAGGCACAATGTCACACCACATTTCTCTATAAATAAACTAATGCATTTCTCTCAATAATACTATCAGCCCTCAGGGGAGCTACCATATAATTTATTCCAAACAAAATTACGTATTTAGATTACAATATTAAATCAAAAGGTTCAAATGAATTAATGCAACGTTGCATTAAATTGACTCTCGCGCCCTCTGATAGCCGAACATTATTTCAAGTGAACCTCATAGAGTTATGTCCCTTGGAGCGCTCTTTACGAATATCCTATAACGCAACTTGTAATTGAAGCCAGTTTGGCAAACATCGACAACACTGCATGCTACAGTTTTCGATGTATGGAGCAATTGTTTACATTCCATATATGGCATAAATTCCCTGTTTGGAAGCTGTTCGCCTAGCAGTTTCAATTATCGATTTCAGGCAAATTGTAAGGGATGATAAGTCTTTTATTGCATCAACCCTATTCCTTGATTGTTTGGCACAATGATATAGAAATTCTGTAAAGAAGAAAACAGACTGGCCTGGCTTTAAGAAGAAAACAAACTGCAGGAATAATGTCAATACCTCCACACAAACACGACAACAAGTTTCATTTCATTAAAAGTTCTCCTGAATTAACAACTTGCAACTGATGTCAATCAACATCAATAACATCAATAGATATTTTGCACTGTTCCCAAATGCATATTACTTACATTTACATACATCCAATGAAATCTCTACCATGAATTGGGAAAATTCTGATTGGTCAATCAGAGGTTTTGAATCACAAACGACCACCACTGACCTGACAACCACATCACCACAGAATAATAATATTAATTCTTGAAAAATACTTCTTTCCCAAGTCATTATTGGGAGACATCTTTCAAAACTGATATGTATAATTATAGGTTATAAAATGTAGAATTACACATAATCTAACCTTAAAAGTATACTTCACAATACATCTGGCATAGGATAGGACAATAGAAATGAACTGGGAGTGTATTTCTGGTTTTTAGTACAACAGAAAGCATGAAATTTGGCACTTTCTACATCTGACTATGATGTCATACTTTCTGCATCACTATCAGTGTTGTGACGTCATAACAGTGACATATGACAGTGATATACAACTGTCAATGCTTGCTAAATTTTCTTTACACCTTTCCATTTCATGCTGGTTAACAAATATACACATTTAAAATGTCTGTAACACTTGCAAGCACAGCATAATGATCTGAAACACAATGTCTGAGTGTATATATGCATATTGTATGGCAATCATAGACTTAAATAATATTTACTTTATGCAGATTAAAGATTCAAACAACCCACTTAATATACTTGCAAACATCATGAGAGGTATAACTCAGTCTTGTCTAAAGGGAGATAAATATTGTATCACAGCAGCCACTGCACTCATCTGATGTCATCCAAAGAAATTTGAACAAAGATCAACAGATCAACATCTTGCCAGTTCTGTATTTTCCACTCATGATACAAGATTACTGACGTAGTATACACAACCTATGGGACTTCCTATCAGGACCCAGGAAGATCTGGGTTAGAATTGATCTTCAGTAACCCATGCTTGTCGGAAGAGGCGAGTAACGGATCGGGATCGAGTGGTCAGGCTTGCTGACTGGGTTGACACATGTCATCGGTTCCCAATTGCATAGATCGATGCTCATGTTGTTGATCACTGGATTGTCTGGTCCAGACTCGATTATCTACAGACTGCCACCATTTAGCTGGAATATTGCTGAGTGCCGCGTAAAACTAAACTCACTCACTCACTCACACTCACTCACTTCTTATGGGAGTACCAGGGGAGACTGTAAATGCCATGTAATCTACATTTGTCACAAAAGACTGGATCAGTTGTCAAGACTGTTGATTGCATGTCATCGTACCCTGATTGTATATATTGATGTTCATGATGTCAATCACTGGTTTGTCTGATCCAGACATAATATAGCTGCAACACTGCTCAGCACAGTGATAAACAACAAACTATAGTATAAACAGAATATACATGAATCTTGCAAACAGGTTCAGTGATGTAATTATTATCAATAAATAATCCACTCCAAATGACACCACCACACACTCACCAATGTCACAGTCACAAGGCTGAATATTGATACTGATAAAATAGCAACTCAATCATCCACTACATAACAAAATGGAGGCCCACTTTAAGCCTTAAGTGTTACTAAGGGGGGAGGGTTGGGGAGTTACACGATCAACAATCAGGTGTCCATTTTATGTTTGTCTTGACAGAGTTATCTGTGCCATGTATAAGACAGATTGTCCCATTATCAGTTCAAAATTTCATCATTAAATGTATAATTACATATATAATGAACTTCAAGTCATCAACTTCAAAAGAGCGGTATGAAGGATATGACTTAATAACGTTTTGTTGCCAAAGGGTCTGTGAACAGCCCCCTTGAAGAGTAAGTCTCAACGTATGAACACGATAACATTCACATTTTTAAGACATAAAAATGTTTGCCATTTAGTATTGTCCTACAAATGGAAAATATCAAATCCAATACAGTATCAAATCCAATACAATATCAACAAAATTGTACCCTGATACTTGAAACATACATATTCATCATAGCTGCACATTTGTGACTTGACGACAATAACAGTACAATGCATAACCATACCATGTAGCACGCCAAACACAGCTGTGACCTAATACACTGACATAACATAGAGAATGCTATCAGGCCATGTGTCACCAGGTGGAGCACGAGGAACATGCTGAATCAGCACAGTTTGTTTGACAGTATTTCACTAAACATTGTCTAAATAATTATCTCATGTTAGTCTTCACCCTGTCTGAAAACTCTGGCCAGAAACCAGGAAATTGATCCAGATAATCTTTTTAAGTATTTGTTTAGATGTGTCATATTTAGATGTTTGTAAAATCAGTATTTCTAAATTCATCTAAAATAATATCTGGAGTTGCTTACCATAAAATTAACAGTTTCAAATTTCATATATGAAAAGAATTATGAAAACAACACCTTGATGGGTTTTTTAAATAAACTTTTGAACTCTTATTAAAAAAAGTGAAACCTGACAGATATGATGATTGTGAATCTATTCAGCAATGATCACAGAATTAGTTCTTGTTGCTTCCTACCCAGTACAAAATGGTGTTTCATACTGATTCAGGGCTCCAGATAATTTTTCATGATCAGGAGTATGTACACCTTATTTATTCAATATAGGAGTACTGGAAAACCTTAAGAGTACATTTAGAGTACTGAATGGAAATTAATGGCGTATCAGTAATCTTGTGTTTCGTTTCATATATGCACCAAAACATTGTTACTCTTGTGTAAACAGGTCAATAAACAATAAAACAATACTTTTTCACATAAATACGTCTGTAAATGATTCTAAGACCGTACACCATTGCTGTGGTGCGTATCTGCTATGCTTTCTAAACTATTTCCTACCGTATCTTGCATATTTTTTATCCATACATACGCCGATACGACCCTTATCTGGAGCCCTGCTGATTTATGAAGTTAATAAGGTATGAAACACATGGTTATGAAAACTATCCCACATTCAGAGAGAGATGTACACGAGATCAGTAGGTGACATTCTGCACCTACTCACACATGTTGAGGACATCTGCAAAATGTCACACAGGTTACAACATCCATCAATTATTCTAGTCCATCTGGTAAAAACACATAAACCATATAACCCACATTCCTGGAACCAGGACATCATTGAGAAAGAAAATGGTACGTGAAAACTTAAGGGAAGCAAAAATTAGTGGGATTGTGTAGTTAAATACATCAAAATGGACAAAATAAAGCAAAATGTTTTTACCCCATGCCAATTATGTCAATGAAATTAGATCTGCTGTGACAAGATTCCTCTCTACATTCTGAACACACCTCCAAGGAAGGTCACGTCAGGTGCACCTCAGCAGACTTTGACCAACCAGTCAAAAAGATGGCTGCATGGGTTCTTATCAGCTGTAAGTTTTCTCAAACGATTCCGCTTCATTTGTTACCTCCTCAATTTGGAAATTTGTTATAGAAACTGCGCTCACAGAACACACATATTCCTTATATGGAAAACGGCACTAAGAAATGACAGGATGTATGAAATCTCCAACATGGTGTCATTAAATTTCTATTTGTGGGACTAGTATAAGTTTGTTTTCAAGAATCTGCAATCAGATAAGCTGTTTGTAAATACTTCAATCACTAATTCAAAGAATTTAAAAGCCTCGTGTTATTCAAGTTTTGAAAGGCATTTAGAAGTTGGACCAACATGAATACATGACACTTTTATGGATAACAACTTCTTTTTATTCTTTACACAACGTTTCAGAGCTAATTCTTGCTCCTTCTCAGTATTCACCTGATGAAGGAGCACGAATAAGCCCTGAAACGTCGTGTGTAAAGAATAAAACGAAGTTGTTATCCATAAAAGTGTCATGTACTCTTGTTATTGGTTTACATAAAAATTACAGCAATAGCCCCTTGCATTACATAATAAATGTATTAACATGAAACGGAAACATTAACATCTCTAAGAAAACACAGAAAACAATGTCTATACCAGTGTGCACATTTAACAGCAATCTATGAGAAAGTAAGCATCTATGTGTTTCTCTCAATGTCTATCATGCTCTGACATTCTATGATGACATACAGTTTTATGACAACAGGCATCAAGGTTACAACACAGTCACATCACAGATTACGGATATTGTGGCTTTACTCTCATTCACTTTTGCCATAAGCCACATGTGATGTTACAAAATGGGTCGTTGGGTTATATTGCAAAAATAATGCATTTTAAATGACAACTAAACTTCAAATCAGTTATGCCTACACCACTTGACAATAGGCTAACTTCAAATCAGTTACGCCTTCACCACTTGACAATAGGCTAACTTCAAATCAGTTACGCCTTCACCACTTGGCGATAGGCTAACTTCAAATCAGTTATGCCTTCACCACTTGGTGATAGGCTAACTTCAAATCAGTTACGCCTTCACCACTTGGCGATAGGCTAACTTCAAATCAGTTATGCCTTCACCACTTGGTGATAGGCTAACTTCAAATCAGTTACGCCTACACCACTTGACAATAGGCTAACTTCAAATCAGTTATGCCTTCACCACTTGGCGATAGGCTAACTTCAAATCAGTTCGCCTTCACCACTTGACAATAGGCTAACTTCAAATCAGTTATGCCTTCACCACTTGGCAATAGGCTAATTTCAAATATGTAATTAAAGGACTAATGCAAAACGTTAGTTCAAGTTCAACAGTGAAAAAATAAAAAAACATTCTTGATAAAAACGGTGAGCCTTCTTTGAATTAAACTCTAATGCTCCACTCTTGATAAGATACTTTTTATCTTTCCATGATAGACATATTCTCATAAACTGTCAAGGGTACTTTACATAGCATGACATCTGAGTACGCCTGAGTAGGTTCCATTGTGAATGCAGAGCATTCTGAACAAACATAGCACTAGCATTTTGTGTTTTCTAACTAAATAGACTGAAACTGTCATAGTAAATAATAGCAAACTAATTGCTACTATTACTTCAACAGACCCCTGTTAAGTATAAAGGAAAGAAAGAAATCTGAAAAAAAATCTGATGAAAAAAAACAGGTAAAAGATACCTGACAAAAAAGGACATTGCACTGTGTCTATGGAATGTGCTCCTTCATAAATAATATGTACAGTTAACACACATGACAAGCTATAGACATTGGGCGCCGAGACACTGCATCTACAGACACCTGCTGCAACAAGCACCTGGGCGCAGTCAGACACTGCATCTACAGTGCTGCAACAAGCACCTGGGTGCAGAGACACTGCATCTACAGTGCTGCAACAAGCACCTGGGTGCAGTCAGACACTGCATCTACAGTGCTGCAACAAGCACCTGGGTGCAGAGACACTGCATCTATGCATGCAGAGACACTGCATCTGCAGGTGCTGCAACAAGCACAGTGCATCTACGGTGCTGCAACAAGCACCTGGGTGCAGAGACACTGCATCTACAGTGCTGCAACAAGCACCTGGGTGCAGAGACACTGCATCTACAGTGCTGCAACAAGCACCTGGGTGCAGAGACACTGCATCTACAGTGCTGCAACAAGCACCTGGGTGCAGAGACACTGCATCTACAGTGCTGCAACAAGCACCTGGGTGCAGAGACACTGCATCTATGGTGCTGCAACAAGCACCTGTTCATGAGTATTCTCCAGTTCAATACAAGTTTCCACTCTCATGCAAGTGTGTATGGAATTACCTTGAAAATTTGTAACCATTTCAAGACTACAAATATAAGAGCCTGAATTTTAGGACTATTCTCATATCTGAAGATTGAACATGTTCAAGAAAACTGGAAATACACATGAGCAAAAATATTTGTAGCCTCCCCATATAGACACAAAAAGGACAATATATTCCAACAGACAAATAATCAATTTGAAATTTCGTAAAAAGAAATTTCCAGTATGATCTGTTGTGGTGACTCCACACCTGTCTGGCATCCTGTAGATGTCATGTAGATGGCCACAATAAACCACAATCCCTGAAGAATGATTTCCTGGCGACTAGATCCATGGAATCACACAAGCACAAGACACTGAAAATACCAATTCCAAATTCCATTGCCCAATATACAAGCATCCTTGTCAAGTCTCTGCCACCACCATCAGGACATTCACGATTTCCTCCGTCAGCTTCAGACCTCACCTCTTCCTTGCCTCTCAAGTTAGGCCTGCACCATCTTCTCCAGCTCCAGGGGGGACTTGGCCTCCTCCCTCGCCTTCTCTTCCTTCAGTTGCCTGGAAAACAGCATTCAGACAGTTACCATCTGGATTATGGATAACTTTCTGTGAGGAGCGAGGTAGTGGTTGTCCAATTAATTGAAATAATCGAAGATTGGTCGCAATGACTAAACGACAAAGCAATCGATCATGTTTTCTCATAATCGAACACACAATTTTGGACCACTTGTTTGCTCTAACAATATTTTTCACAAGGTTGGTTTCGTCTGTTACATTTCATAAGCACTACAAGTTTGTTCCACGTCATGATTGAATTCTGTGCAATGTACAAAAAAGCCCCAAAGAACTACATGTTTTTTCTAGATTTTTTGTGCATTAACACACACAGTCAGGAAGATTTGATAAATGACGCTAACCAATTATTTTCGATGATTGACTGACTGAGTGCCTTTAGTTTTTGTTTGGCTTTTAGCAATATTCCAGCAATATCATATGGGGACAATCAATTGTGCATCAATTATGGTCTTTTAAACCAATTCCCAACATTAGAGATTGATGGTTGTAATGAATCAATCATCAATTTTTTAAACCAATTCCCAACATTAGAGGTCAGGAAGCTTGGTTTAACAGTATTTCAGTAATATCACAGCATTTTCTTAATGTAGGATGAAAGCTTGAAGCTTATTTTTCTGTTTTTTTAACACTGTACTAAGCAATATTCCAGCTTGTTGTATATATATATATGTAAATAATCGAGTCTGGACCAGACAATCCAGTGATCAGCAGCAAGAGCATCGATCTATGCAGTTGGGATAAGAATAAGATGTGTCAACCAAGTCAGCGAATCTGACTAACCAATCCCGTTAGTCGCCTCTTACGACAAGCATAGGTTCCTGAAGACTAATTCTAATGGGGATCTTCTAACTCAGGATAACTGTACAGAAAATTCCTAAAATCTTTACATCTTCATGAAAAGTCTTATGAAATCTGACAGCATAATATATTAGAGCTTGCCAAACTTTAACAAACATGCATGTTAAACAGAAACAGATTAGCAACAACAATCTCTTGTCCGACAGGCCTCATGGAAGATGGCAGACAAGATTATTGGGGCTATTTCGCTATTGTGACAGTTCCCAACTCATTGCAAAACTATTTAACCAACTTTGAAGCTTGATAATCACGGGACGCTGAAATAAAGTATTTGTTTTGGGTTTTCTATTTCAATATGAAAATATTAGTACATTCTACTTGAACAGATTAACAAAATCAAACCATCACTGAACTGCTTTTCAAAATTCTCAAATTTCAAGGTCGAGGAACATGAACATAATAGTGACTACTGGAAATATGAATGGTTGTGAATACTGTTGACAACATTTCAATTCCTACTGAATGAAAGCAATAAAGTACTATCATTGAGAAAACAATGTTGATTTATCATTACTCTCCAGATCGAGTCAGTGACTATGGATTAATTCAACTTTCGACAATATTTTAGTATTTCAAAGCATTCCAGTGACATGTGAACACCCAAAGTCATGAAGGTGTTAAGACGTCTTCTACTTTTGTGACAACCTTGAGCACTGGTATGGTCCTGACTAGTCTAGTAAAACAATCAGGGTGAATGAAACACGAGAGACTTTTGCAGAAAAACAGACCAAATGAAGTATTGCAGTGAGCCCAATCCCTGAACTGACCCCCAAACTTAAGTAATACAACTGACGCTCTGAGATAAATATACAGACATACAAATAATTCACTCACACGATCAGTTCAGCATATCCTAACATGGGAAATTGATTGTTACCCTAAAACCTGACATAAACTGTGTCTGTTTTACCTTGCGACAATGCAATTTGCTTTTCGTCTTCATATCTTTCATTTGACTGATTAAATAAATGTAGGCCATTGTAGAGCTTTACTGAACAGAATTTCAGTTAAATCATAGCACATAGGATGAGGCCAAAGCAAGGCAAGTTTATTTTAGACATTTACCATCTAGGAGCAACTAGCATGAAAAAGCAGGGTGCCAAAAGACCAAAGTGAATAATCTGCTATTCGGACATATAATCCTGGTAAATTAAGGGAGGCAACTCTGCAAGTGACTTTAGACAATCCAGACCACTTCTTCACTTGTGCTTCCATAACCAACAGGTTCTGGTACAGCTAAGGGACACAACTCCAAAGTAGGACTTCACATTGATATATCTACACACATATTGCAGGACAATTGTATTCAGGCTGCATGGTTTCATACAAGTGCATTGAACATATTAGAATTAACAGTTTAGCTGGTGCATTTATCAATCAAGTGATGACAATTTACGCCTCATTTCTCTGTATATTATAGTAATTTTATCAAGCAAGTGATGACAATTTACACCTCATTTCTGTGTAAATTCTAATACTTTTATCAAGCAAGTGATGACAATCTACACCTCATTTCTGTGTAAATTATAGTGCATTTATCAAGCTAGTGATGACAATCTACACCTCATTTCTGTGTAAATTATAGTGCATTTATCAAGCAAGTGATGACAATTTACGCCTCATTTCTGTATAAATTCTCGCAATTTTATCAAGCAAGTGATGACAATTTACACCTCATTTCTGTGTAAATTATAATACTTTTATCAAGCAAGTAATGACAATCTACACCTCATTTCTGTGTAAATTATAGTGCATTTATCAAGCAAGTGATGACAATTTACATCTCATTTCTGTGTAAATTATAGTAATTTTATCAAGCAATTGAGACGACATTTCAGTATAGATTCAAACACCTTTATCAAGCAAGTGATGACAATTTCCGCCTCATTTCTGTGTAAATTCAAGTACTTTATCATGCAAGTGATGACAATTTCCTCCTCATTTCTGTGTAAACTTTATTAAGCAAGTGATGACAATTTACACATCATGTTTCTAAACTCAAGTACTTTATCAAGCAAGTGATGACTAATGAGATGACATTTCAATGTAGATCCTGACACCTACATCAACCAAGTGATGACAACTGAGGAATCATTTGTGGGTAGATTCTAACATCTTTATCAAACAATTGACGTGGCAGACTTCACATGAGCAAGCAGGAAATTAACTGATCAGTGCTGGTCAGTGAGAATGGTTTACATCACTGTTAGCTCAAAGCATGTAGAGGAACTTTGAAGGGAAGTCAAAATTGGAGCAGACTGAGGGAATAAAGACTGTTAGTTCGTTCGTTTCTTTGTTTTGTTTTCTGTCTTCATGTTCTGGAGCTTCTCTGTGCAAAAGTCACGAATCCAGGACAAAATCCACCCGGACAAAATCCACCCCAAAATTGCAACCTAGGACAAAATCCACCTGGACAAAATCCACCCCGGACAAAATCCACCCTAAGAATAAAACAAACTAATGACATGTTTAGTCACAGATGAATTTTATTCATATCAGTCATTCATAATTGAATGATTACGTACTGATCAAAGTGTGAGACTACTTAATGATACATGAAAGAGGATTAAGTAGTGATCAAAATGTGACAAATGGAGAAACATTTAATGTTTGAAACAACATCTAGGAACAACAGCCAATTAGGAAAACGTAAATGCTATCAAAACAATGCTTGAGAAAAGGAACTTGATCAAAGATCAGGACACACTAAAACTTTTAACAATAGCAATTTGAGAAGGGTGGATTTTGTCCATTTTTTTGTTAAGAAGAGGTGGATTTTGTCCGGGGTGGCAATTTTGGGGTGGATTTTGGGTGGATTTTGTCCGGTCACCAAAAGTCACACCAGTCTACTTGCCTGAGACCAGTACATAATTCTGTGGGCAAGTGACAATCCAGTGGTTTTAATTGTATATGATTTACCATTAGTGTCTTCATCCCATTAACTTCTTTGAGTAGAAACAATAGGATGAATATACAGACAAACTTTATGGATGAACAACTATATTCAGGTGTTGCGACATTTCGATACATATTCTTGTATCGTTGTCAAGCAAGCACAAGGACGGGGCAAGGGTGATAAGGATAAGGGCAGGGATGACAAAGAACAGAATGAAAAAACCCGCAAGACAATTTGCTTGACAACGATCAAGAATCTGCATCGAAATATCGCATCACCTGAATACAGAAGTTGTTCATCCATAAAGTCTGTCTGTATATTCATCCTATTGTTTCTACAGGGCCTTAATTATTATGATTATCATATAGTACGTTGAAAGTTAATCAAGATGTTGCATATCAATAGAATTCCCTCACCCTGACCAGATTTATCTATGTTGACAACACTTTATACATTCTTTTTATATGCATCCAAAGACCTGACCAAAGTCCTCATTCTCTGGACTTACATTGTCAGTCAAGATCTAAGAGGTTTTCATACTTTACATCACATTTGATGGCAAGTTTGTTTCTAAACCAGTCCTCAATACTTCAGTTTTGCAACAAGAAAACCTGACAGTAAATATAAATATATTAAAGCATTTGTAGTCTACATCAAGCAGGAAGAGCAACAAACTCTAAGATCTACTGAAATAAGTAAAACAAATCACCTGCGATATTCTTGAAAAGATAAAATCTCTATATCAACATGATCAACAACCCATTTAAATATACTGAGGGAAAAAAATAAGGGATCACATGAAACCACAAGTGTTTTTTTATTTGCTTCCAGGTTTCTTCTCAAGCTATGCAATACAACGCTTGTGAAGAAACCTGGAAGAAAATATAGGAACGCTTGTGCTTTCATGTGATAACTTATTTTTTTCCCTCAGTATATATCAAAAACCCAAATCCAATTAACAAACACTGAATGTTCCAAAAAATGCATTCATCAAGTTCTGCATAAGAATGAATAAGCAAGAAAGCCTGCTGCAGCTGAACGGATGAATGTTTGCCCATGCTGCAGTTGAACAAAGAGCTGCTGGCAGTATACTTACACATGGGTATGTAAATGAATATCAAGGAAGGGGTCAGACCCTACGCTACAGACTTTCTTATCTCCTCCTGTGTTACATTCAGCACATAGTATCTGTAGGGAACAAGTTACACGCAGGTTTCAGAGGAAACAAAACATACTGGCAGCAACTTCTTACTGATCACTGAAAATATCACTAAAATTAAACAAAACATGATTTTTTCATATCATTCTGTTACAGATTAACTATGTTAGCAAAGATCCATTTATAAAGGGCAAGAAATGTGTTAAGAAATTAAATTTGTAAGACTACTAGTACCGTACCATGGCCAGAAAATGGTTCCGTTAGATCTCGCCCACTGCGCAAGGCCCACATATCCAATGAAGGTCTCAGTGTCATTGTACAAAGCAGTCTTAGAGTTACCACTGTCTAAGACTATGTTACGGTATGGGTGATATTAACTTCGCGGTAAGATCACTATGGAAAATGGCACCCTCGCGTAATGAATAGTGAGGTACTTTTTTTAATTCCATTCAGAACTGTCAGTTTATGCTCGTTTCAGGGAAATTAGTTCGCTTGACACTGATTGGCAGAGGAGAGTGTTCACGTGAAGTGAAGGGTTGTGAGCTGCTCCCACAGAGAGGTAACAGTGAGACTGTGAATGAGACTAACTCTTGATATACTTACTTCTTCCTGACATGGATGACAATGACAACTGTCACACAAATGATGAACAGACATGCGCTGGCAATGGCAGCAAATGCACCATGGGAAATGTTAATTCCGTCATCATCATCTGGGTCTTGAATATTCTTTGCTGATGCCGGATCCCCTGAAACAGACACAGGCAGTTCTGAAACCAATGGTTCCAACACAAAGACACAATACCTAGCTGCCCTTGCTCTAATGAAGAAGCAACATTCTTAAAGAACTATTTCCGTATAACGCCGTATTGAGTGTACCATGCTGTGATCATGGCTTTGATTGTGCTCTTAGTAGGCCTAAATAAGAATGTTGATAAATAACTGTTTCTGAGTTGGTTACATTCTATACATTGATAAGGTTCATTAAAACAGAATATGAAATAAACCAGCTCACATTACCATAATGATATGAGGTCTGCCTTGTTAAATCATAAAATACTAAGTGCACCTACAATGTTCAACTAATGATGATTTAAAAATAAAATAAATAAATATATTTTTTTAAACAACTATTTGACCTACTTTGTTCCACTAATTATAGATGATTTACACTCAGGAATTGGGAAAGGCACATGGGCCATTTTGCACATTAGAATAAAATATGGCCCATTAAAATTTTGAAGTTTACTATTGATACAAGGGCAGTGGCCCATTCTAAATTCAGAATATGGCTAATAATCCTCAAAATGGCCCATTGTCAAAATTCTCTATCCCAATCCCTGTACACAACAACAAAATATAAAATCTTCACCAAATCAACCACAATACTGAAACCCATGCAACTATGACAACGTGAATGTGTCCGGACTTTCAGGGTAACACTACCCATAGTTCCCTGTAGACATCCTCTGCCACAAGCCAGCAAGACATGAACGACTGGCCCGTCTCCCATCATCTACTCTACTCAGACGTTACAGACCACCCAATTCTTTCCTATCACTGTTATCAATCTCTCATGCCATGACAGGTAAACTGTATTATAATAAACAATGGTTATAACAAGCTCAAAAGACCATAAGTTTTAGTTCATTGTAACTGCTGATTGTTACACGCATTTTGACTACAATATAGAGAACTCGACTGGGACCTATAAACAGTTCCCTATATCCATCGCCTTGTCATAAGTGTGTTCGTTATAAACATTGGTTTTTGAAATATGACAGAATCATGACAGTCTGAAACTATTTTGAGTAGTGCCCATCAAGTTCAATTTCACCAATACTATACATTTAAAACGAAAAATTCCAATACTTAAAATACAAATTAAATGTTTGGAAAATATCATTTATGTTAAATCCTTGTATCAAAATTCAATTCATTAGGACAAACAATATGGCCACTCTCAGCATTGCTGATGTAGGAAGTACGGTTAAATGCCACTTTTAACAGTGAAATGCACTTACTTATTATAACCATGTAGAGAATAAAACCTCTGCCTCAAGCACAATGAGCAAATGTTTTCACTAAGCCATACCTTATACATATATAAGGACATATTCAAATAATCCTCAATACAAATAACAATATCTACAATTTATCAAATTTTTCAAAATGATCTGATAATCAAACTGAATGATACTTGCACGCTGTGATACCGATTCAGTGCATCCAGCCTTGTTTACAAACAGAAAAGGGTCGTTGTATGACATAGTAGCTAGCTTGTGGCAGTGGCGTGATGCCAAGTGACGGAGTGTAAAGCCTGTCAGGAACAGGCTCAGTGAGGGAATATAGTAAATAGGGTTAAAATGTCAGAAGTGAACTGTCCGCCGTGTCAGAGTGACCTGTCCGCCGTGTCAGAGTGACCTGCAACCTGAACAACCAGGCAAACCTTTTCATCACCTAGATCGCAAAATCCCCCTGAATGATCTGTTTAAAGACTGATAAAAATTATAACATGTTCACTTTTGGATATTGAACCAGCATATCAAACTGTAATTTGTACGTATTGTAATAACTGTAAGACCATATTCAGTGGGGAAAGGTCAACCAAATTTGTCTGAAAACCAATATCAGATTTTCAAAATGGTTTCTCCATCTATGCAATTGCAATATTTCAAATCAAGCAAAGATACAGATCATTCATTTAATGCTGCCAAAATCACGGCTCATATCTGTTATTGATTTTTACCAGGTAACACACTAAAAAGAAAAGGTTAGCCTTTTGTTAAGTAAATTTACAACAATAAAAGCATATTAGTAGTATGGAACATGTCACTGCTAGTAGTCTATCTAATTTCTAGAAAATGGCAATAAAATCACCCCAGACATGTTGAAAGCGAGAAAATCACCCACATCAAAATAATGTTCACAGTGTTACAGCGTTACATATGTTACACCAACATATGGGCACGTGTTAGTACAGTATACCGGCAATCACTAACAAGCAGGTTTAAACACAAATGAAACTTGAAGAGATATTAACTCAGCAAGGGAAGTGTGGTATTCTCCATGCATGGGATAACAGAAGGCAATATCCATCAAAACTAATAATGTAACCAAGGTAACGGGAAACTAGTAAAAGAATTCATGGTAACCAACGTGGTCATGCACAACACCATGTAAGACAAGCATTGGTCAATACCTTTCGTTGTAACTTCGTCAGCTGTTTGGGAGGGAAATAAAAACAACTATAGTGTCGCTGCAGGTAATAATGAATGGTACAACAGTAACAGGAGAGCCTATGTGGCGTTGATATTCAAACATGACTTATGAATAACAAGAAAACAGCTTTATCAATATCCCTGCCTTGTGTCACATTGGAGTAGCTGAGTATGGTTTTACGCCGCTTTTAGCAATATTCCAGCAATATCACGATGGGGGACACCAGAAAATGGACTTCACACATTGTACCCAAGTGGGGAATCAAACCCTGGTCTTCAGCGTGACGAGCCAAAGCTTTAGTGAACCACTAGGCTACCCCAATTCGTAATCCGTCCCAGCAACAATATAATCAGATGTTTGATTGTGAGGCATTTAGAAGTTGGTAGGGTAATACAACACACTTGATATGGATGTGAAACTTCTTTATTATTTATTAGGCAGCACATGGTACTGTCAACAATAACTATTATACCGGAGATGACTGGTTACCTGTGACAAATTAACACTGTCAACATAATTCCATATCAATCAATCACTTTAACTACAATATTGTATTCGTGAATAATTATTCGTGATTCGCTACTCTAATATTTGTGATAATTATCATATTCGTGTATTCATTACAGCTCTACTTGATATGGATGTGAACCTTCTTTATTATTTACTAGGGCTGCACAATATAACCGGCTTACCGGTATTAACCGCTTCAGGTGGGGTGAGGTGAAATTGGGTTTATCGTCGTGCTTGAGAATATTTCGCTCATATGATGACGTGCATGCGTGTGTATGTGATGTGCGGCTGCTTGTACTAGCCCAGACTTAAGCTGGTTTTATAGTGCTAGCCCACTGAGATACCACGCCGCAGTGAAGCATGAATATCCCACTCAGACACAGTATACTGACTCCGAGCCGACCAGTCCTTGATGTACACATTAATGCCGAACGCCAGGCAGGGACCAACAAGTACCATATTTTAACATCTTTTGGTATGACGCGGTTGGGGATCAAACCCGCAACCTTCAGCTCTCTGGACTTGTATTCGGAAAACTTCGTAAAACTCGGAAACCTTGATGATTGTGGCAATTGTGGTAATGGTGATGGGAATGATCGTGGTGAAATTACATTTAAATATTATCTATATTCTTATTTTGTCATGATTAAAAGTTTTTATTAAAGCTTAATGAAGCATAGTGATTTTGTTGTGTTTTATAAATAAAGCGTTAACTTGATCATTAGTAGTTTATTGTTAAAAAAACCTTCTTGCAATATATTGCAATACATATCGCAATATAAGCTTTCGCATCGCAATATATCACAATATGAAAATTCTCTGCAATACCCACCCCTATTATTTACACATGACGTTTCTGGGCTAATGCTTGCCCCTTCATCAGTGAATGACAGTCAATAGTTACAGAGGTATATATAATATGTACAGGAAGCCACAGAGTTGTTTTTACAACAGATTAGTGAGAGAATTAAGTTAAAATAGGGTAAACATAATGTTTGTACAACATGTTTACATAGATTGAATGATCACAGATGATCATAGAAATCCTAGCCGTGAACATTAGCTCTCTGCTTAAACAAAAATAAATGGAAGTTATCCACATCAAACGGTCTAAACCTGAGCTGAATAGGGACCAGGGTGTCTTCCTTCCAAATGCCTGGTGCATCAAACTAATTTCAAACAATGGTCTTTACCTAAACATGCTGTACACCCCAATCGCCTATTCCCATCACTGTAAACCCTTTACTGGCATTAGCCCAGAAACGTTGCGTGTAAATAAAAAAGAAGTCGCACATCCATATCAAGTGTCTTGTACTGACAATATAATCATTAAATATAATCAGAATCAAATAATATGTAAGTAAATGTCAGCTATATTAAAAAGAGTGATATGAAGCCTTCAGAAGAGACAAGTGCTAGTGTGCTTGAAATCAGTAGTTTCTGAGAACAACTGTCCCCAGTGCACGCAGTCTGCACTAAGATGAAAAGCATGGAGAAAGGTGTTAAAAATAAATTTACAACAATTTTGAACCTCATTTTAGATCATGACCAGAAACATCAGAGTGTATAAGCTGACTTTTCCAACTAAAACAAAATGTCTTCCTATTTCGCACAGTATGCCCTAAAACTAAAAGATGGGCAATTCAAATAAAGCTACACATTTTATTCATTGCTGAGTAGTGGTGGTCCGATTAATTGAAATAATCGAAGATTGGTCGTAGTGATTAAACGACCAAGCAATCGATCACAATTTCTCATAATCGAACACAAACAATTCTGGAACACTTGTTTTCATTAACAATATTTTTCACATGGTTGGTTTCGTCTGTTACATTTCGTAAGCACTACAAGCTCGTTTCAAGTCACGATTGAATTTATGTTAAAGATTCCAAGAAATTTATGTTACTAACATACTAGTCATCCTTTAAAGATGTGAAATTTTGCCAAAACCCAAAAGAACTACTTGTTTTTTACCTTATTTTTATGTGCATTAACAAATTTCATAAATGATGCTAACCAATTATTTTCGATGATTGATCGGTAGTAATGAACCAATCATCAATTATGAGATTTTAACCAATTCCCAACACTATTGCTGAGACTAACAAACGCATGTGGACCATTACTGTGATCAACATATAAAAAGGGAATGTTGTTCAATACCAGTCAACAATATTCAAGATACTCCACAGCCTTTACATAGGCCAAGCAAACAAGTGAGTGACAGTATGAGCACCAGGGTACGATGACACACCATCAGTCAAATTGAATACACAGGTCATCAAATTTATACTCATCCACTGGCTCATACGCTAAGGAGGAACAATGTTCTTAATCTCCTGATAACAGTTGTCAAATTTACTCTATTTAAAATATGATTATATACATGTACACAAGATCAGAAAGGAAATAAGTAAAATTTACAATATTGAGAGAACACATGCCATCTCTTCTTGTAATTTTACCAAACTTGTTGGATTCTGGTCTGATTGCCATATATTGTTGGATTGATGTTAAATTAGAACTGAGTTATTTTCTTACAGTGTCATCCGTTATAATATGCTTGTCAATTTGACATATGCATAGATCGTTATACTATGGTTGTATATTGTGTTGCTATTTGATGTCATGATTTTGTACCCAAAAAAGATGAATTAAAAAAAAAAGGAGTGATTACTATGAGGCAACATTCAGGACAGGAATTAGTTGTAAAGAGTAAAACAAGGGAACAAAATTATTACCAAATTCATATTTTTAAAAATGTTAAAAAGGAAAAATACACACAGATGAGTATAAACTGTACTCCATATGAACTCAGTTACCTCAATCACACAATTTATACATACTTGCCATCTCAACAAATGTTTAGAAATATGGCAATAAGGGAACTTACAACAGAAACAGCCATGCACTACCACTAATGTGGTGGAACATACCTTTTGTTGTAAGCTCATCAGCTGTTTGATGAAAGGAAAAGAAAATATCGGTTACTTGTGAATAGGCTACTGGGTGGTACAATGAGGAGAATCAATGATGGAATTATTAAGAAATAGTACGAAAAATTTATTTGATACTGTTCAGTAGACGCGTATGGTGTGACACGTTCAAGAGACAGGTCCCCAGTTATTCATACATATGTGATACTGCATGTCCATGTACAATGGATTTCTGCATGTAATGAGTGAGTGAGTGAGTGAGTTTGGTTTTATGCCGCTTTTAGCAATATTCCAGCTATATCACAGCAGGGACCCAGAAATGGGCTTCACACATTGTACCCATGTGGGGAATCAAACCCGGATCTTCAACGTGACGAGCGAACGCTTTAACCACTACGCTACCCCACCACCCATGTCGGCATGTAGCATTAGAACGTGTCTACAAGTATTATTTATTTAAAACATAAAACAAACTTAAGTAGAGGGATTTAAAGTTATTGGATGGAATCAGATGTAAGGAACTGTAGAAAGAAAAACTTAAATGGTCAAATTTGGTAAAATGTCAGAAAACTTAGCTGTTTTTCAAAAGCATGTGTTAAGAATAGTAAAGCGAAACATATTTGGTAAGGATGTGGAGAGCGAAGAATTGACTTCAGTTTAATCCTGCTTTGAAAGGTATATCAGTTATATTATATCAGTTTGAAGTGGAACGAATGTCCCAAGTGTAACACTTGATAAAGCCTGAAGCAGATGTAAGGTACTGACAAATACTGCACCAAATCAGCGATTAAAACCAATGATCATAGGTTTGAGACATGACAAAGGAACTGATCTCACAGCAAACTGCAGCGCAACCTTGATTACCAGAATGTAAAGAAGACAAACTTCCAAATGACGTAATTTTCGAACTTCAACAGTGAGAAATATCCACATAAATACGACAAATTATGTGAAAAATTGACAATACACAGACCTTTCTGCAGTCAATAATAAGAAATTATTAGACATGTAAGAGTAAGTCTTTGTTGTCAAACAAAACACAAAGCCATATATTCCTAAAGTAAACTAATAAATGTTTAATGATATGTGCCAAAAAGGTCCAAAATAGGAATACTGACTTGAAACACAATTTTGAAAAGATTGATTTTTTAAGTTTCTTCTTGCACACTAGGCATCTGATCATTCCTAACACTGGAATAGCGTCAGAGATTGGTCTTGCCTACCAACAAATACATTTAAATCAACATGCATGAAATTTCTTTTGAGTGCCTTTATCAGCCGTGTGATTCATTTGACGACAAAAACAGCAGCAAATACCAATGCATGCAAACTAAAATAGAAAAAAGCCCACAGAGTGAAATGACTGTTTACAACAATTATACTACCTTCAGTTACATTGATTTGATCATTATTTGTGTTAACTGTAACACCTGCAGAGCCATCCTCCGTCTCATTCCCTGGAATGTCAGCCAATACAGAACATATTTAACATGATAGTATGTAGCCTTGAACAAAGGGAGATGACCCATGTTAACATTCTGAATTACCTCCCCTTGACAAAAACTACTCATTCAGCATCCAAATGAATCATGGAGATGAAATGAATGATTGTCTTTTCACTGAAAGCATGATTATGTTAAATGAAACCCTGCATTCTAACTGCACATAGTTCTTTGGGAGTACTGACTGAATCAGGGAATGTTGTATCATTCCAAAGTCAGCGATATTGTTCAAATCTCCATGAGAAAACTATGCTTCATCATGAAATAAACAATGCCTCATTCTTAATTGTAATTTATCATTTAAATATCTTACATTATATAATAAATCTAAAGCATTTGTGTATTTTTCTTTGACAAAATAGCCCCATACCAATATTCTGTAACTGATTTCTTTTGGGCCCAATGTCTGTTTTGCTTTGTGGAAAGTCATGTTTTCAGTGCCTGAAGTTTTTTTTCAATGCATGGCAGATTACACAGTTTACAGTTTTAGAAAACAACACTAGCTGGTTCCCCTACCTCCGAAAATACATTCCATCACCAATACTGTGCACAGTAAATTAAACATGCTTCATGAGCATATCAAGCTTTTCAACACCGAAAGAATACAACAGAACATTTTTTAAGTTCATGAATGTTCAGAATATTCAATAATACACAGTCTGTCAGCACCAAATAAGTGATTCCTCATTGCCTGAACAAAAAATTTGGATTGTCATGTGTAAACGATCAATGTAGACCATGATTTGATGATGATGATGATGATGATGATGATGCTGATGCTGATGCTGATGCTGCTGATGATCTTTAAGATTTGCTACTTACGGATGCATGTTATGTTGTTTGCATCATACATGTAGCCTTTACAACACTCTGTCACAATCTTGAACTTGGCCTTTGTGTCATTCCGCTCCTTTGTGCATGGGATCTTCCTGAATGGGAAAATAAGTCAATATAGTGATTTTTGACACACTTGCTTGAATGATCACATATTTCTTTAAATAAAAATATCAGTTATCCTACCCAAGAGCAAGTCAGGATAAGGTAAAATCACATACATCCACTCAAATGAGGTAGGCCATTAACTTGGGGCAGATTGCTTTTGGTGAACGAGTGTTAAATATCATGAAGATTTAAACATTTATCAGAATCACATGGGTTAAAGACATGCAACTGATAACTCGAGGGTTCATCAGTCTGTGTGACATTTAAAAAGAGGATGACCTTACACATATCTATCACTTTGATAAAAGTAGGACAGGTCTGAAGTTGTCAGACCAAAGGTCTGATTGTACACTGAGACTCTAAATGGTCAATCATGTGGTAATTAGATCTGTCCCTTCTTTAAGAAAAATAAATAAATAAAATCCTTACCAAGCATATATAACATACCAAAACAAGCATCATCTTGTTATGTTACAATGAGCATGACAAATTTGCTTTTGAATAATTTGAATGTAACTCTGTATAGATGATGCAATGGTTAAACGAATGCTGAGGTGTTGTTCCAGTTTTGATACAACCATGGGTATCCATGATGCCACATCTCCATTTTCATTGACGAGGCCTGGCAGTGGTGTAAGACTTCCAAAACATAAAAAAATTCTCTGAGAGAGAAAAAAGAAGCATAAAAATAACCATCAAACAGTCAGCTGTTCCCACCTGAGTGAGTGAGTTTAGTTTTACGCTGCACTCAGCAATATTGCAGCTATGTGGCGGCGGTCTGTAAATAATCAGGTCTGGACCAGACAATCCAGTGATCAACAGCATAAGCATCCATCTACACAATTGGGATATGACGACATGTGTCAACCAAGTCAGCGAGCCTGACCACATGATCCCGTTAGTCGCCTCTTACGACAAGCTTGGGTTACTGAAGATCAATTCTAACTCAGACCTTCATGGGTTGTTCCCACCAGAAGAAAAAGGTAAGCAGGACAGTCAAAACTTCACCAGTCCAAATACATACTCGTAATATGTGCACATCTTGAATGTAAACCAGCCACATCTGGACTGGTAGGACTCTGTGCATAGTTTTTGGCCATACTGGTTTACATCTGGCTTCATTATCTTGAGAGAGGTACAAAACTTGGCTCTGAAAGTACATGGAAATACAGTCTTTGAAACTCATTATGAAAGTCATGGGGTCCTCGTCACAGCTCCACTGTTAAAAGTAGGGCTGCACAATATAACCGATATACCGGTATTAACCGGTTCAGACATGAAAACGATAAGTATTGCGATACGCTGATAGAAAACCGGTATTTTGACTTGTATTCGGAAAACTTCGTAACACTCGGAAACCTTGATGATTGTGGCAACTGTGGTTATAATGGTGGTGGGAATGATCGTGGTGAAAATTACATTTAAATATTAAATATATTCTTATTTTGTCATGATTAAAAGTTTTTATTAAAGCTTAATGAAGCATAGTGATTTTGTTGTGTTTTAGCTTTATAAATAAAGCATTAACTTGAACATTAGTAGTTTATTGTTAAAAAAACCTTCTTGCAATATATTGCAATACATAAGCTTTCGCATCGCAATATATCGCAATATGAAAATTCTCTGCAATACCCACCCCTATTATTTACACATGACGTTTCTGGGCTAATGCTTGCCCCTTCATCAAGTGAATGACAGTCAATAGTTACAGAGGTATATATAATATGTACAGGAAGCCACAGAGTTGTTTCTACAATAGATTAGTGAGAGAATTAAGTTAAAATAGGGTAAACATAATGTTTGTACACCATGTTTACATAGAGTGAATGATCATAGATAATCACAGAAATCCTAGCCGTGAACATTAGCCCTCTGCTTAAACAAAAATAAATGGAAGTTATCCACATCAAACGGTCTAAACCTGAGCTGAATAGGGAATAAAGCGTTAACTTGATCATTAGTAGTTCATTGTTAAAAAAACCTTCTTGCAATATATTGCAATACATATCGCAATATAAGCTTTCGCATCGCAATATATCGCAATATGAAAATTCTCTGCAATACCCACCCCTAGTTAAAAGTTAAAAATGTCTGGAAGTACCTTGATTCAAATACCATAGGACAAGACTTCAAATACCTCTGTACCTCTCTGAATCCTTAAATGCAGAGGTATATAGGTCATGTCAGTAGGACTGCACGGAACTACCGGTACATCGCAATACACCTTCCAAACGATACGTATAACACCTATTGCAATGTTTTTGCCCAGAACCGGTATATTGGGTATATATATTGTATATGTGAAGTTTTGAGATTATGTCTATTTTTTAAGTTAAAATCTACACAGACTTTCACTGAAGTTTTCCATTGTAATTAATTGACAAAACAGCATACTTTACATACATTTTATAAAAAAAAATGCAATCCCTCAAAGTCAAAATCAAACCTAAATTTGAAATTTCTGTTATCTCAACCATTAAGTTCATTATTATTGATTTAGTTTGTAGAAAATAGGCTCTGCATCAGGGGTGGAAATAACCCATTGACGTCCGAGTCCAGTGTCTTTTCCTGTCGGGCAAGCAAATTTGTATATCACACTGTACCGGTGTCCAGTTGACTTTCCAATGTTAATTATGTTGTTTATTTAAAAAATCAACAAGAAACGGACGGTCTAGCGGAAAAATTATCAGGGCAAGTGACTTTACATGTGCCACTGTACCGGAGTACACTAGCAATTTTAAAGTTATTTCCACCCCTGTGCATGTACAATCAATGTCACTCACTGTCAAACACTCAGGTTCCCAATGCAATGTATATTGCAATACATATCAGAATGCAGGTACCAGAATCACAATATATTGCAATACAATTTATTTGCCAATACACAGCCCTACATGTCATACAATGTTTATGTAGTATGTCATATGTGAATATTAACAAAGCACAATTCTGATTAGAATATTCAACAAAAGCGTACTGTTAACATGTCACATTCCACTGTACCTCACTAGCCTAGTTTACCTTCATGCTGGCTCTCACTGGCTTAGTGCTACCAGATCACAACATAGATTTCAAAAGAAATTTAGAATGCTTGTCTTCTTACTAACTGTGGCTAATCAAATCCTTGTTGACAGATGTTACATCTGTCTGATCAGTTTGTTGCTTCTACTAAAAAATAATTTGAATTAAAAAAAATATTTTGACTTGTATTTTAATAAAATAATACAAATATTTGTAACCAGTTATCATAACATGATATGGTAATTCACCAACAACTTTATGTCAATGAAATATATTGGGATGAGAATGAGTATGAGTGAAAAAAGAGGAAAATGAGCCGGGGTTCTTGGCGGCCGCAAGATTCACAATAATGACCCCAGCGTGATCAAATCCGGGGAATTACCGATGATCATTCATTCGACTTCTTGTCATTTGTTTCAAGACACAATTTGTCAACTTTTAAAAAGATAAACACATACATTGGTGCATAATTTGTAACATTCTCTGTAACATTTATCGATTTATGGTAATGCAAGCATTTTCACTATTTGTATAATTTTGGTTCAAAAGACTACAAAATTGAAACACATTTCTAATGTCGCCCATGTTCTGCACAACTTGCAAATCTGCAGTACTCAGGGCTCCAGATAATTTTTCAACATCAGGAATATGTACTCCTTATTTTTTCAACATAGGAGTACTGGATAAACTTAAGAGTACATTTTGAGTACTGAATGGAATTTAATGGCGTATCAGTAATCTTGTGTTTCGTTTCATATATGCACCACAACATTACTACTCTTGTGTAAACAGGTCAATAAACAATAAACAACACTCTTTCAGCCAAATACGTCTGTAAATGATTCTAAGACCATACACCATTGCTGTGGTGCGTATGTGCTACGTTTTCTAAATTATTTCCTACCGTATCGTGCATATTTTTATCCGTACATACGCCGATACGGCCCTTATCTGGAGCCCTGAGTACTTATTATCGGATCGATAATATGACTGATATGTATGTATTTTGATGAAGCGGGGATGGGAATATATTTTCCTTCAGGGACAGAGGGAGTAATTACTCTTGGAATTACAATGTATTTATTTAGTATCATGGACCTGTGTAACTGGAATCTGAATAATAAAATAACATTGTTGTGTCTGCATTGTACATGACATGCAAGGTGCTTTGGAAGGAAAGCACACTCATCGAAGTCGTGATATTAACTGCCTTTGACATGTACACGAGGTCAGGGGGAGACAATGCAATCATTTATCAGCATGTCCCAACTGGCATGTTCCTGATGGAAAAGTAAGCAGCCTTATTTTTGGAGTTGTTACCTCTGTTTTTAACTAATTAGCAGGGCTGCAACAAATACACTATGGGGTGAATAAGATATGTTTTATGAATATTTGGTAACAAATACAAATATTTATTCATGAATACTTTATGGTTAATATCAAGAAATATACAAAACAAACATGTCATGTAATTGCCAAAGCTGAACATTTAAATATTTTCTGCAAGGCATAAAATCAATACATTGCGAACAATGCCGCTTATGGCCTAATGACAATGCTGTAAGTGGTCTTTGCAACTGCGCTGCCTTTATATATTCCATTTTGCTTATCTCAATTAGACAAACATACCAACTCAAAACACTTCAAAAACTTTTTTCATAAAATATTTGCAAATATTCAATTCTAGTGACCATGAATAATGAATTGAATTCATGAAGGCAGACAGTTTGATTCAATGAATATGTGAGTGAATTCAGTACTACTAATTGGTATGACTTACGTGGGACAATGTGACATATTCCTTGATGAAATAGACATCATGTTTTTAGAGCAGGACATGTTTCAATGTTGACGATTCTTGTTGTTTATTGGATACATTTCTTGACTGACCTGACATCCTGTGTTTCCATCATTTGGTTACATTTAAAGTAGTGTGTACATCACATTGTAGGGAATTGGTTAAAATCTCACAATTGATGATTGGTTCATTACAACCGATCAATCAGCAAAGATAATAGGTTAGTGTTATTTATCAAAATGTCCTGGTTATTTTTGTTAATGCAAAAAAAAATGAAGAAAAAAGCATGTAGTTCTTTGGTTTGTTTTTTTTGTTGCAAATTGCTTATCTTTAATAAAGGATGAGATGTATGTTAGGAACATAAATTTTTGGGGGTCTTTACGATAAATCCAATCATGACTTGGAACGAGCTTGTAGTGCTCATGAAATGTAACTGACAAAACCAACCTTGTGAAAAATATTGTTAGTGCAAAAAGTTCAACTGATGAAGGAAACTGTAATGATCCTGAAACGTTGTGTGGGAAATAATAATAAAGAAGCTTAATCCACAAAAAATATCTTGGAAATGCAAAAAGTGTTCAAGAATTGTTTGTGTTCGATTATGAGAAAACATTATAGATTGCTTGGTCGTTTAGTCACTGCGACCAATCTTCGATTATTTCAATTAGTCGGACCACCATTAGTACATCAGATGTTCAAGTAGGGCTTTGTTCTACGATATATAATATGAAGGCATTTCTGAAAGACTGATGTTGAATAGAGAGACACGCTTATAGTGATTAGTGTTTCTTTACAATCATGATTTAGAGGCCAGTGACACTTGTTCAGAAAATAACATGTTGTAATATCAGAATTTGTCATACTGTACAATCCATACATGGCCAAAAACCTTGCAAAACCCTAGAATTGTGTGATGTACTAAAATAGACATGATGTTTCTTTAGAAAGAAATATCCCAGGTTATGACTGACCCATTTGGCTTAGCCCTCTAATAGCCCATACGCACTGCCTGTGTAAGATGTGATGGCCATCCGATTTACATTTTCTAAGTTGAACGACAGATTTGTTCGCAGATATGAATATCTGAATTTATGTTCATAGAAATTGATGGTACAATTAGCAAGTTGAGAAAAACATACAGAAATGGAATTTTGTTAGGTAATAGCCACATGTTTGGTGGTAATACTTGTCCAGCATATAACTAGATGACTTTGCACTATACCATGGTGTGCTCACTTTGATGTAGGCCTTAGCTGGAGTTTATTCATATAAACTATAGTGGAAATACCTGACACCAATGTTACGCTGAAGGGGTTGTTGTCGGCACAGGTACTACAGATACGTACCGCAGGTGCGATTCTGTATACAGATATGTACCTTAAACAAAGTCAAAATACAGAAACGTACCCGGACCCTAAAAGCCGCATGTGTAGTTGTTCCTGTTTAACTGATTGCAATTGGTATTCATATGCATCGCGAAATATCTGTTACTGTGTATTCTCATTACTTACATAAAGCAATCAAATGTATCTAATACAACACATGACAGTTCAGATCAAGAATACGACACAATGGGAATGGAATCGTCCTAGGGTACATTTCTGTATACCCAGGGTACATATCTGTAGTACCCGTGCCGACAACGACCCCTTCAGCAATATTAATAATTTGACAGGCAAGAAAATTGTTAAAATGTTTATAAGTATAAAAGAGAACAAGTGTATAAGTATAAAAGAGAATATCTTCAACAAAAAACTTTGCTATACTACTTAATTTTATTTTAAAATATTAGGATGCTGTTATCATGAATATTTTCCAAGTAATTTTTGAAGGAAACAATCTTTAGAATTGGATTCCTGTAACTGACAAAGTTGTGCTTCTATTTATTTGACACCAAGGCTGCTCAGAGCGGCTAGCACACTTTGATAATTGATTGTAGATAGGAAGCTGATAATAGGTCTACTTACTCGGTTTGTGTCGCGAACAATAGGAACGTCAGTGCCAACATCGCCACCAACTGCGTTGTTCTCAGGTAATGTTGTTGTCCAGAGGAGAAGCGATTCTTATCATCTGAGGCCATTTCAGACACAATTCAATGACAATAGTTGGAACAAAATTGAAAGTATGTCCTCTTAATATTCAAATCCCGTGATGCGAATCAGAAAGCGCGAATAGGTACATCTCGCTGCCTACGTGAACTTTGGTCTCCTGAACAAAAATAAGCCGCCATAGCCGGAAGTGCAGTGACGTAGCAGACGGACACTTCCTCTTGTCTGATTGTCGAAAAGAAGGCATCTGTTCTGAAAACGGATTTATTTGAGAAAAGGAACCGAGTGGTCCAGTTTATTGACTGGCATTTATCATCCAAAACTGTGTTCCACAGGAGATATCGCTTGTGTGAGATCAAACGATATCTCCTAGGAGATATCGTTTTCACAGTAGATTTTGTACAATGCCCTGACAAAAATGCTATGACGTCATGTACTTGATGACGTCACAATGCTATGACATCGCTGCACTGCAAGTCTAATGGCAGTAAAAAGTTCAGAGATGTACATTTTTCATTGAAAATTAATGAAGAGTGATTTTGGATGATAAATAGAATCTCACCCTCGTGTCTTCTGATATCAAATATATCAACACTCGTTGATAAAGTAAAAATATCCTCGGCAAGCCTCGGATATTTGTAACTTTAGATCTATCAACTCGTGATGATGTAATTGATATCAGAAGACACTTGGGTGAGATTCTCTATTTACTCTCTGTCTGAATATTTTGAATAAAAAAGCAAACTAGATTTCATTTGAAAAAGAGTCCATGGGGTAATCAGACCTAGTCCTGTGGGAAATCGACCTACTTCTGTTAGAATTATGGCAGTTGAACAAGGACTAGGCGGACGGGAAAACAGAATGGTTTACGAGCTGGGGCTTTGTACCCCGATCAGTGGACTGCCACCGAGCCTTTAAAATAGGTCACCTATCCATCAATAAAATAAGTGTATTGTCATATAGTATTCATGGAAATAGAAATGAAATGGTTTTGATGTTAATTTGATAGTTTGAGAACAATTAACAAAATGAGGGTCGAGTCGATGCATGCGCTCTGATATTTCATATCGAGCGCAAGACTAGCTTTTGACCTAATAGATATCATCTTTAGCATCTAAATTCACATAATATTCATATTAATATTGTAATATTAATTCTACGTTGAAAATTCAATAAAAGATATAAATAATTACAACGTACCTATGCATCAAATTTATTATATGACGTTTACTGTGTGAACCTAACACTCGAGTCAGCCAGAGACCATATACCGATGGTCTCTGAGTCAGCAAATCAGTTCATTAAAAGTTAGTAACTTGCATGATGCGATCCAGAATTGAAAACATGGACCCAACTTAATTTCTGAATGGACCACTAAAATTGAATCGGGGGGATTGAGTCATGGGCCAACGCCTAGAATGAACTCGGGGTATACATTTGATCATTGTAGTGTATTGGTGATAATAAGTTGTGTCACTAGTATTATCTGGGTGACAAATACAGGATATTACTATCACAGACCACTAAAGGTCAACCTAAACGTCACACACCTGGGCGGGAAGGGGGCTCATTTATTTCATAAACATACACCAAAAGCATCTTTTGTTGTACATCACAGACACCGGTTAACGTGTGTGTTTGATTTGTTATTGATATATATGGCGTATTACATATTTTGTGATATCAATTTTCTACACATGTACTGGGGAGGGGGGTCAGCAAAATGGTATATAACATATTAAAACATTTTGCTAACAAAGTAATGGATGGGGGGTCATTTACTCTGTACATAAATTTTAGGGGGGGGGGGGTGGCATTCGCATTGTACATGCTTCTCCGTAAAAATAATTTCCATACGTACGCACGCACACAGACACATTGCCGTTGTATCACTTTTGTGGTACACATATCTATTCACAAAATTACGTCAAATTTCGATGAGTATGTAGTGTCATGCTCGTTTCGGATGTGAATGTATATTTTTATAACACCCACTAACCTTTGACACTTCAGAAAACAAAACATTTCCATAGCGCATGCGTTAACTCGACTTCCTCCACGTGGGTTCGACCATTTTAACAACAAACCAGAACAAGACGATTGCAGAAGAAGAAGGAACAAGAAACATGGCTGAAAAACGACCACGTATGGAGGCTGATGGCAGAGAAGATGTGGACGAAAATACTAATCAGTCAAATGGAACTTTCATGTTTAGTGACAAACCTTCACTAGAAGAAATGTAAGTTGTTCATCTCTATGAACCATTTCGTGCACTTTACCGGGCGCACTTTTTCAGATTAATTAGCGCCGCTGGGGTTCCCTAACCCTAACCCTAACTGAAATGCTTAGAAAAATGTTCAAATTTAGCCCGATCGGCCTATAGCAAAATAGGCATAACGGCTTATAATATCCTGTTCGGCCTATTATAGTCCAATCGGTCTCTCAGATGTGATCGACGTATCCTCTTTCCTTCAGATCATCGACAGATGTTTATTTCGAGTATTGGTGGCTGACTTGTCGGGCCAATATGTTAGTCAGGTGTGCCATTGTGCACTCAGATTACTTTCAACTATATAATAAACAGATTGTTTATCGTTAAACCATTAATTAATGTCGCACTTCAATCTTGCCGTCAAACAATAATAGTCCAGCATTATAAACTAGACGACTTAGCACTATACCAAGGTGTGCCTGGCAACTCGATGTAGGCCTTGGCTGCAATACAAGTTTATTTATATGAACTAAAACCATATAAGATATGAATCAGTAATTTTAGGGCCCCATCGAAATAAATTAATAATGAAGCATAGAACTTTATGAATTTCGTAGTTCATATAAATAAACTCGCATTCCACACCTTGGTATAGTGCTTAAGTCATCTAGTTATATGCTGGAGTATGGATATGGATAAACTTCTTGTTTATTGAATAGAGCAACATTGTCAAGATAAATAGAGATTATTAACCGCGTGTATTTCCATATCATTAATATCATATAATAGGAATATATTCCTAATATATGATATTAATGATACGGAAACACACGAGGTTAATAATCTCTTTATCATATAACGTCATTCTTAAAATTACTCTTAAAAAAGAAGCAAATTGTACTTGAATTTATATGAAGAGAATCGAGCATTCGCGTAAGAATACTTAGCGGTACACCAAGGTGAAGGTCGTTTATGACGGCGGCATATGGTTGTGACTAGTTGCTAATACAGTGCCAACATAAGTCATGCTTAAAATAAGATCTTTCTGTCTAAAAAGAACAACAAAATCAGGCAGGGTTTTCCTAGCAGTGTTTCTAATTTCATTGCGGGTAATCACCTCATCAATATCAGTTTCTGATACCTGACAGAATCGATTCGTCGTCTGTATTGTGATCGATAGATCGAAATGCTTGGTTGGTACCTTTCTTAGATGATTGCCTTTCAGTCGTGCCTTATAATCCGTACCCTCAATTTGAACGAAGTACTCCGTTTCATGTTCTCCAAAGTCAATTACTGCAGTAACGATTCCAGAACCTCTGTCATCAATTCTTACAGAATCACCAATTTTGAGAATGGGGGCAGCCATGTTTGTTTACAAACAATGTAAACTCGCTACGACGTCATCAATAAAATGTTAAACGTTTTAGGATTCACTTGGCATGTATGGAGTTTTGTGAATGTAGTTCGTGGATTGATGTAATTTGCATAGTTATCAGATTTGGATACCAAGTTTATCAGATTTGCTTTATTGCACCGATAACACCCTCCATTAGGTGATAAAAGTAACTACAACCAGATGATGATGATTTGGAGATTTAACATGCACTTTTGTTATGACAAACAACAGATTAACCTCATTACAAGTGGTACATAATTGGATGAGATCAGGTGGTGAGTAAGAACAGGAAACCAATAAGCAAGAGGGATTAATTAATAAAAGTAAAAGTACTGTATCAGTTGCACCTATTATATCAGGAAATGTATTGCATCACGGCCACGGCCTCATCATATTGCACCTGTGTAACTGATACTATCAAATTATTTTCAAATTTTGTTTTCAGCCGAAAGATGTCAAGCAAGTTTGCAGATGATCGTGACTGGAACCAGTTCCATACACCCAGAAATTTACTCCTGGCGATGACAGCAGAAGTTGGAGAGCTTACTGAAATATTGTAATTGTTGCATTTGTCATTGGCCCTGCTGTGACTTGATGTAGTTAAATATATAAGTTTTGTAGATGATTAGGTATACAATCATTAGACACCTCTATCACCATGGTAACAAAGGCTAAGTTTGGTTGTAAGTTTGCAAGAAATACACACCATTGATGCCATTGCCACAAACCTACAGTAACAGTGTAAAAAATCATGACACTGTGGAACCTGGTTTTTCTCAGACACAACTAGCTTTTTATGTCACGTTGCACTTGGCATATACTTAGTTACGTTCTTTTTATCAAGCCCAGCATTATGTCATCTCAATGGGGAGCAGGGGCTTGATTGGTGTAACCATGACAACTTCAAAAATTGATTTCTCTTGTAATAGGAAATTATTCAAAGCAATGACCATTATCTCTACACAAGGAAATGGAATGACACTTTGAATATAGACATTGTATGAAATAATAAACCTTCGAAAAGCTGATAAGAAATATTCACCACATTTAAAAGATTAATGTTGACTTTGTTATCCCCTAAAATCATTTACTATGGCCATGATTATCATATTCTGTGAGGTTTTCTGACTTCATTTTCTGTTACAGTCAGTGGAAGGGAGAGGTGAAGGAAGGGCTACCAGGTTTGTATATGGTTTCAAAACAAATCCTCCAAGTATTGGTCTCAGTATGAATTGGTCCCCAGCAGCCAATGAGTGAGTGAGTGAATAAGGTTTCACACCACGTTCAGCAATATTCAGGCAATATTTCATGGGGACACCTGAAATGATCTTCACATTGTACGCACTTATCGAAGTGAACCTTTGAAGTGACGAGCAGAATCACTAGGCTACCCTACTGCTCCTCAGCGACCCATGAAGATCTGGTTTGCATATGGTCTTCAGCAACTTATGCTTGTCGTAAGAGGCTACTAACAGGATCAGGTGGTGAGGATGATACAAGGTTGATATATTTCAAAGTATGCCAGTTGTGTAAATTGATGCTTATGATGTAAATCTCAGGATTTTCTAGACCAGACTAGATTATTTACAGACCAATGTCAAGTAGCTGGAAAATTGCTGAGTGCTGCATTAAACAACAAGGAAACGCAGCAGCCGGTGCCTATCATGAGAGGTCACTTGATGGTCAGATGGTCAGACCTGATGACCTGGTTGATAGCTCGTGTCCTGACAGCATACATCATGGCTCAATATCTTGTTTCTTGTCCAGATTTGAGTGTCTACAAGTTGAATTATTCCTTTCAACTCATCCTTTGAAACTGTTGGCAGACCTGCAAACCAGTGATTAAAGTTAAAAATACTTCCTGATGTATCCATGACCAGAGAACTGTAACAAAACTGTTCAGGGCGCAACCTTTGAGCACTTGGCTGACATTAGTGTGTGTTGTTGAACTCATCAATATTCCAGTTGTAGAAATAGAAATAGCATTATATTTGTTCAGCTAAAGCACATCATCAAAATGAATGTGCAGGATTATCAAGGAGAACGGTTTGTTAAGGTAGATGATGTGTCCGCTTTTTTTGTGCATAACAATATGCATTAGTCATGTCAAGTTGAACACAAGTACTCAAGGGCGGTGGGGTAGCCAAGTGGTTAAAGCGTCCACTTGTCATGCCGAAGCCCCGGGTTCGATTCCCCACATGGGTACATGTGAAGCCAATTTCTGGTGTCCCCCACTGTGATATTGCTGGAATATTGCTAAAAGTGGCATAAAACCATACTCAAAATGTACATTCAAAATTACTGCATATTTATCCTCTAGACTGACTGACTGACTGACTGAGTTTGGTTTTACGCCGCTTTTAGCAATATTCCAACAACATCACGGCGGGGGACACCAGAAATGGGCTTGACACAATGTACCCATGTGGGGATTCGAACCCGGGTCTTTGGCGTGACGAGCCAACGCTTTAACCACTAGGCTACCCCACCTCCCCCTTATCCTCTAGAAGGTCATGGAACCACTTAAATACTCAATGCCATGAATTGTTCTTCAGATTTCTCCGAGGCAGAAAAGCGGCATGTTGGTCAGGAGATGAGTGATGTATTACTGTACCTGGTCCGGCTAGCCGATAAATGTCACATTGACCTCACAGCGGCCGTAGTGGACAAGATTCAACTCAATGCCAAGAAGTACCCAGCTGACAAAGTGTATGGGAAAAGCAACAAGTATACAGATTATGACAACAGTAACCGTGGTGATAGCTGATTTTGAGTGGTTCCTGAACACGGTTAACATTTGAAGTTAACATTGGACATCATCATTCAGAGCAGTTGTGAGATGTGTCATGTTGTAATGTCATTAAAATCAAATCATATTTCTCCCTGCTGTCAAAAACAGACCTGAGGACATCCCATTATGTGTCACATCAGAGCAATGTTTCATACCAGCGATCAGAGTATCACTACTAGATCAGGAAAGTGACTTTTGGGATTTGTATTTTTAATCATGCAAACTTGAAAAGGTTAACACAGGTATTCTGAACATTTACTGGCTGTACAAATGATTCTGTTAAAGCCATCATCTGTCTGTCGCTTCAGTGGGACAAACATTTGAAAGGAAACTGACTTTACATAGCCAGTAGAATATAATCTCGGACATCTCTCAGACATTTATGAATCTTCTTTTGTTTACTTTTCAAATTGTTAGTCAGGATTTTTGTCAAAACATTTTTCAAAGAATTGGCTGGAATGAAAGTCGCCAGTTTTAGAAGAGTGTCATAAAGTTCAGGAGTCCTTCCACTTGACAGTCAAGGTTCACAAAAAGGTCACTCTGACATGACAGTGCAATGGGTTTACTCAGATATTTGTTTATTGGTAAAGAGACATAAGATCTGCTATTAATGTGATTGTTGATGCCATGTGTTTGAAGCCAGACCAACATCACCATGGAGACACCATGACAACAGTACTAGTTGACCAAATCACAAATTGGTTTCTCAGTGACTTCATGTTTGTTGTTGACTTTGTTTACAGACTTTTAAATAAAGATATTTTTTCTTAGTCTTTAGGTTATGTTATGTTGTGATCATGTCAATTTGAAGCACGTGATTATTTCAGTCACATGAACAAAAAGCATCTTTTGTAGTGGGTTATTGAGATGTTCAGGTATAGAAGTAGTTGCATGAGAAAACAAGGCTTGTGGAAATACCATAGTATTCTGATGACAGTGATATGGAAAACATGAATAGCAACATGCTTTGAATCTAAGTGATCAGCTGGTAATGATTATGGTATTAACTCTCTACAAACATGGACAAGTGCAGGATAGGCCTCCAGTGCATAAGTGAGGTGAGGTGATATGGGGTTTAACGTCGTACTTGAGAATATTTCGCTCATATGACGACGTGCATGCGTGTGTATGTGTATGTGTGGCTGCTTGTACTAGCCCAGACTTAAGCTGGTTTTATGCCGCAGTGAAGCATGAATACCCCACTCAGACACATTATACTGACTCCGAGCCGACCAGTCCTTGTTGTACCCATTAATGCCGAGCGCCAGGCAGGGACCAACAAGTACCATATTTTAACGTCTTTTGGTATGACGCGGTAGGGGATCGAACCCGCGACCTTCCGCTCTCCGGTCGGACGCTCTAACCACTACACCACGGAGGCAGTCCCAGTGCATATGTAGACAAGCTAGGGGTTAGGTGGTTACTGCAGGGTATTTGACTTGTATGTCAATATAAATTCATGTTAGTTGCAACTTCAAAATTGTGCTGAAAACAAGCAGACATCCAATAATGGTTGTCATTGAGTGGAAACTTTGAGAGCTGACTTTGGAACCAGTTCTGAATGTTCCGATTTTCCGACAAACAAGAACTGAAAATGTAAACACTGTAAACAAAATACGACTGATTTGTCAATATTCTGGGTTCTCCACCCAAACATACAGATTATCTTTGTGTTCTGTAATATGTGCTCTGAAGTTCCACGACCTTGTACCACGAGGGCCAGTGGGTAGGCTGAGTGTCAAAGCACTCATCAGTACTCCTCTGATTACATCACACAAATGGTAATATTTCTCGTGCTCTACACGTTGCTTTAATATCAGTTTCATGAAGTTTATTCATATTAAAACTGAAGTCAGAAAAGGTAAAAACATGTTTTTGTCCATGATTAAGTTTCTTTTCAGATTAAATTTGATAATTAAAGCAATGTGTGGCATTGTGTGGTCCTGGGGTAGAACTCAAGTCACAAATCGGGTGAAGTTATGTAAGCAACGTCGAGCTCGGACAGTCCTTGGATGGGTGACCGTGTTTGGCAGCTTGACTCCTGAGAGTTTTTTGGACTTAGTCCTGCCCCACAAAGAAGCACATGTGATCTCACTTTAGGCAAGTGCCTCTGTTCACCCAGCAAGAATCGGGTACCCGGTTGGATAAAGTCATGTTACTATAATCTTCTAGCGCCTAACAGGCAGCTTGGGTTATCCGGGGCAATAATAATCAGATTCTGATTACAGCGTCCAGTGAGCAACAAGTCAGATGGATACTAGGCGCTATATTGTTATTATCCCCCGTAACGCATTTTGCGGGGGGTATTAAAATGGACTCCGTGCGTGTGTGCGTCCGTCCGTGCACATTTGTCTTTTCCGGAGCAGAACTCTAAAACCGTTCAATGTTTCTTCACCAAACTTGGCACATAGATTGGTCTGGTGGTGTACTGGTGCCTTTTGGTAGTTTTGGAATTCTGAATAAAATATTTTTGGCATTTCCATGGCAACAAGTTTGACTTAGACTGAAATTAGTGATAGTGCTCCTTTATGGAGCAGAACTTTAAAAACCTTTCAATACTCTCCTTCCACTTTTCTATATACACACCTAAATATTGACATAATCATAACTCGTAGACATATTCATGAAGAGTATTTTGCCATTGCGGGGGATATTGATGACTTTGTCTTCTTGTTGTTAATAAAAAAAATGACTTTTGCTGTCAACTGCAGTGCTGCAAACACTCAGTTATCCACATTTTCATCAGACATTTATACTGCTCAACAATCAATAACTCAACATGATTCTGTTCCAGTACACTATCAGATGCTATTTGTATGGCAACACTACCAAACAATCAGTTCCGTTCAGCCCCAACTAGACACCCAGAATATCTCTTTCAATAGGTGACATATTTAAAAAACATAACACGAGACACATAACATTTTGAATTTTTTTATTCAATACTGTGACTTGAAAAATACTTGATAATTATAAGTGGCACATTGTTTCGTGTGGCACAATCAGGTGTCATTTTTGTGTGGGTTTGGACATCATAGGCCATCAATGCTAATAGCAGACATACCTTTTCTTCATATACTTATCACAGACTATGGATATCAAGGGTTAACAATACTGTTGCAAATTATACATAGGTTCATCTAATAAACGATGAATTATTGAACTCAATGTTATACATTATATTTGACTTCAGATGCCAATAGCTACAGGAGGATAAATGCAACAAAATGTGTAACAAACGTTTTCAAATCAAAATTATCAACACAAAGCACGCACGAACTCGTCTACAAATAGGTTAACATTGAGAATATGTGTTACTGGCATAGATACCAATGGCATGGACAGATAATGACAAACACAATGTTTTATCTTGGTACAGTATATACAAGGCAAGGTAAAAAGCAAAAACTGGAAGATTAGGTGAAATAAGTATTTACCAAAACATTTGAATACCCATATAACAACTTTATAAAAAAAAATAATAAATAAACATTTGAAAATTCTCAGATTTAACTTTTCTCCACACTTTTGGATTATAAGATATAAATCTGTCTCCTGCACTTCCTCTACTTCTTCTTCTTCTTCCCACCACCCTTCTTCTTCTTGGACTTGAGGGCCTTTCGGACTTTGAATGACCTCCAGAATGCCTGGATGGTTGTGGCAGCCTTCACCATGAGAGCCAGCTCCCTCTCTGCCTTCTCGCGCTTCTCCCGGGCCAGTCTTCTCTCCTCCATGATCTGCACGTACTCTGCCTCCAGGGTCTTGAAGCGTTCCTCTAGCTCGTTCAGCTGTTTCTTCTCCTCTGTGTAGATCGCGTCAATCTCCTCATACTCATCCTGAAAACAGAAATTAACAGTGAACATTTTGGTTCACACTATTGGATGGGAGTCTGGTTAACGTGTCATAGTTCAGTTGAAATATCTGCCTGCCCAGTTGTCTGAGATGGGCAGTTAACAGTCACAGAATGCACACCTGATAATTGTGTTGATTTGTTAACCATACGAATAAAGACATGTTCAACACATTTAGAGAATACCCCACGAGGTACGAGTGATTACGGGAAATATGTCCCGAGTAAAATTAATGTTCACTGTCCCGAAGCTTTAGCGATCTCGAATCAGTGCGACTACAGCACGGTCAATTCATCAATCAATCGATGAAATTTATAGTATGAATGATCGTCGTGATGTGAAAGTAGTTCCGACATCCAATGAAAGTTTACAAATATTCGATCGACCAAACAATGTCGAGAATCACTTAACTGCACACTGTGCAAATATCAAAAAGATATTACACGGGATGTCCTCACCCGTATGGGTAATAATACTAAATAGTTGACATTAGCTGAGAGACTCATTTGTGACTGCTCAAAATGCTGCTGTAGCCAAAGCTAGCATTTATAAAACTACATGAACTTTTGGAGTGACATCTCCCCTCACTGCAACAGTGCAGAGACAGCATTATGCGAGGAGGCCAGATATTGTGTTGAATGTGTTGTGCTGAACTGTTTAACTGACTGTGATTTTATTATCATTTACCAGGAGTTGGACCCACCTGCACAAAGTGATCTCAGTGATGTGGAAATAACTCCCATGCTCATACTTCCACTTAAGTAAGTCATAGTGCTAAGACTGCTTTGTGCACCTGGGCCCTGGTTCATTTAGTTTGGATTACACTGTGTGCGTGAGTATGGCTCTACGCCGCTTTTAGCATTATTCCAGCAATATCACAGCGGTGGACACCAGAAATGAGCTTCACACATTGTACCCATATTGGATTATGCTGGCAACTGTTTATTTGGGCAGGTAACCATTGTAAATATTAGGGCTGCAACGAATACACTATGTGGTGAATATGATACGTATCATGAATTTTGGGTAACGAAATATGAATAATTATTCATGAATACAATATTGTAGTTAAGTGATTGAAGCACTTTATGGAATGCCCATGTTGACAGTTTTGATTTGTCACTGCAATAACCAGTGATCTCATGACACTCAAATTTGGTATGTAATAGTTATAGTCGACAGTACCATGTGCAGTCTTGGCAAACTAACATGACTTGCACTACTGCAATGCTAGTACATGTTCCATTCTTGCATATCTCACTTTGGAAAGGACATAAGGGTTCAAGTAAAACATGCTCCCTTAAAAAAATCGTAAATATTTGTTAATATTCGGTTCTGGTAACCACAAATAACGAATTGAATTCATGAAGGGCTACGGTTCGATTCAGCGAATATGCGAGTGAATCGTTACAGCCTTAGTAAATATTACACCGTTTTTAGCATTATTCCAGCAATATCACGGCAGGGGACACCAGAAATGAGCTTCACACATTGTACCCATATTGGATTATGCTGGCAACTGTTTATTTGGGCAGGTAACCATTGTAAATAACCAATCACACAGTCTGGCAAGATGTTTTGTAAACAGTCAGCACTTCTTAGAGCAATTTTCAAAATCACGGCTTTCTCCGGTTCCTTGACATGTCCTGCCATGGAATGTGGAGATGTACATAGGTTCGACATAAATCTTAAACTTTTTCAAATAAGGATCCCTTTCACTCCATGCATCATTTCAAACACTTCTTGAACAGATTCTACTACAGGTATCAAAATGCCAGTAGACCCTAAAATAATTGCCCAATTTGTGCATTTGTTAGATACAAACTCCTGGGTCCAAAGGATTTGTTTGTCATGTCAGTAGGTAATGATTCAAAGCTTTTCTCTTGTGTTAAAACACGGAGAAACTATTTTTAATCAATTAGAGAAAATTCACCTGTCGTTCTCCCATGTCCTGGTCATATTTCTGAATCCAGTTCTCAACTTCAGTTTCAATCTTGAACTTCCTCTGGAAATGAAGAAATCATTAAGTTAGAGGTGCAGACACTTTAATTCGTTACTTTGATTTTAAGAAGAAACATACTCACATGTTAATGGTCTTGAAACAGAAGATTAACCACCTGTCATAGATCATATTTCCCAAAATGACTGACAGCTTTGATATAGACGTAAATGGAGAGAGTGAGTAAGTATGGTTTTATGCCACTTTTAGAAAAATCATGGCAGGCAACACCAGAAATGGGTTTAACACATTGTACCCATGCTGGGAATCAAACCCAGGGCTTCAGCGTGATGAGCGGACACAGTAACCATTAGGCTACCCTACCGCTCCAGATGGAGAGAGGTTAATATGCATGTAAACAATATTTTTATAGTCGTGCTACGAGCTGTTGCAAACCCTCGATGAGTAATGAAATTGCTTACACTAAGCACTTCTTGGCTTACACTGCACTCCTAGTATCGAACTATTAGTAAAAGCTGGTAATGAGGCAGAAAGTGTTTGGAAAACACAGTCAGTGACCCTTACCCTGCGAAGTTCTTGCTCACTCTCCCGGTGTTCCATGGTGAGGTTCTGCAGCTGCGTTCGCAGCTGGTTCATCTCCTGCTGCAACTTCTGCCTCTTCCCGTCACTGTTCTTCATGTCAGCAGCTTCCTGTTTCTCTGCCTCTGTTTTCACACGACGGATGTGTTCCTCAGAAAACTTTTCTATCTGATGCAGATCAGCCTGAAGGCGGCGGATGACATCATTTTTCTTGCGGATCTGAAAATACAGTTTATTCCAATGTTAAACCATTCATTACTTCTAAACATATTTGCACATAATTATATTTAGATAATTAAATATCTTAAGCAGTACCTTTAACATGTGATATGAAAGATAAAATACCTGTGGAATAATCTTTAACCATGGGCGATCATTTGGAACTAGTGGTGGTCCGATTAATTGAAATAATCGAAGATTGGTCGCAGTGACTAAACGACCAAGTAATCGAACATATTTTCTCATAATCGAACACCAATCTTGAAACACTTGTTTGCATCAGCAATGTTTTTCACAAGGTTGGTTTTGTCTGTGTCATTAAGTTTACATTTCATAAGCACTACAAGCTCGTTCCAAGTCATGATTGAATTTATCTTAAAGAATCCCGGAAATCTGTGTTCCTAACATACTAATCTTCCTTTAAATATGCGAAATTTGCAAATGGACTTTGTGCAATTTGGAAAAATCCAAATTACTACATGTTTTTTCTTTATTTTTTTTGTGTGCATTAAAGATAACAGGAACATTTGATAAATGACACGGTTGTAATGGACCATTCATCAGTTATGAGATTTTAACCAATTCCCAACACTATTTGGAACTGCAAAATTGACGAACTTTATGGATAACAACTTCTTTATTACGAGAGTGCGACGTTTCATTACAGATACTTCTACCGCTGTCAAACTTCCCAGCTTCTAAAATGCCACTCAAAGAAGTTATTTGAAACTGACCAATTATAATATATGTTCCTTGATATATGTTGTTTAACTCCACAGTCCTTGAAGTTGTATTCTACTATCAACAAACAAATCAGTTCTAGACATGGTTTGGTACCGTAGCAGCACCTCCTGTTTTTCAAATCACCCAATATCTGCACTCAGATTTACACAATTCGATAGTAAATTTAATATTCTACATTTCTGTGTAATTTTATAGCTGAAGGAAGATCCAGGGCCACTAGTGCATTTTTCACATATTTACTTTTCTGGCCTTGTAAAAATGTGCACCAGAAGTTTTGTGTTACAACTCCCTGTGCTTCTCCTAGCAAAGTACACATAATAACAAAGCCTCTCACAGAAATAAGTGTATGCCCATTAACAACGGGCTGATGCTAAATTTCTCTTATTAGCAATGCGCCAGTACCATAATGGTGCAAATATGTCCCAGACTAAGGGTGCCATATGCCCATTAACTTAAATCCAAATATTTAACCATCAGCCACATACCTCTTCCTCCTTGTCATCTAATGCAGCCTTCAAATCTGTCTCCATTTTGTCAATAATAACAGCATTATTTCTTTCTCTTTGTGATATTTCATCCAGGTATGCCATCTTTTCTTTCTCCTCCCTGGGTGTAGTTAATAGCTTGCAAAGAAGTATTTCCTTCAGTTCATGCAGATTCCCACACAGCGTCTTACAATGGGCATCCCTTTTCTTGAACTCAGCAGTAACTGCATTCATGGCTGCGGGATTGATGCTGAAACATCGCAGGATGTTCTTGCATGAGCTACTCAACTGATGAGCAACATAGGTCAGGTTCCTCCTCATGTTTTCTGTTTGGCTGTCAATGCTGGCAAACGAACCCGCACTTGATGCGCTAGACGGTCGTACAATCGACTCTCCTTGAGTTTCTTCCCTATCAAGCTCATTCTGACCTTCCTCCTCTACTGCCTCTGTAGATTGGGTCTTCCCACTCCGGATTCGTTTGGCCAACTGTTGATCCAGCATATCACGTATCTCCTGGTAACTTTCCTGAATCCGATAATGTTGTTCCAGGAGTTCAACCAGCTCCTGTCCAAACGATATGCGAAACCTATCAAGGTTTTGAAGGATGTGAGGGAGCAGAGTGATGACTTCCACTCTTCTGATGGTTTCCTCAAACACTGTCATAACCCTCTGTGACTCAATGGTTGACAACTTTTTCCTAGTAGGCTCAAGAGCCCGGGATGGGTCAATTCTAAGTTTCCTTAATCCAGCCTTAGGTGCCATAGTTGGTGGAGGTCTTGGGACTGTTTGTGCCTGAAGACGAATCTGTAACGTTGGTTCCACCTGAGGCTGTGTAACTGTCACCACATCGGTGACAGTCATTGCAGCTGCCATCTTGAATGTTTTGTGCAATGATAATTACGTATAATAGAATTTCTTAAAATAATAGTTCATACATTACTGGAGACGGAAGGTAGTATGAACTGTTATATCTTTGCGTTCCTGTGTTCACATGTTGGTCGCTTATGTCTGTAGAGTCAAACAACTGGCATCGTTTTCACTGCATCTTGGCCATACAACCAACTAACTACCCATGTTGATTATCATACTTCCCATGACAACAAATAATCCACAATCATTCCGTATTTGATGAATGAACATTGAAAACTGGGGATATATTAACACGAGAATTGACTTTTGTCTATCTTTCATTACCAAAACAATATATTTTGTAGCATAGATGTCTGTTTTTGACTTAGTGTGTTTAATACAAAGCACTCCGCTGTTGTTAACGGACTACTTTTAAGAAGCGGAAATGCATCGGTTCCCAAGGTCAAGGCCATGAGGTCAGGGGTCGTTCAAAATGGCGGAGGTGTTCGAAAGCCCCCTTATCAGTGTTCGCAGTGATCATGGGAGGCGTCGGACACACAGCATCAGTAAGATATGGTCAAGGTCTTCTTTTGTCTGATGTAGCCTACCTTTATCTCGTGCCTTCATACACATTACCGTGGATCATCTGTCACCCTAGTTTGCCTTGTTTATAGTAGCGGCTATTTGACAGGATGTATACAGGGATGACAGATAAGTTTTCCCAAAGTTTTGAGATAGTTATCCGCAAACAGTATATTTATGATTTGTGGTCATAATGATGAGGTGGTGTTATTAACTGTTGATCTTATGCTAAGTAGTTATTATTTATTTGTGACATTTAAAACCCACTTTCTTTGCCTGTGTAGTATTTGTTTACCTGTGATTATGTAATGCACGTGGTGTAAGTACCCGAATTGAACTGACACTCAGCTTTAGAGTTCAAGTACATGGACACGTTTACAATTATTACAATGTCTCAGAGAGTGATAGTCTTTGCTGCTCATTTTTGTGCATTCCAGTTATTGCTGATGCAAACAAACCAATCTGTTAGGCAATTGCTGTGATGGGGTCCTAGAGTCTAAGACATGCCACACCATCTGTGACTGTAGGACTCCATCTCGGCTCTTGGCTGTACAATCTTCAGCGTTAGCATTGCAGAAAGGGAAACTAATGTGGTTCAGGAACTGTGAGACAGACTAGTTTACAGGTTTACATGATGTGTACTGACTTATAACAATAAATTGAAATGACATTTCCGTCATGTTTGAAGTTTAACTAGATAATCAAAGGTATGGGCATGCGTATTTTCACAAAGGCACACCTGAATTATCTGTCTGGTGTTGTATGACACGAAATAAAGAAGTTGTTATCCACAAAAAATTGTTCTATATGTCGTATTTTACTGTGAGTGTGATAGTACATTGTTAATTCTGAGGGTTTTATAAAACATTGGGTAGATGTAGGCAATGTAGTGAGGAAGTACGGTATCCTTTATAGGAGAGCCATGGTGGTAACTGACAGTCAAGGCAGGACCAAACAACATGATGTAGCAGGGGTGGAAATAACTTTAAAATAGCTAGTGTACTCCCGTACAGTGGCACATGTTAAATCACTTGCCCTGATAATTTTTCCACTATACCGGCGGTTTTTTGTTGATTTTTTAAATAAACAACATAATTAATATTGGAAAGTCAACTAGACACCTGTACAGTGTGATATACAAATTTGCTTGCCCGACAGAAAAAAACACTGGACTCGGGCGTCGGGCAATGGGTTATTTCCACCCCTGTGTAGGATCATGTCTTGAGTCTCAGTCCCCATCATGTCTTGACTGACAACAACCTGAAATTTTACACAAACAAAGCCTTGTCATTAATGTCAATAAGGACCTGATACTTGGAATGCACGAGGGTGTTATTTTTGTATGAATGACTGACTATGATATTAAGCTAAAATACCATTGGATAAATGTTCCATATTTGTTATTTCTTGATGTTTATGCATATTTTTCTCTAAATAAGAACAGCTTTTCATAATAAAACTGGTGTCAGGGGAGGAAAATGTTCAGGGGAATAATTATCGAAATATCCTTGGTATGGAATCAAAGGCCACAGAAAAGTTGCTTTGTAGAAACCAATTTACTGGGTGGACTATTTCTCTTTGTATGCACCGTGTTGAGGTGAACCTGCATTGCTTATCTGTATGTAGTCTGGGCAATTAATTAACCAACACTTCAGCTCTTGATCATTGGTGCTATAAATAAACTAGTACTCATTTTGTTGATAATTACTAATTCAGATAATTAGCACTGTAATGGTAACTGCTTTTTAATATGCACATTTCTCTCTTTACCTGCCTCGTGGTATGGTGAAATTTCATATAAACATGATAAATCGTGTGGTTTTGTTTCACCTTTTTAAGTGAGAGTTTCATTCTTCATGGTTAGGAATACGCTTTGTCATTTTGTTATAAAACACACAATTTTGTGCCATTGTTTTGGACCAGTACATTTTATCTCTCAAACAAGTGTTATTTTAGAATTGGTTTGATGTTTCTTCTCCCCTGTGTAAAGATCATACTGATGTGATAGTTTGTCTCAGTTGGGAGAATGGAGTGGCTTCAATATAGGTCTTACTCGTCATGCGTCCATGTGTCATCAGCATTAAACATGTTGAACAATGCATAATCTGTTCACTTCTAACTATCGCTCAGTATGTCACTCTTATATTTGCAGTGTCCTCTGCACTCTCACTCACCCACCCACTAACACCCACCCACCCACTCACACCCACTCATTCAGTAACTCACTCACCCGTACCCACCCACCCACCCACTTACTCACACCATCCAACTCACTCACCATCACTCACTCACCCCCACTCACTCACTCACTCACCCCCACCCAATCACTCACTCACCCCCACCCACTCACTCATACCCACTCACTCATACCCACTCACTCACTCAAACCCATCCACTCACTCACTCTCCCCCACCAACTCACTCACTCACCCACTCACTCACACTAATGTCAGCTAACCATGCTGTGTTGCTTGATAGATTCAGTTGGTATCATTGTGATTATTAAATGGAAATAAGTTTGCTTGTTGAAATTTGAATTCAGTCTTACTTAACTGTTGTATGTTGCCATGCTATTTATATGCATCTGCATGATCTATGTTGTATAATGAGTCAGTGATGGGCTGAGACATATCCTTCCTGACACTCTTTCCTGATCTTAGCTTGCAGTTACCATGGTAACAAGATGATTCTCATCTTGAAAATCCCAAAGTTAATCTTGAACTTTGTATGTACAGAGCTGAATGTTGAAAACAGTTAATGATGATACAAGATCAATAGACAATTAATAAAATATATGAAAACACACAGCATAGTTTTAGGCTTACCATGTTTACAGTTCTGCAGGGCAGTTCTATGAGTCAAATAAGTGTTAGCAATAATCAGTAAATTAATACAAAAGTACGCTCACAAATCTTTAGAAGTTTTCACAGTCCATTCTTGAATCCAGCATAGTATTGTAACCTGGCAAGAAATCTAATCTTTCAACTTGGTGTCCAATCTGGAGTAACTGGGTGTTAAATCTGGACATGCTGGGTGTCCAACCTGGACTTACTTGGTGTTGAATCTGCACTAACTGGGTGTCCAATCTGGACAAACTGGTGTGGTGTGTTAAGCCACTTTGCTGTGTGTTATAAATGTAGGCCACTGGGCCATGTCTTAAGCCACTGGGCCGTGTGTTAAGCCACTGGGCAGTGTGTTAAGCCACTGGGTCGTGTGTTAGGCCACTGGGTCGTGTGTTAAGCCACTGGGCCGTGTGTTAAGCCACTTGGCCGTGTGTTAAGCCACTGGGCCGTGTGTTAAGCCACTGGGCCGTGTGTTAAACCACTGGGCCGTGTGTTAGGCCACTTGGCCATGTGTTAGGCCACTTGGCCATGTGTTAAGCCACTGGGTCGTGTGTTAGGCCACTTGGCCATGTGTTAAGCCACCGGATCGTATGTTAGGCCACTGTGTCGTGTGTTAAGCCACTGGGCCGTGTGTTAGGCCACTGGGCCGTGTGTTAAGCCACCGGGTCGTGTGTTAGGCCACTGGGTCGTGTGTTAGGCCACTGGGTCGTGTGTTAGGCCACTGGGTCGTGTGTTAAGCCACTGGGTCGTGTTTTAAGCCACTTGGCTGTGTGTTATAAATGTAGGCCAATGGGTCGTGTTCCAAATGTAGGCCACTCAGCCGTGTTGTACACATGTAGGCCACGGATGTGATATTATGGTGATATACAAAGTTACTCGATTGAGGATCAGCAGAAGTCTAATCTAGGCTTACTGGGTGTCTAATCTGGACTTACTGGGTGTCTAATCTGGACTTACTGGGTGTCTAATTTGGACTTACTGGGTGTCTAATCTGGACTTACTGGGTGTCTAATCTGGACTTACTGGGTGTCCAATCTGGACTTACTTGTCTAATCTGGACTTACTGGGTGTCTAATCTGGACTTACTGGGTGTCTAATCTGGACTTACTGGGTGTCTAATCTGGACTTACTGGGTGTCTAATCTGGACTTACTGGGTGTCTAATCTGGACTTACTGGGTGTCTAATCTGGACTTACTGGGTGTCTAATCTGGACTTACTGGGTGTCTAATCTGGACTTACTAGGTGTCTAATCTGGACTTACTGGGTGTCTAATCTGGACTTACTAGGTGTCTAATCTGGACTTACTGGGTGTCTAATCTGGACTTACTGGGTGTCTAATCTGGACTTACTGAGTGTCTAATCTAGACTTACTGGGTGTCCAATCTGGACTTACTGGGTGTCCAATCTGGACTTACTGGGTGTCTAATCTGTACTTGAGGGTCTCTAACCTGGAGTTACTTGGGTGTATACATGTCCTAATGGTAAGATGTTGTAATTGTAGATGCTGATTGTTGTGTTATCAGCTGATTGTGATATTGATATGAAAATAATATGCACTAGATGATCACCCCGTGATAGGTGACACTGGTGTTGTAGACAGCTGATAACATACCTCCTGATAGTGATACAGCGCTGGCAGAGGGCCGGATGTGTGTAGTTGACGTTAGTCTGTACGTCACTGATGCTTATCCTATACTGGGTTGACTTGGACAAGTTTCGGAACACTGTCGTTTAGGGTCAGGATGCTGTGATGGACATCATCAGCTGGTTCGTAATTTAGTTTTGTGTGCTTCAAATTGGTTGAATTTGTGTTACATCTTTATATGATGATTGCCGGCGTATATCTGAACGTGCCAGTCATGATGAAGATCTAACATTTCCTTCTCAGTCTTGGGCTATTGTGTAATCGTTGTGGTTTATTACCATGGTTACCATGACAAGGCTTTCTCCCTGCTTGTGAAGAAAGTGCCCTTAGCTGTCAAGTGGGAAAAAAATTAGTGTTGTTGTTTTTTCTTTCAAAATTTGAATGATTATTTTATTGTTCAAACTTTCTATAACATGATTGTGAGGTATTTGAACACAGTATGTGGAGTTTGGATTCAGTACAAAATATGATAATGATGATGATCATCATCATCACCATCATCATCATCGTCATCATCATCGTCATCATCACAATCATCATCACCATCATCGTCATCATCATCATCATCACAATCATCATCACTGTCGTCGTTGTCATCATCATCATCATCATAATCATCCAGTATATTTCCTTTCATTAGGATGATTAGTGAAATACATAAGTCTACAGTGACACATACTAACCCTGACTAACATGATTAATGCTCATATTACATTAATATATATTTTTTAACATGTAAAAGATAGAATATTGATCATTTTGGTCATTTTTGTCATGATACTCTTGGTTGCACAATGGTTCAACAATGGTTTCGTTATCTCTGTTATCAGATCAGGCATGGTTTTTGTCTGTTTCCATGTTGACTGACTCAACCTTGCCGGCAGTCATGTGCCATCACATGTCAGATTGTGTGTCATTGTCCACAGCAGATGTTTACCTATCATCTACCCAGACAGAAGTCATTACAAATCTCCAGTATCATTACTAAATACTATGTCGTGGTGTAGCTTCGTGTCTGGGTGGGGTGGGGGGTGTTTAGCCTAATGGTTAAAGCTTCGCTCTTCGTGCTAAAAAACCATGGTACGATTCCCCACATTAATACAATGTGTGAAACGCCTTTCTGATGTCCCCTGCCGTGATATTGCTGGAATATTGCTAAAAGCGGCAAAAAATCATGCTCACTCACTTTGTGGCCTTGTGGCCGAGATTATTGCTGTTACTCTCAACTCACCCAGACTTATTTAATCCCAGGTCACCATGAGCATCATGATGTGGTTTGCCATAAAACAACATACAATCTAAAATGATGATTATGATGCGGATGTAGTATTAAATTCTAAATGCATGAAAAAAATCACACAGCGATAATGTTTGTGTAATGATTTTGCAGATGACCCCGAACTTGACATTGCCTATGAATCGGGGAACATGGCATTTGACATACCCACATCATACGAAGATGCTGACGAACAGCTCCGCGAGATTAACCGCCGCAAACGCTGGCATTTGAATTACCAAGAGGCAGCCATCTTTCTGCAGGAAGGGGAGAACAATGACAAGTACTACACCCATCCCCACTCCCATGATGCACTGCCAGCGTACGAGGTGGCCCACAACCGCTGGTTCTATGTCCTGGACTTCTTGGCGGCCCTACTGGTGCTGGGTCTGGCTTTGTGTGAGAGGCCGGCCGTCAGCTACCTCAGTCTACCTGTCGGGGTAACATCACCTTGAATTTTTCAACTTTTGTTACTTTTCATGGCTGGATGTTAGGGGCACTCTGGGTAGGTTGATTTACACTAGAGGAAGGGGTGGGTCAAGAGGTTAATACTGGGGATATGGGGTAGAGGTTTATTCTTTGGGGATGTGGATAGACATTTATACTGGTAGAGTGTGTGTTTTATACTGGAATGAATGTGGAAGAGATTTATACTGGAGGAATGTTGAGAGATTTATACTGGAGAAGAATGTGGAAGAGATTTATACTGGAGATGAATGTGGAAGAGATTTATACTAAAGAAAAGAGATTTATACTAAAGAAAAATGTGGAAGATATTTATACTGAAGAAAAATGTGGAAGGTATTTATAGTGGAGAAATATGTGGAAGATATTTATACTGGAAATGAGTGTTGAAGAGAGATTTATACTGGGGCCAAATGAAAAAAATGTTGTGGTTCCGATTACACCTCTTTAAAATTTAGGGTAGGTAGGTAGGAATTATTTTTACATACCGGTATTTTTTTTAGAAGAGAAGTATAAACTAATATTAGTAATAACACATGTATCAATGTGTAATTGTTTATTCAATCAAGCTTGCATCCAATTTTTCCTTATCCTGACTCATGCTATTTGCTTGTCTTCTTCTTCTTGCTAACACAGTGGAACACTTGTATTTCCCAATTGAAGCTCCCTTCAATGTAAAATCACTAATTAGTACTCACCACGAGTTATCTTTCCCCTCGAAAGCGCGGGAACGAGGGCCACCTCTCACCATGTGCCTCACTCTCTCCTTCTTCTTCCAGTGAGCAGGACGTGAGAGCTCTGTGTCTCCCTACACACTATATCCTTTATTTATATTTAGTTTGTTACCTCTTATATTCATCTATAGAGGTGTAACTAGTATCCTTATTCAACATGCATTGATATTTATTCGTGTTTCTGCTGCTTTATTCACGGTCCGCCGGTTTGCTCAGCAGATTGCGCAATGAAAATCTGCACTGTTTGTAAATTACGCTTTTCTGCTGCCGATCCGCATTTAATATGTCCTAGTTGTACAACGCCATGCTCTATTGTTTCACGCTGCAATTTATGTATTAAATTGTCTAATTCTGCCTTTGATAAATATTTATATTGCATCTTGAGACGTAAGCAGATAGATCTCGAAACAGTCTTCAGTCATGGCTGATAGATCAGAGTCAGATATACCCTGTCAACTGTTGGCGGATCTACCCTCTCTACCGCCTGGTGTTCCGCCTGAGTTACCTTCGGGGGAGAAGCGGGACGAGTCCGCTATATCCAAGAAGCGACCTGCATCCCAGGACATTCCATCATCACAGTCTAAGACTAGGAGAGCTCCCAGCCGCTACAACGTGCTTCCGCACTCCCCAGGGCTACAGCTTCATCGAAAGGGAAACCCACGAAGGCTACTAAAAACTTTTCATCTGACATTCTTCCTGTTTCAGAATTGTGTTTATATGATGATGACATTCCGATTATCATTCCAGATGTACGGCATAAGAAGCGTCCAGTATCGGCTACCGTCACTTCAGCGCAGATCAACACGCAACCAGAGATGCCTACGCTGACGGCTGAGATTCTAACTGAGGGTCCCGTCGACTACCATAGAGAGGGCAGCCTCAACGCCAGCGCAGACCGTCCCAGACGACCTGGTCAGCCAAATTATGATGTTGATGGAAGACCGATACGGTTTACAGAGGCCTCAGAGCCGCGGGCCCCAGAGCCCAACCCATAATAAGTCATGTAGGGCCCCAGAGCCCGCTATGACTTCGCGTAGGGCCCCAGAGCCCACAAACGCGCCTCCACGAAGGGCAACCCAGCCCGTATCAAAGCCTTCGCGAAGAACGTCCCAGGCCGCCTCCACGAAGGATCCAGATCCTCACCATTCGCTAAAGGGCTTCACGGAGGAGGAGTGCTTCACCGAGCTCAGACCCTGAAGAACACAGAGGTCGCTCATGGGCAAGCTCCTATATAATGATTCGGACTCTGACTCGACACCTTCATGAAGGCCTTCACGAAGGTTAAGTGGCTCCAAGTCATCTTCATCCAGAAGATCTAGAAGGGATTCATCGAGAGCTTCACGAAGCCACCAGCGTTCGCCGAGGAAGTCTCCTCCAAGGTCTCCCTATACTAGCCACTCGTCAGTCCGTTCACCACAATCTTCTCGTCGATCTTCTTACAGATCTAGGACTCCACCTCACTCTATTATATGTGATCCTACGTCAGAAGAGGAAGGAGGTATCGTATTCTCGGATGCAGAAATTAGATACTGGATGGTGAATGGATTGGAACTTACTTCCCCGTCTAAGAACGAGAACTCAGTTCATACTTATTTGATGAAGGAAGATGATGCGGACACTATCTCCTTACCTCCTATTGACCCAATAGCAGCGGTTCCAGCTAATCTGGATACAGTCTTTACCAAATCTACGAAGTTTCAGTCAACACATTTCCCGGTTTTCAACGCCAAGAAGTTTGCAGGCCACAATATGGACTCCTTTTTCAAGGCTCAAGATATTGATGAGAACTTAATCAGAAGTTAATCAGCGATGCCAAGTCCAGGAATTACAGAATAGACGATCGCAAACTAGCCCAGTTGGATACCATTTCTAGGAGAATGTTTTTTGGATTGAATAGATCTAGAACTGTCAATGAAACCCTCATCACCAAGTTCAAAGATTCTACAGAGGAAGAAGATAGGATGATCTACTCGGCTCTACTCATGCAGAAAAGAGACCAACAGTTCCTTACAGATCACTTGTCAGCACTTACTGCAGCTACTACCATGGCTCGTCGTCAGGGTCTACTAGCCTCCTGCAATTGGGGTAATCAATTTACGGAATCCCTCTACGCTGCCCCGTGGTCATCACCTTTGCTCTTTGGTGGTAACATAGACAAGGTCTCCAAAGAGGTGTCTAAGGACTCTAGAGAGGTGCTTATGATCAAGTCCATGGATACGTTAGCTAATGTCATTAAGCAAACATCCTTGAGATACTCTGGCAAGTCTAAATTCTCTGGACTACAGAAAGCACGGGACAAGAAATTGGCTACAGCAAAAGGTCCCAAGGAATCTTTTCGTCGCCCATACAGCAATTTCAGAGGAGGATCAGCAAGAGGCAGGTCATCCAGAGGTTTCCGCGCTTTTAAACGATGAAATACAGGTTCGGATCGACTGGAGTCTTCCACCCCCAGCCGTTCCAGTACAACCTTCTCAAGTGGGTGGACGCCTTCAGCTGCACTGGGAAAACTGGGGATTCCTACAAGATCCTTATGTATCCAACATCCTACAGCACGGATATCAAATACAACTCAAGGCCATACCTCCGTTGACAGTCATCCCTCCAAGGTTCGACTTCCAACCGGCACAACTACCAATGTTAAGAGAAACGGTAGCTACTCTTTTAAACAAACAGGCCTTAGAAGTTCTGGATCAGCGAAACATTGTACCAGGTTTCTACTCCCCAGTTTTCCTAGTGCCCAAGAAAAATTCCAAGGAAAAGTTTCGTCTCATATACAACATGAGCATCTTCAACAGAGACTATCTAAGCAAACCGCCAGCGTTTCGCATGATACACTTACCGCAACTTCGGTACTTAATTCGTCCCAGAGATTACATGGCCAGCATAGATTTGCAAGACGATATCTACACATTCCGATTCATCCAAGTTCAAGGAAATATCTAAGATTTATCCTAGACGGAATACATTACCAATGGAAAGTACTTCCCTTTGGAATCTCATCGGCCCCTTGGGTATTCACAAGAGTGACGAAAACCTATTGTCTCATACCTACATCGTCAAGGTCTTCGCAGCGCTTTTACCTAGACGACGGGATACAAGTGGATCCAGATCCACAGCGTCTCAGACTACAGCTGAACTTTATAATCAAGTTACTAACTCAACTAGGATGGTTAGTAAATCTACTCAAGTCAGACCTAGAACCAACGCAAGATCTGTAATTTCTAGGTATACGATTTCTAACAGCCCAGAATCGTATATAGTAGTCCCGAGGACAGATGGATCAAGATCCAACAGTTAATCCCACAAGCCTTACTCTCCCTCTACCACTACGACAGTGGCAGAGCCTATTGGGACTACTCACATCAGCTCAAGACTTGACAGTCAGAGGCAGACTTCACCACGTCCGCTACAAGTCCTCATCAATGCGCATCTCAAGACCCTCTACCGCTCAGTCTACCAGATCACGCCAAACCTCATCTACTTTGGTGGACCAAGAGATTGAATGTTTGCGTGAGGGCGCCTCCTTAATAGAGCCGAATCGAAACACATCTCTCGTGACGCTGCGCCACTACAAGGTTGGGGAGCCCACCTTGCCAACAGGACAGCGTCAGGCCTATGGAGCAATCAAGAGAGCAAGTTACACATAAATCTGCTAGAGATGCAAGCAGTCATAAACGCCATAAGTCACTGGAGCAACCTACTACAGAACGCCAGTTGATGATTCACACAGACAATTCGACAGTGGCGCTTTTATGTGAACAAACAAGGCTCAACAAGGTCACCGAACCTACTGTCTCTATGTTTCCGATTATTCGATCTAATCGACAATCTAAACATACATGTCAGAGCTTGCCACATTCCAGGAGCAAAGAATGTATTAGCAGACGCTCTCTCTCGGCACACCTACCTTAGACAGAATGGATGCTCCACACAGAGATATTCACTCAAATAATCAAGGAAATAGGATCTCCACTAGTAGACCTATTCGCCACTGATTCAACAAACAACTGACAACGCTCAGATCGCCAGTTCCAGACCCACTAGCATGGGCAACGGACGACTAAGCATATCGTGGAGGGACTCAACGCCAGACGCTTTCCCACCCACCAGCGTTAATCCCACAAGTCTTACTGAAAATCAGTCAAACGCAGAGCCTCCATCTGATTTTGGTCGCTACTACTGGCCAGCTTAGAGAACGTGGTTTCCAACTCTTATTCAAGAAATCGGACAACCAATTCTACAACTTCCAGAGTGCTCGAATCTGTTGATACATCCGCGACACCAAACAAGCGCATTGGAGAAAGCCAGAAGTATTCCAACTTCACGCATGGATTGTATCAAGGCATGTCTGAATAAGAGAGGTTATTCAGCCAGAGCGGCAAAAAGCAGTCACGCTTTGCCCTGCGCGAACTCAACTCGCAACTTATAACGATGACAAATGGCACAGTTTTGTCAATTATGCTGCAAAGAAAGGATTTACAGCCAGATATGCTACTCATCCTCAAGTGGCGGACTACTTATGTTATCTACGTCAGACTAAGAATCTAAAAGGCTCAACTTTGTCCACTTATCTTGCAGCAATAAGCTCTGTCATAACTATGAGAACGGGCGTCAAGCTAACCAAAACCCCAGAGTTACTCGCTTTGCTACGAGCATTCCGATTGGAGGATCAAAAACGGAAGTTTCACGCTCCAGCTTGGGATCTAAATATAGTGCTCCAACACCTCACAAGTGAGGCTTATGAACCGTTAGAATCTACATCGTTTGAATCACTGACTCAGAAAACATTGTTCCTGTTATCTCTAGCTACGGCTGCCAGGATGTCAGAGATTCACGCATTGGATTACGAGAGAACACGCTTTGATGATATTCATAACATCGTTCATCTGGGACTACGCTGGGATTTTATAGCCAAGAACCAATTGCCAGGTCAACCAGACAGATTATTCCACGTCCCAGCTCTCTCATCTATACTTGGACCTCATGATACGATGGATCTATCACTATGCCCAGTAAGAGCACTGAAAATATATCTCCACCGATCCAAACAGAGGAGAGCAATATTCAAGAGATTATTTATCCCTCTATCTACAGCTACATGCAGACGGAAGTCTCACGCACTACTATCTCCATTTGGATCAGAACTGTCATACTACGTGCCTTACAAGGCTGCAGGACTCGACCCCTCCAAGAGCATCTAATCCTCATGAAATTAGAGCTAGCATCTACACTTGCTCTACACGGCAACTGCTCTTTGAATACCATAATGGAGGGTTGTTTCTGGAGATCCGATATGGTGTTTGCCAACCACTATCTGAGAGATATCACCACCGAGGACATCTCAGGTATCCACCATTTCGGTCCCATGGTCCTCGCTCAACAGTTGACAGTTCCTCGGAGAAGATAAGTCAATCTTACAGATTTTATACTTATCTTATAACAGTACTAAATAGCTACATGCTATATATATTTTGCTTAAGTTCATTTTATTATCTTAAGCTCAGTACTATGGTTGTTATATCATACAATATATTAGCTAACAACTCTAAGGAGTTTTGCTATTATATATATTTAGCTTAAGTTTCATCATATCTTAAGCTCAGTATTATGGTCACATTTTAAAATGTATTAGCTAACAAACTCTACGGAGTTTTTGCTATTATATAGCTTAAGTTAAATTATATCTTAAGCACAGTACTATACTCATATAGCTTAAGTTTATTCATATCTTAAGCTTAGTACTTTGGTTACTTCATAAAAGTATATTAGCTAATAAACTCGAAGGAGTTTATGCTATCATATTAACAACTTAAGTCTATTAGTCTTAAGCTTTGTATTAATGTTGTATATACTTTTATCATATAATTATATTGTAATAACCCATGTATGGCAGCTGATAAGTTAGCAGCAGGAATTCATCAATTCAGTGCCTTTATGAAGTTCCCATAAGGGTTATTACAGTCATTACAGTTCAAAATCACTAATTATCCAAATCCAAAGTATTATATATTCCCACCTCCGTATCCGTCGGATTCTACAAGCAAATAGCATGAGTCAGGATAAGGAAAAATATGTAATTTTCTGAATAAAATTGATATTTTATACTTATCCTGACTCATGAGGTAAGCCCTCCCGTCCTCCCCACATAACACTTTGGATTTCCCTGTAAATTCAAGTGTTGGGCTCGCTATAAAAGGAGAGAGTGAGGCACATGGTGAGAGGTGGCGCCCTCGTTCCCGCTCTTTCGAGGGGAAAGATAACTCGTGGTGAGTACTAATTAGTGATTTTACATTGAAGGGAACTTCAATTGGGAGATACAAGTGTTCCACTGTGTTCGCAAGAAGAAGAAGACAAGCAAATAGCATGAGTCAGGATAAGTATAAAATATCAATTTTATTCAGAAAATTACATTTTTATATTGTTGAAGATAAATGTATACTGGGAAAATGCAGTGCCGGATGGCATGGGGATAATATATTTACTATATGGTGATGAGGTGCTTGTTTCCAGGTCCACGGATCTCTGGAACTTCTTGGCCTGCTCATTCTGAGTCTGGACCTGGGAATCAGAATTAAATGGCTGGGCTGGAGGACGTGTCTCCGTCACAAGAGGACCGTCATCAAGGTTAGTGGTTTCACCAGAAACTGAAATGTGACAAATCTAGATTTGACCTTTACTAATAATGACATGTAGCTCTTGTATTAGTGGGAGACATTTTTAACTCATTGTAACAGGTCTGTTTATGCACTTATGATTGTTTCCTAACAACTAGTTTTATGTCTGCAGGCTACAACACTGTTCATCATGGGCGTCGAGGCCATCGTGGTGCTGGTTAGGCAGACCAACCACTTCCGGGTCACCCGTGCCCTTCGACCTCTCTTCCTTATCCACTCACATTACTGCCGAGGGGTCAGGAGGTCAGTAATTGTGTTGTGATCTAATCGTGTCCACTGTGACCTGCAGTGACCACTGTCTGATAGCTGGTTTATTGGGCTAACTTTCACAGTGTTCTTGTAAATTATATAGGATATTCATGCAGGGCAGATGGGGACCTTACAGAGTTATGTCCCTTTGGCATGCCCGAAACTTTTGCTTATGGGTGTAAATCCTGTTCCTTCCTGATTGTCATCGTAGTGTCAGCAAAACAGTAGACATCTAAAACCAGGGCTCCAGATAAGGGCAGTATCGGCGTATGTACGGATATAAAATATGCACAATACGGTAGGAAATATTTTAGAAAATGTAGCAGATACGCACCACACCAATGCTGCACGGTCATAGAATCATTTACAGACGTATTTATCTGAAAAAATATTGTTTTATTGTTTATTGACCTTTTTACACAAGAGTAGCTATGTTGTGGTGCATATATGAAACGAAACACAAGATTACTGATCCGCCATTAAATTCCATTCAGTACTCAAAATGTACTCTTAAGGTTTTCCAGTACTCCTATATTGAAAAAATAAGCAGTACGTACTCCTGATGTTGAAAAATTATCTGGAGCCCTGTAAAACCTATACGACTTTCGTCTTTCCTTCAACTTCATGCTGACAAACTTGTCAACAACAATACCATCTCACCTGAGATTTTAAAGTTTGAAGCATGAAAAGAAGGTTTACTCTCCAAATGGTCTGATTCTCCCTGTGATCCCTGACCATGTGTTTCTGTTGACAGAATCTCCAGACAGGTGCTTCAGTCGATGCCGCCCATCTTAGATATGATATTCCTCCTCCTCTTCTTCATGCTCATCTTCTCAATCCTGGGTAAACATCTGTTATGTCCTCCAGACGGTAAACATATGTTGTAACATAGTTGTCCCCTGCCGGAAATGGGGACTATGTAACCAGCAGCGTACGTACATCCCGATTCTTGTAAACACCATATCTCATGTACTGTCGTACCCAATGTCTTCAAATTTGGTGACAGCCTACATTTGGGGACTATGCGGACACCATTCAGTTTGGGTGACCTTACCCTTATTTTCAAGGTCACCATGACACTTTGACCACTGTTCAAACTCATGTAAAGCGATATCTCATAAAACATTGCACCCAATGTCTTCAATTATGTTGACAGCCTACATTAGTACATATGTCGACACCAGTCATTAAAAGGTTGTATTGTCTTGGAAGATTTAGACATAATTTACAGTCACCTGTTTCAAATATAATACATGGTTAAAATATTGAAAAACTCAAAATTTTAGCGTCCGAGCTGAACAATAAATTGCCATTTCTTACAAATTTGATGTCAGGAATTAACCTAACGGGTATCAGGGAAGGGTAGGATAATAGTGGGTGTGGTACCTGGGTTAAATATTTGGACCCGTCCCAGTACTAAAACACACTGAAACTGACAGTGACTATGTGCATCTGCATCTATACATTGAAATCTACTATTTGTTATAACAGGGTATGTATCTCTTATTACACCCTAGAAGAGGTAACTAACTTAAATGCTATTGGACATTGTACCCATCATAATCATAGTAAAAATATTTATATAAGTTATTACGATGTTCTGCTGTTTGTTTGATTATTAAAGAAAACCCTGAATGTTTTAAACATCTGAAAAACCATGGATATGTACGATACACACCGTTCATTACAATCAGCACTGAATTTCGCTAGTTTACAACGTGATTAACCTGAGCTCAACAGCGGATTTGTTATATGCTATTGCCGATGACGTGAAGATGTGTGATTGCTGGGCAAATTTTTTCATGGGATACACAGATTACCCCACGGTTTAAGCAAATCTACGGTATAGCGAAGAGCGTTATTGCGAGGGAAGACTGTACCACCAAACATGGTAACTTGATGGTCTGACTTATATGTCACTGATCAGGGTCACTGTTATGTTATGTGCCACAAGGTAACTATCTGTTACCATTAACCGTTATACCACATAACTATCTGTAATAACTTATGGGCGGTGGGGTAGCCTAGTAGTTAAAGCGTTGGCTCGTCACGCCGAAGACCCAGGTTCGATTCCCCACATGGGTACAATGTGTTAAGCCTATTTCTGGTGTCCCCCGCCGTGATATTGCTGGAATATTGCTAAAAGCGACGTAAAACTAAAACTCAATCAGTCAGTCTAATAACTTATATACATGTATATGGCTAAACAGGGAAATATGAAATGGAATGAGATACTAGGAAACTAAATTTTACACAAATGTTTGTATGAGCTTTAAATTTGTTTTCTTGTTGCTTCAGGCTTCTACCTGCTGTCTCAGATAGATAACAACAGTGTGAGTATATACCTTGTGTGTTTAATTCCGCCATGTACAGCTACGATAGTGTCTCAATCAGGATCACTGATGTGCCACCATGGTTATGTTGCGATAGTTATAATGTCTCTGTTGTTATTGGGTCTGAAAACTTACAAGCCTGGGCCCCGTTTTACAAAACTCTCGTCGCGCTACGACTATCGTAAGTCAGTGTTACTCTATAGGGGGTAGGAATGCTACAAGGAATGTTACAAGATTTTATGCTTACGAGAGCTTTGTGAAACATGTTGTGGGGCAGGGCCTTCCTTAAACACACCATGATTTGCTGGGTTTAGTTAAGATTACAAGAGTAACCTCCCTTACCATCCTTGATCTCTCAACACTACTATATACATGTATGCTTATGTTTCAGGATTTCTTTCATTCTTCCACAAGAAGTTGACACATTCAGATGTAACGTAAATGTTGTTTAAATTGATAATTAAACCCCCAGTTTACTGTAACACGTTGATGTAATAGTTTTGGTTTTGCTGTTAGCATGAATATATCATATATCATATATCTGAAGGACAGGCAAGGATATGTGGTTTAACATCATTTAGCGTCATGGTTACAATAGGTCCTTAGCAACCTGTGTTTTTTGTAAGAGTGGACATTGTTGAATGTGTTGTTCAACAATCTACACAGTAAATGTTTTCATGTCATGTTTCCTGTGAGAACATGATCGTGTCACTGTTTGTTTCAGCCTGAAATTGTCTGTCTGTTTCAGTATTTCCAAACTATTCAAGACAGCTTCGTCAGTTTGTTCATCCTTCTCACAACAGCCAAGTGAGTGTGCACTCTCATCCTTCACCTTACATGCTGACAAAACATTAGTTGATGATACCTCCTATGACTACAAAGATTGGAGACCGCCTCCGTGGTGTAGTGGTTAGAGCGTCCGCCCGGAGTGTGGAAGGTCGCGGGTTGCATCCCCGGCTGCGTCATACCAAAAGACGCTAAAATATGGTAGTTGTTGGTCCCTGCCTGGCGCCCGGCATTATTGGATACAACAAGGACTGGTCGGCTCGGAGTCAGTATACTGTGTCTGAGTGGGGTATTCATGCTTCACTGCGGCATGGTATCTCAGTGGGCTAGCACTATAAAACCAGCTTAAGTCTGGGCTAGTACAAGCAGCCGCACATACACATACACATGCATGCACGTCGTCATATGAGCGAAATATTCTCAAGCACGACGTTAAACCCAATTTCACCTCACCTCACCTCACAAAGATTGGAACTATTCAGCTTTTAGCTAGTGATAGTGTTACCATGGTTACATGGGCTCAATTTAGTGCTTTGTTACTTGCACTGGTGCAACCCAATATTACAAAGTGCAACCTAGTTATTAGTGCAAGTCAATTTTTTAGAAATAAATCAACAATAAATCTAACATTATAAGCATAAATATGTCAGTTCATCTTTCTTCTAAACTATGAATAGCCATGGCACTGAAACATTGTTATTTATAGACACGTCTCGGCTATGACAGCTCTTGTAAACAGGGATCAGCTGTGTCTCTGTGTTGCTATGGTTTCATGGGTACTACATAATGGAAATATGTTTACGTGCACTGAAACCTCTGACGTTTCAACACACTACGTTGCAACTGGAATTTGGCTGGTGCAACTAGGTTTTTATCTTATATTGCACCTGGTGCAAGTAGGTTAACATCTCTTAAATCAAGCCCTGTTACCTGTAGATGTTGTCAATCAATGCTCATTCTATCGACCACTAGTTCCTGAGATCCAGGGGGCAGTGGGGTAGTCTAGTGGTTAAAGCGTCTGCTCGTCACATTGAAGACCCGGGTTCAATTCCCCCATGGGTACAATGTGTGAAGCCCATTTCTGTTGTTCCCCCATCGTGATATTGCTGGAATATTGCTGAAAATGGCGTAAAAGCTTACTAACTCTTGAGGTCCAGAGCCCAGTTTATTAAACAACTATTGCTATGCTTCTCATAACATTATTTGTACCATGACTACATTTACAGTATTGGTCAGTTATATTAAGTTCAAGTTTGTTGGAAAATTGGAGCATTGAAACTGGGTCAGAACTCCAGCCCTCAAATGTTACTTGTCAATGAGTACCAACATCATTGAATTTCGTCTTGTCCTCGTCGGAATAAATAGTCTCATGCTAGCAGAAGACTGGTGTGAGTATAGTTTTCATATCACTGACCGAGTCATCGACTGTTTCTGCAGCTTCCCCGATGTCATGATGCCTGCGTACGCAACATCACCGTTTTACAGCCTGTTCTTCATCGTGTATCTCTCACTGGAACTCTACTTCGTCATGAACCTGGTCAGTGTTAGATAGATTTGGGACATTGATTTAAACCAGTTAAGATTTAAACCAGTTTAATGATGCACTATGGAATATAATGGGTATACTCAGTAGTGGTGGTCCAATTAATTGAAATAATCGAAGATTGGTCCTAGTGACTAAACGACTAAGCAATCGATCATAATATCTCATAATCGAACATAAACAATTCTGTAACACTTGTTTTCATTAACAATATTTTTCACATGGTTGGTTTTGTCTGTTACATTTCGTAAGCACTGCAATCTCGTTTCAAGTCATGATTGAATTTATCTTTAAGATTACAAGAAATTTATGTTCCCAACATACTAGTCATCATTTAAAGATGTGAAATTTTGCCCCAAAAAACCCTAAAAGAACTACATGTTTTTTTCCTTATTTTTATGTGCATTAACAAATTTCATAAATGATGCTAACCAATTATTTTCGATGATTGATCGTAGTAATGAACCAATCATCAATTATGAGATTTGAACCAATTCCCAACACTAATACTGAGTATAAGCTGACAACACCATCAGTTATACTGTGCTCTGTTGACTCATTGATGAGGAAGTCCCAGCTGTGAGAGCTAGCTTAGACATTAAGAAATGTCTTCATTTTATGTATCATACATGAGACAACAGATAGTACCATGTCTATTTCACACAAAAAACTTGAGAAGTCTCACAATTCGTGGCCTTGGCACAAAGAGTACTGACAACAGGGACATTTATCACACAGGTGTCACATCCATGCACACGTTAAATCAAGTACAGTGAGACCCCTGATATCTGGACACATTCATTTTTTACGTAAATCGTCCAGATAACTGAATATCCGGATATCTGCATTTCTGCCGTCCTGGCTTACCGTATACTTCCATCTATAAGCCGAATTTTGAAGATAAAAAATGTAGTCTGTAGAAGGGGGTCGGCAAATCTTTATGAGTTACGCTTTCGTCAAACTTTTTTCCAGGGGTAAGAAAACAACATCACATCACCTAGCGTGAACAAACAGAAGACAACTTTGTCAGAAGAGACGTCAAATTTGCAATTAACATCACTAGACAAGATTATTTACCTTTTAAGTTCTAAGTTGTTTTTGCTGGGCATTAAGATTACCGTGTGTATTTGAGCCGGAAATAGCAATCAGCTGTGCACACGTTTCCCAGTGATCAAGTTTAAACATGCACAATAATGTAGGTGTTTGAACGGTAGCGCGCATACACTTCTTGTTTATACACTTCTTGTTTAAAATCACTCACCCCTGGTGCCTGTGATTCGTGCGACTGTTGCCTGTTCCATTGACGAAGCGCTGTCACTTTGTAATTCGGGCTGTCCGTCGCGAGATTTTCAAGGCCTACCTCAGCGCCAAGAAGAAACGCTTTGTCACAACGGAAGAGGAAAATGTCTTCCCCTGTTTCTTCTGTGGACTCCTCGGGTCTTCCCCGTCAGACGCCCGATCGGACGCTTCTCCTGTGATAGATCAGCCGCCCACCCCTGCGCCTACTGCTTGCTTGACGCCAAAGCCGCCAGTCTGACGCCTTTGTTGACCCATCCCACCCGGACGCTTTGTCGCGATCCGAGGTGTTCAGAAGTTGCCCGACGCTCTTTTGCCGGGCAGCTGCCGGAGCCTAAGCTTAGCACCGCTCCAGCCGCTGTTTACAGCTTTGTCCCTGCGCGCGCGACACCTGTGGCACTTGATTCTCCTGTTGCTGGCTTGTTGCTTCAACCAACGCCGATGCCTACGCCGACGCTTATGCCTATGCCGACGCTTCATGCTGACGCCGACGCCTGTACCGACGCCAGCACCAGCTCCTCCGACGCTTTTTGGTAGACTCACCGTGATCCCCAGGAAGGCTACGCGGTGTCTAGAGAGGAGGACCTACAACGCCAGTTAATGGAAGAGCGCTCCCCGACGCCAGGACGCCGAAGCGCTCCCATCGCTCTCGACGTTCGCTCCAGGTCTCCCTCGGCAGCATCATCGGTCTAGGAGTCCTCGCCTTAGTTCGATACTTCTCTTAGCCGTCCGTCGGTCTGACTCTAAGGTCTCTCCTGCAGACGCTCCAAGGATAGGGAGAGGCCACGGTCACCGATGCGTGGGAGGCGATGATGATGATGGGGGCACCTACCTCCCTCTCTCTGCTGTGTTCGACTGGATTGTTCGTGCAAGAGGATGATGATGATGGGGGCACCTACCTCCCTCTCTCTGCTGTGTTCGACTGGATTGCCGACAGACTGCCGGATTGTCCTTCTCCCTCTTCAGGTTCGGCCGACCCGAAGGCTATTCGGTCTTCTCCGGAGTTACTCCTCCCGCCTCACCCGATGGTGGCCGATGCTGTGGCTTCTTTGGACGCTGATTTTGCTACTTTGTCTCTCAATACCACTATTAAGGCTCCTAAGTCACGCAAAGGGGACTACAAGATACATAGTTTGGATTTCGTTTGGATGAATCCCTCAAGCGCTTATCGGGTTCCCCACAGTCATCTTACCGAGTGCAGGACTCCAAGATGTTGGCCATTGATGCAGAGCTCAAGCGGATGTTGAAGCCTGTATCAGCGTTGGCCTCTGCAACTTCGGCTGCAGCTTGGGATTTGACGGAAGACAACGCGTCAAGGTTAGAACATCTTTACCACCCTGTTTCAATGGCAGGGTAAGGTGTTGCATGATTTGCTGGCGACTCGGGCGGCTTTGGCCATGACAACTGTTGTTCGGGCGGATGGGTTTCCTGGAGCCCTGTTCTGGCAGGAAGAGTTTAAAAGGAAACTGTTAAGAGCCCCTTTTGCGCCTCGCTTTCCTCTTTAATGACGCGTATTCGAGGTGTATAAGGGAACACGCAGAGCTTACCAATACGGGAGGTTTCTTTTTTCTACGCTCGGCATTGAGTTCGGCCTTTCAGGGCAGATCATCTACAAGGGGTAGAGGGAAGCGCCGCTACGCCCCGAAGAGACTCGATCGGGCGATGCCTCTGGCAGAGGACGGGCCGTGGCAGGTCCGAACCTGTTTTTCAGCGCCCGCCAGCAGGACTCGGCCCCGGGACCCTTCGACCCCCGCAGGGTAGGGGGAGGCTCTTACTTCGGGTCGCTGAAGTTAAGCACCAACACGACTGGGACCTCCGCGCCCCAGTCGTGTCGGTTTGTCCTACTCCAGTAGGCGGAGACTGGGGATCTTCTGGCCCAACTGGACAATCCTGGAAGACCCGCTTTGTCACCAACATTCTCAACACCGGTTACAAGCTGCCAATCGCAGTGTCGCCGCCTCTGACTACAACGCCCCAGTCACGTGTGTATGCTCCAGACCAACAGTTACTGCTAGCAGACAGCATTCACACTCTGTTACGCAAACAAGCTATAGAGACAGTGCTAGACCCCCAACAGTCCCCAGGGTTCTATTCACCAATCTTCCTGGTTCCCAAGAAGGACTCAGTGAAACTACGCATGATTCACAACATGGCAGTTTTCAACCACCTTTATCTTCGAACCGCCACTTCCTCGCATGGTGTCCCTGGAACAGCTACGAGCCAAGCTTTTCGCCCAGGGTCTGGTTGGCCAGCCTCGACCTTCAGGATGCCTACCTGCATGTGCCCATTCACCACCGTCACAGGAAGTACCTGAGGTTCTTTTCAACGGGTCCCACTACCAGTGGAAAGTGCTTCCGCTTTAGGCATTTCCACAGCCCTGGGGCTTTTACCGATTACTCGGCCGATCACCCGGTTCCTCCATCTCAGGGGCATCGATTTCGACTTTATATAGACGACTGTCTCATGAACCACTCGACCCTCAGTTGCTTCGCAAAACAGATGCACTTTGCCATTCATCTCTTTGCAGCAACTGGGATGGATTATCAACACAGACAAATCCCACCTGGAGCCGTCCCCAGGAACTGACGCTATAGGAGGCTTATTCCTGACGACATGCACCTTGTCAGGATTCCGCCGGATCGCTGGAGAAAGATTGTCAGTTTCGCCAACCGAGGTCTATCTCAGCCGCTCGTGCTCAGGGAGGGGCAGTCCTCTTAGGTCTCCCCACCTCAGCCCAGGACTTGACGCCAGAGGTCGGTTGATGCTTCGGCCGCTACAGCTTTCCTGTTGCCTTACATCCAGGCGATCGACCTTCAGTTGAGGGTTCCTTTGCCCCTGCATCTCCACGCTTACCTCCTGGTGGATCTGTCGAGTCGAACGCCTGGCGCAGGAGTCTCCTTTGACAGAGTTTGTTCACGATCACGAACTGTTCGGTAGATGCGTCTCTTCAAGGTTGGGGTGCACACCTGCGCGATTACAGACCACCTCGGGCTGTCGTCCGCCCCGAGCTAAGTTGGCACATCAACAACTTGAGCTGCAAGCAGTCATTTTAGCCGTTCGACACTGGGTGCCTCTGTTGCGGAACACCAGGCTCCTGATAGCGGCCGGACAATTCCTAATACGGTGGTGTGGTTGATTCACAATCAGGGAACGACCAGGTCCAAACAGTTGTTGGAGCAGACTTTCCAGCTGGCCAGTCTCCTGGACAACAATGGCATCAGCGCCAGAGCCCGCACATCCCAGGGTGCAAGAACGTTTTGGCAGACGCTCTCTCAAGGCCGGGCAAACCGTCTCCAACAGAGTGGATGCTACATCCAGAAGCTTTCAAACTTCTTTGTCACAGTCATGGCCGCCCTCTGATCGACCTGTTTGCGACTCGCTTCAACACACAACTTCCGTTGTACGTGTCTCCGATTCCAGATCCGGCGGCATGGACAGTCGACGCCATGTCCTTGTCGTGGGAGGGTCTGGACGTGTACGCCTTTCCACCACCAGTTCTGTTGCCAGCGGTAATAGCAAAGGTCAAGCGGACAGAGACGATTCGTCTGCTTTTGGTCGCGCCTGGTTCCCAGATCTGCGCCATCTCACCGAAAGCAGTCAGCAACAGTTACCAGACTGGCCTCACCTGCTCAGGCATCCCCACAGTCGACAGTGGCATCCCGATCCGACTCGGTTTCATCTGTGCGGTTGGATCATCTGCAAAAGGCGCTGAAGGCCAAGGGCTTCTCCACGGGTGTCGCCAAGGTTATTGCTCGTGCTCATCGAGTCTCCACAAGATCACTCTATGATGATAAGTGGGTTTCTTTTGAGAAGTTTTGTGCACAGAAGTCCAAGGACCCGTTGAAAGCTTCTCCTCAGTTTATAGCAGAGTTCCTTCTTTTCTTCGAAGTCCCGGGCGCTCAAGGGCAACACTATAGGTACTTATTTATCGGCTCTTAACTCTGTTCTGGCGTCAAGTGCGACAAAAGATTTGCAAGGTGCCGGAACTCATCGCCGCCCTCAAAGCGCGTAAGCTGGAGGACCAGAAGGCAAAGCCCGGCCCCTCCTGCTTGGGACCTTAACGCCGTTCTTAGGCATCAGAGAGGTCCCCTTATGAGCCCTTGGACACGGCTTCATTTGAGAACCTCTCCAGGAAGACAGCCTTTCTCTGGCCCTGGCCACAGCGGCTAGGGTTAGTGAGATCCACGCATTGGATGTCACCAGGGTGCGCTTTTGAGCAGTCACGCACGGTCTTGTTCATCTCGGACTGCTTTGGGATTTCGTGGGCTAAGAACCAGCTGCCGGGACAACCGGATAGGATCTTCTCCATCCCTCCTTTGTCTTCCATTCTAGGACCTCACGCTGAGGAACAGCTGCTGTGTCCGTGAGGGCACTTAAGATATATATTGCCAAGTCATCTTCCAGGAGGCAGTCTCAGAAGAGATTGTTCATCCCGTTGTCTTCTGTGGCCAAAGGTGAAGTTAATAAGAATACGCTTGCGCTCTGGCTCCGCGACTACCATCCTGACCGCCTACGATGCGCCAAGATCTGCCTCATCCTACAGCCAATAATCCGCACGAGATTAGGGCTCTGGCATCCACCATGGCTCTCCACAGAAACTGCACCGTTCCAGCCATCATGGAGGGTTGTTTTTGGAAGTCTTCTACTGTCTTCGCTAGTCATTACCTGCGGGATTTGGCCATCGAGGACGTGGAAGGTCTTCAATCGTTTGGTCCACTGGTGGTTGCTCAGCAACTCACCCTGGCCCCACCATTAGGTAACTTTTTCTTTACCTTCTGGTCTTCAGGTTAACTTACACCTTGGGTATATTTGTTTTCCTTAGGGTTGCCTTTAGTTACTATCTGTCTCCGGTTCCAGGCTCTCCGACAGTCTGCCGATTCAGTAGTTTCTTCTGGTTTTCCCTTGGCATGTGGGTTTTTCTTGGGACGGTCCTCTGGAGCCTGACACCGCCGTCCCTACTGTCGAATCCATATGCATAAGACCTATGGTAAGGTAAGTTAAAAATTTATTAAAATCTAAATATTTTAGATATTTAAATACTTACCTTACCATAGGGCGGTAACTCCCTCCCAACGCTGGATGCTCCTCCCCTCTCTGGGCTCTTCGGACCTTCGCTTTCGCGGGAGGGGAGATCACGTCACTTCCGTTGCCTGTACACTCGTCGATACACGAGGTGGCCGTTCTAGAGAATGGCGAATCAACGACTGTCTGATCTCTTCAAGCGGAGCTTGAGGTAATATGCATAAGACCTATGGTAAGGTAAGTATTTAAATATCTAAAATATTTAGATTTTAATAATTCCAAAACAGCATGGTCGTTTTGATTTGCCAATTACAATTCACTCAGTGTCAGATAGGCCTACTGATCACCACCAACACCCTGCTGATCGATATCATTAATCCGGATTAGCAGACCTTGTCTTGTGTCAAAACACATGGGACACTCGCGCTTCACTTCACATGGTCAGCGGAAGATCAAAGCTTCGTGCGGATAAGTGAGTCAATTTTGTGTTGATTTAACCGGTTGGTTTGTAAAATTTACCGTCCGGGAACGGAAACCGCATATCCATTATAGACAGTCACTTTTATAACGTAAGAGGTTTTTTTTATGAAAATTGACCAGGAAGGCGAGGTTTCCGGATATTTCGGGTCTGGGTATCTGGGATCTCACTGTATTAGAGAACTGTAGGGGCGGTGGGGTAGCCTAGTGGTTAAAGCATTTGCTCGTCACGACAGAGACCCGGGTTAAATTGCCCACATGGGTACAATGTGTGAAGCCTATTTCTGGTGTCCCCCACCATTATATTGCTGGAATATTACTAAAAGCAGCATAAAACTAAACTCACTCTCTCATTAGAGAACTGACTTAGTTTAAACGTCATAAAACTGAAACTTATTTTCTAATAGTATCCAATAAGCACAAGACATTCCAGACTGTCGTCGTAAGTTTTCGGCTTATAAAGATTACTTACAGATATAGATATAAGTTGGTCAGAAGGCGATAAATTAGGGAGCATGATTGCCATGGGAAGTATGGTAATGAGGTAACATTGATATATAGTCATGTGTTACAATGTGCTTCTTTCTCCTCAGCTGTTGGCTGTCGTGTACGACACCTTCCTGAATCTGGAGAAAGTCAAGATCCGGTCTCTGTTCTTCCACAAAAGAGAAGGATGTCAACATGCGTTCAAGCTGGTCACAACCAAACAGGTACTGCTGAAAGTTTTTGTCCCTTCGTATATTAAGGAATGTTATTATCCCCCGCAACTTCGTCTGTGCATCTGTCACACTTTGTCCGAAGCATATCTCCTAAACTATACTGCTTAGCTTCATCAAACTAGGTACATATGTCAAGCATGATCCCTAGATGTGCCTTTTGGGGGTTAGACCCAGGTATGAATTTTATTTTTTGTGGTTTCAATGGAAACATGACTTAGGTTTTGGCTATGAAGATGTCATCTTGTCTGGAGCAGATCTCCTAAATTATACATGCTAGCGTCATCAAACTTGGTACACATATCAAGCATGATCCCTAGATGTGCCTTTTGGGAGTTAGACCCAGATATGAATTTTATTTTTTGTGGTTTCCATGGAAACACGATGTAAGCTGTGACTATGAGGATGTCATCTTGTTGTATTTCCATGGCAACAAGTTAGGCTTCAACTGAATTTGGTGGTAGTGCTCCTTTCTGGAGCAGATCTTAAAACCTTTCCATACTCTCCTTCCACTTTGCTGTATACACTCCAAAACATTTGACGTAATCATAACTAGTAGACATATTCATAAAGAGTATTTTGCCGTTGCGGGGATTATCGATGACTTTGTCTTCTTGTTGATATTAAAAGGATATTGCTCTTAATATGAATCACTGGTTTGTCTGGTTCAAACTCAAACACTTATGTCTGTTTTTCAGAACTGTTCCACGTTGAGCGTGAGACATTTTGTTGGAATGATGAGGTTCTTCCGACCAAAACGAGGTGAGTGGAGTGAGGATGTAGGAACAGAACAGGGTGGAAGTGAGGATGTAGAACAAGGAGGATGAGAACAGGGTGAAGTGAGGGTGAAGTGAGGATGTAGAACAGGGTGAGGATGTAGAACAGGTGGAAGGAGGATGTAGAACAGGGTGAGGTGAGGATGTAGAACAGGGTGGAAGTGAGGATGTAGAACAGGGTGAGGGTGAAGTGAGGATGATGTAGAACAGGGGGATGAAGTGAGGATGTAGAACAGGGTGGAAGTGAAGTGAGGATGTAGAACAGGGTGGAAGTGAGGATGTAGAACAGGGTGAAGTGAGGATGTAGAACAGGGTGGAAGTGAGGATGTAGAACAGGGTGAGGATGTAGAACAGGGTGAAGTGAGGATGTAGAACAGGGTGAAGTGTAGAGGGTGGAAGTGAGGATGTAGAACAGGGTGAAGTGAGGATGTAGAACAGGGAGGATGTAGAACAGGGGTGAGGATGTAGAACAGGATGTGAACAGGGTGAAGGAGGATGTAGAACAGGGTGAAGTGAGGATGTAGAACAGGGTGGAAAGTGAGGATGTAGAACAGGGTGGAAGTGAGGATGTAGAACAGGGTGAGGATGTAGAGGGTGGGATGTGTAGAACAGGGTGAAGTGAGGATGTAGAACAGGGTGAAGTGAGGATGTAGAACAGGGTGGAAGTGAGGATGTAGAACAGGGTGAAGTGAGGATGTAGAGGAGGTAGAACAGGGTGAAGTGAGGATGTAGAACAGGGTGAAGTGAGGATGTAGAACAGGGTGAAGTGAGGATGTAGAACAGGGTGAAGTGAGGATGTAGAACAGGGTGAAGTGGAACAGGATGTAGAACAGGGTGAACAGGGTGGGTGAGTGAGGATGTAGAACAGGGTGAAGTGAGGATGTAGAACAGAGGGGGTGAAGTGAGGGATGTAGAACAGGGTGGAAGTGAGGATGTAGAACAGGGGAAGTGAAGTGAGGAGTGAGAATGTAGGTGGAACAGGGTGGAAGTGAGGGATGTAGGGATGTGGATACAGGGTGGAAGTGAGATGGAACAGTGGAAGTGAGGATGGAGAACAGGGTGTAGAACAGGGTGAAGTGAGGATGTAGAACAGGGTGGAGAGGATGGAAGTGAGGATGTAGAACAGGGTGAAGTGAGGAACAGAATGGAGGACAGGGTGGAAGTGAGGATGTAGAACAGGGTGGAAGTGAGGATGTAGAACAGAGATGGAGGATGGATGGTGGGAACAGGTGGAAGTGAGGATGTAGGTGGAGGACACAGGTGGAACAGGGTGGAAGTGAGGATGTAGAACAGGGTGAAGTGAATGTAGAGGAAGTGGAGGGATGAACATGGTGGCAGTGAGGATGTAGAACAGGAAAGGAGAAGTTCACTGAGTGAGGATGTAGAACAGGGTGAAGTGAGGATGTAGAACAGGGTGGAAGTGAGGATGTAGAACAGGGTGAAAGAGAAGCTCACTGAGTGTCTTTTGATAATGAACACGACATAAGGTTTTATGTTTCATTAAAGTATGTTTTCTATAAATACCCCAAACGTCTTCAAAACAAGACATGGTTATGTATGCACTCATTTGTGAAGATTCAAAGTTATTAAGTGCTCAAAACATGTCAGAGAAACTTTATGTATTCATTCCTCATTATCGTGATAGTATGCCCTTCATTTGTACACCTTTCTTACCCCCACCACCATGTTGTATGAATTTATTGTTTGTTACGAAATGTACAAGGGCCTGTGACCCTTATACTGAAAAATCTTTCTTCGTCTCTATGAACACAAGTCAACTTCAAACTTTCATTGACAAGAATTGATATTGTTGTTATGAAAAGTTTCAACACACTCAACAATGAACCTCATCCCAAATCTTTTGTCAGTCTTTGTAAATAATTAGTAGTATCAGCTTGTTGAGTGAAAAAAAGTCACAGTTAACCACTCTCACTGACAGAGGTATTAGTTGTACAAAATTCCCAAAATTATGAACGGCCCCTGAAGGAGTTAGGAATTAGTACAACTGTTAAAAACTTATCAATAGTGAAATTTGCCATTGCCATTATGACAACAATGACTCTTCTGTGGAAATACATTAAAATGAACAGTTCATTATGTTCATAAAAAAGCTAAACTAAACTATAAAATACCAAGAAACAACTTCAGTTGTAAGACCGCCTCTAATGGTGTAGTGGTTAGAAGCGTCCACCGGCAAGACGTCAGCGGTTCGATCTAATCACATCCTTGCAAGAGGCGTTAAAATGTGGTACTTGTTGAGGGTCCCTGCCTGGCTTCGGCATTAATGGGTACAACAAGGACTGAGTGGAAACAGGGTCAGTATACCTGTGTCTGAGTGGGGTATTCATGCTTCACTGCGTGGTATCTCAGTGGGCCTAGCACTATAAAACCAGCTTCAGTCTGGGCTAGTACAAACAGCTGCACCTTTTACATACAAGCATGCTGCGATGGTCATATATGGCCGAAATATTCTCAAGCACGACGTTAAACCCAATTTCACCTCACCTCCCAGTGATCTTCAGATCATTGTGATGCAATTTCATTGCAATGATATCTCCTCAGAGATAGTCCTTGGAGAAAGGGATTGATATCAACCGAATGATATCTCTTATGGTAGCGAGTTTTTTCAGATATGATCAATGTCAGTTGCTGAGTTGTTTTTCACAAGATCTGAGTAAAATGAAATTGTTTACAGTTACTCTATGAAAGACTCTAGGAGTGAAATAGGAATGAAGGAACATACTCCTACATATCACATCTGTCATGCTGATTTTTAATGTACCAATCAAGGCAATGGGCAGATGGCTGGTAATTTAGCCTCATTATGAATACTATAACATACCATACCAATCTGTCTGTACTGCACATTGTTTCTGTGAATAAAGCATCTGACAGGAGCAGACGGTCAGTGTTTGAACCCTAGATGATGTTAAAACATTGTACATGTTGTTGCCTGACACATATCCTTGATGAAAACACTGTCAGTAATGAAATTGTTTACCTGTTGTCTGTGAAACACACTAGAATTAAATAAAAAGGAAGAAACCTGTATGTATCATGTCTGTCATGTTGATTTTCAGTGGAAAAATCAAGGCAATGGCAGATGCCCAGTTATTGTCCTCATTAAAGATTAGACTTTGCAATCACAATTGAAACACTAATACCTCCCGTCTGTCTTTTATTTATTACTCGCTGTTTTCGTTGGTGAGGCATCTGTCAGATGAGAGCAGACGGTCATTGTTTGAAGCCTGGTTGATGTTCGAACCCTAGTACATGTTGCAGCCTGGCATGTGGCCTTGAAAACACTGTCTGAATTGTTTACTTATGTTATGACTGTAGCATGGTATCTTCTTGGACCCAGGTTCCGACAAGTACAAACAGCCATAGCCATAATTGTGCTTGCATGTTGCTGTGTGAAGGCAATCTTGAGCACAATGTCTAACCCTATTAAACCTCACGTTATGAATCTGTACCAGCCATTGTTAGAGTGCCATTTACCATGATAATACAGATGTTGATGATCAACGCTTTTATTCCAGAAACACGGGACTACTACTTGATGTTCAAGAGTTTGAACACAAGCAAGACAGGGGGGATAACTCTGGATGAGTTCTACAGAGTATTCGAGATCAGCTCTCTACAGTGGAAGGTGAGTTGAGGCCAAGGCAGGATGGTTTCACAACTTCTGGTAGTCTAATACCAGTGTATGAAATAAGGCCCGTCCGACCGCCTGGGAAGGACTAGATTTCTGACGGACGGTCTAAATTTACAGCTAGCCAGCCTGATGGTCTGGTAAAAGTTTTTTAGATATTCCATACATCTGGGTAATTCCCCATATCTTGGTAACTGGTCTGGTATTTGCAGTTACCAGCCCTGAGATGTCTGGCTGGGGTTTGGCTAATTTCATGAGCTGCTATTACAGATTCAGTTTGGCCTGTGGTTTGTGAAACCAGTACTGCAACTCAAATCTTCCTTTGTCAGCTTTGATGGAGAATTTCTGTTACCAAATTTGGAAATTGTTTTCTGTCAAAATTGGGGCGGTAGGGTAGACTAGTGGTTAAAGCTTTTGCTCGTTACGCCAAATCCAGGGTTTGATTCGCCCCATGGGTACAATGTGTGAAGCCTATTTCTGGTGTACCCCACCGTGATATTGCTAAAAGCGGCTTAAAATCGTCCTCACTCACTCCATAAAAAGTATTCTATTTGAATGTTTTTCTCAAATGATATTATATTATTTTCACCCCCAGCTGAAGAATGACGATTCCTTATGGTCTTCCAACTTCCGTCATCCGTGTAACATCGTCTTCAAATGTAAGTACACATGACTTGGAAGGGATCTTAAATTTGATCTGTGCTTACAATTGGGCTCTGCAGTTTGCAATGAAAAACATTAAGGTTGGGCTTTTTGTGCAGCAAACAATTTGAAAGCTTATGGAGTTCGAACTAGACCAGCAACCCTCTCAAGGGCTCTCAGCACCCAGTGAATCCCGACTTCCATTGTGTAGACTGTAATCATTGGCCAGCCACCAAATCTTGGATGAAGTCTGAGAATAGACGATTATGAAGGGTTTAATCCAAATGACTTTTCCTCATACTGTGTTTTGCTGGCAATAATGGGAATTATTGGTTACTAAAGTTGCTAGATATATAAAGAGGGTCATTCTAGCTGGGTTTATTTTCTAGCCGTTTCAACTTTGAAAGACTTTTGACAGTAAAATGATATGGGAATAACTGTTGATGTAAATAATCACTTATTGACATTTCAAAATCATCTAGGGCGGTGGGGTAGCCTAGTGGTTAAGCGTTGGCTCGAATCCCCACATGGGTACAATGTGTGAAGCCCATTTCAGGTGTCCCCCGCCGTGATGTTGCTGGAATATTGCTAAAAGCGGCGTAAAACCAAACTCATTCAGTCAGTCAAAATCGTCTTTCTGCTCTGTATTTCTGTCAGTATATATGTGCTATATTAAATACAACTATTGTTCAACTCCTGACATTTGGAACAATTCAACATCTGTGTGGAAGTACAGCTTGACATGTACAGATTTTTTATTATTTTTCCTTATCCTGACTCATGCTCTTTTTGCTTGTCTTCTTCTTCTTGCGAACATAGTGGAACACTTGTATCTCCCTAATTGAAGCTCCCTTCAATGTAAAATCACTAATTAGTACTCAGCACGAGTTACCTCCCTTCCACAAGCTCGGGAACGAGGGCGCCACCTCCACCCATGTGCCTCACTCTCTCCTTCTTCGCCCAGTGAGCTGGACGTGAGAGCACCTGTGTCTCCCGACACACTATATCCTTTGATTATATTTAGTTAGTTACCTCGTGATAGACATCTATAGAGGTTTAGCTAGTATCCTTCAACAATTATATATTGATATTTAGTCGCGGTTTCTACTGTTTATTCACGGACGCCGTGTTTGTTTCAGTGGATTACGTTGATAAAAATTCTGTTCTGTTGCAGATTACGCTTTTATTCTGCTGCTGATCCGCATTTAGTATGCCCTAGTTGTACTGCGCCATGTTCATTTTATTCAATGCGTTGCAGTTGGCGTACTAATTTATCCATTTCTGCCTTTAATAAATAATTACTTATGCGTTTGAGACGCCGCAGCAGATAGGTCGCTGCATGCAGAGTCTAGCCATGACTGATACACCTGAACCCCTCGCCAGTCTACTGCTGTTGGTCGACACCCTCCCGCCTCTGGTGTTCATGCTTAGAGTGGTGGAGAGGCGTGGGATCGAACCGTCCGCCTCAAGAAGCCCCCTGCTTCCCCAGACATCCCATCGCCGCAGCTTCTAAGACTAGAGGGTTTCTACTGCATCTCATCGCGACCTCTGAGAGGAAATCAACGAAGTCTACTTGAACTTTCTCAGCCGAGAGATTGTTCCCGTCGCCGATTTGGGCCTGTATGATGATCAGCCATCATCATACCTGATGTACATCAAAAGAATGACCCGATGTCGACAACAGTGATGTCAGCGCAGATCAACATACAGCCTGATGTACCAACGCTGATATTCTATGATCTTCCTGAGGGTCCCGTCGCTACCAACACTCAACGCAGACTTCGCACCCCCAGGGCAGCGTGGACCTCTGAGGGGAATTCAACGAAGTCTACTAGGACTTTCTCAACCGAGATTGTTCCAGCCGCTGAACTGGGCCTCTACGATGATCAGCCGATCATCATCCCCGACGTACGCCACAAGAAGCGACCGGAGACAGCTACAGTGACATCAGCAGAGATCGCCATGCAGCCTGAGGTCTCTACACTGAGGGCTCCGCCGCTAACATCGCAGAGAGGGCACCGACTAATTCCTCGCAGACCATCCCAGATGAACTGTTGCGGCAAATCATGATCATGATGGAGGGCCACTACAGACTGGGAAGCAGCCAGCCCTAGGCCTGGAGCTCTTCGAAGGTTCCAACGCAGACGACACCCCAGAGGCACCCCCATCAGCGTAACAGCCACGAGGTTAGCACCTTCACGAAGGAAGTCGCAGACCACCTCCACGGCGACCCGATGTACAGCCTTCTTCGCAAAGGCCTTCGGCTACGGATAGATCATCACCTCCGCCTCAAGCCATCCTTAGATGCGACTCAGACCATCAGACCTCACGGAAGCCTTCAAGGTCAAATCGCCATTCCCAGGACCGACGACGACAGGAGCCCGCGAAGGACACCTGACTACACAAGAGCTTCGCGAAGCTATCAACATTCTCCTCACAGGTCTCCGAGAAGGTCAACCCATAGACGCAGATCACCACGTCGATCGTCTCACAGGTCACCACACAAGTCTGCACACAAGTCTACAGTCAGCTCTCCCCGAGCGTCACCCGACATAGAGATAGAAATACACAGTCCACCATCAGAAGAGCAGCAACATCTCATCAGCGAGCGTTGGGATAGAAAATGATGGAGGTATCATTTTCAGACGCTGAGATACGATATATTGATGGTAAACAACCTAGATCTCTCTTCACCTTCCAAGAGTGGCAACCTCGGGCGCAGACATACCTGATAAAGGAAGACGAGGCAGACGCCATCACCTTACCTCCGACGACTTCGATTGCCGCGGTGCCACAGTATGTGGACACAGCCTACCATAAAGCCATAATAGTTCAAACGCCAGAGGCGCATGTTCTGGCATTAATAGATCTAGAACCCATCAATGAGATTTTTATCACCAGATTTCGCAGGACCACTTCTGAAGATGATAGGATGATCTACTCGGCTCTACTCTATGCAGAACCAGCAAGAACCACACCCCGTATGAAGCTAACGCCATATATTGATCGGATTCTAGACACTTCGCTATGAAGTCCCAGGCCACCTCCCGGCACAAGGAGCTAGAGCCTCACCAGTTACAAGGGACGCCACGGAGGAGTAGCTTTCACCGACCCCACATATTGCTGAGTGCGGCGAAAACAAAACACTCACTCACTACCACTCCTGTTGAACACAGAGGTCGTTTCAAGGCAAGCGCTTCATATATATATATATATATACTGATCGGGCTCTTGATTCGATACCTTCGCTTAAGGTCGCTGGCTAAGTGGCTCCAAATCTACCTCACACAGGAAATCTAGAATGGATATCTTCCGAGAGCTTCACTAAGTCTCCGGGCGCCCACCGAGGAATTGTCCTCCAAGGTCTCCATATATTAGCCACTTGGCCATATATAGCTACTCGTCAGTCCGTTTCAAGACATCGCATAAGTTGTCTATCAACTGTATGCCATATGCCGCCTATAAGCCTACGCTGTCAATTGCACAGGCTATTTACAACACAAAACGCCGCTATATTAATTAATCAACGGCGTTGCATAGATCTTCACAGAAATCAACTCTTCTCCGTGATAGATTGCTAGAATATGCAATCCCGACTACTACGACATATCGATTATCTACATGCGACCATTACGCAGATATGCAGACAATTCAATATCGAAATTGAACAGCAGCCATGTTACAGCTTAGTATAACTCATAATCGCCAAAGTTTCTGAGAAGAAATATGTACAAGTTCAGCTTTAATTCTACAATTATGACGATACATTCATGTATACAGTCTACAAGCTGACAACTCTGCAAGTTTATTGTACTCTTTTATATAAGGAAGTCGGAATTATATTCAAAACTGAAGTTACATTCACGACAGCCAGGGAAAATAACCTACCCAGCATTAATATTACAGAGTGAGGTATTTCTACCGCCGGAGGTTCTCATGCTTACCTTAACTCCTCAAACACGGGTCACCGGGTAACTTCAGAAGGTACGGTGTGAAGACCGACGATTATGCTAATATCAACGACGGCAAGATTTTATACAAGGTTTTTCCTCCTGCTACACCGGTGATATCATCACGCTGGTATTCTACAGAATCAAAATGCTTTGTTCTGATTGGACCATGTTGGACAACGACTCCACGAGAGGTCGATCTTAGTTCACAGTTCAAGACTTTACGCTACAAGTGAAAACTATATATCAGTGAACGAAGCAAGCCTCCTTACAGTCCAGTTAATCTGAACCTTCATGATTGGGCTGCTTTCTTCAGGTTAGAGACCTCCCCTGTCAAGTTAGGACGAGGGGCACGGCAGTCAGGCAATTTTACATAAAGTTCAACGAGGACAGACACACCTGGTTGTGCACCTACATCGCCAAGGACTTCGGTGAGCTAATAACCTAGGACGACGTGGATACAAGTGGATCTAAATCCACAGCTGCCTCAGACTACAGCTGAATTTCATAATCAAGCTACTAACACAACTAGATGGTTAGTAAACCTACTTAAACTTTCTGATTGGAGAATTAAACGGAAGTTTCAACCCTCCAACTTGGGGATCTGAATATAGTAAGCCTCCAACACCTCACAAGTGAGGTTTATGAACACGCTTGGATGACATACTTGGACTCCATGATACGATGATTCTATCACGATGGCCAGCAAGAGCACTGTAAATTTATCTCCACCGAAACAAACAGAAGGGAATAATACAACAGATTATTTCCTCTATCATCAACTTACGCAGAATGAAATCCTCACGACTATATCTCCGCTTTGGATCAGAACTGTCATACTATGGCATACAAGACGGATGGACCTAATCCGGACCCTCCATGAGCTTTAATACTCATGATATTAGAGCTTAACTTCTACAATTGATCTACACAATATTATTTGAAATAATGGAGGGTTTATTTTCTGAGATCCCCTGATATGGTGGTTACAACCATTATCTGAGAGATATCATCACCGAGGACGTCTCAGGTATCCACCACCTGATCCCATGGTCCTCGTGACAACAGTTGACAGTTCTCGAGAGAAGATAAGTCAATCTTACAGATTTCTACTTATCTTATAACAGTACTAAATAGCCACATGCTATATATAATTTGTTTAAGTTCTTTTATCATCACAGTACTATGATTATTACATCATACAATATATAAGTTAACAACTCTACAGAGTTGGTTATTATATATTTACCTTAACTTAATTATATCTTAAGCATAGTACTATACTCAGATTGTAAAAATATATAAGCCAACAAACTCTACAGAGTTTGGGCTATTATATAGGTAGCTTAAGCTTTTATTCATATCTTAAGCTCAGTACTATGTTTATATCATATCAGTATATAGGCTAACAAACTCTAAAGAGTTTTTGCTATTTGGCTTAAGGCTCATCATATCTTAAGCAATATGGTTACATTATAACATGTATTAACTAACAAACTCACGGAGTTTTTTACTATTATATATGTAACTTGCTTATTCATATCTTAAGCCAATACTATGTTTATATCATATAGGTATATTAGCTATCAAAACCTAAAAAGAGTTTTTGCTATTATATATTTACTTAAGTTTCATCATAATTTAAACTTTATGGTTACATTATAACTTGTATTAGCTAACAAACTCTAATGGAGTTTTGCTATTATATATGTAGCTTAAGTTTTCCTTCAAATCTTAAGCTCAATACTATGTTTATATCATATAAGTATATTAGCTAACAAACTCTACGGAGTTTTTGCTATTATATATGTAGCTTAAGGCTTCCTTCAAAGCTCAATACTCATGTTTATATCATATAAGTATATTAGCTAACAAACTCACAGAGAGTTTTGCTATTATATATGCAGCTTAAGGTTTCCTTCAAAAACTCAATACTAAGTTTATATCATATAAGTATTTTAGCTAACAAACTCTAAAGGGTTTTTGGTTATTATACAATTAGCTTAAGTTTCATCATATCTTAAGCAGTATGGTTACATTATAAAATGTATTAGCTAACAAAACTTAATGGAGTTTTGCTATTATATATATAGCTTAAGTTTAATTATATCTTAAGCTCAGTACTATGGTTATAACATAAAAGTATATTAGTTAATAAACTCTAAGGGTTTTTTTGCTATATACATTTAGCTTAAGTCTAATCTTATCTTAAGCTTAGTACTATGGTTACATTATAAATCTATAAGCTAAAAACTCTACAGAGTTTTGGCTATTATATATGTAGCTTAAGCATTATATCTTAAGCACAGTACTATACTCATATTGTAAAAATATATTAGCTAACAAACTCTACAGAGTTTTGCTATTATATAGGTAGCTAAAGCTTATTCATATCTTAAGCTCAGCACTATGTCTATATCATATAAGTACATTAACTAACAAACTCTAAAAAGAGTTTTGCTATTATATATAATTAGCTTAAGTTTAATCATATCTTAAGCTTAGTACTATGTTTATATTTTAAAGTAATTTAGCTAACAAACTCTAAGGAGTTTATACTAGCATATTAACAAGCTTAAGTCTATTAGTCTTAAGCATTGTATTAAGGTTATAAATACTTTATCATAATAAGTACATTGTAATAACCTTTATATGGCAGCTGATAAGTTAGCAACAGGAATTCATCAGTTCAGTACCTTTATGAAGTTCCCATAGGGTTATTACAATCATCACAGTTCAAATCACTAATTATTAAAATCCAAAGTATTATATATTCCCACCTCCCTTTCCGTCGGATTCTACAAGCAAAAAGAGCATGAGTCAGGATAAGGAAAAATATGTAATTTTTAGAGTAAAATTGATATTTTATACTTATCCTGACTCATGAGGTAAGCCCTCCCATCCTCCCCACATAACACTTTGGATTTCCCCTGTAAATTCAAAATGTTGGGCCTCCAGTATATGAGGAGAGAGTGAGGCACATGGTGGAGGAGGCTGGCTCCCAAGCCAGCTTGTGGAAGGGAGGTAACTCGTGCTGAGTACTAATTAGTGATTTTACATTGAAGGGAGCTTCAATTAGGGAGATACAAGTGTTCCACTATGTTCGCAAGAAGAAGAAGACAAGCAAAAAGAGCATGAGTGTTATGTTATGTTTTCTTTGAACTACAGAGAAGCAACTTCAAGTATATTTTGTCTTTCAGTTCTTAACCGATTCATCAACTGGAAGTGGTTTGACTATTTCATTTGTAAGTATATGTAATGTCCTTGTAGTGAATGAGTATTTTTTTACACCACATTTAGTAACATTACAGCAATATCACGGCAGGAGGTTAATGCATGTGCTTCTCATGCCAAAGACACAGGTTCGATTCCACACATGCATACAATGTTTGAAGCCATGATATTGCTGGAATATTGCTAAGAGCTGCGTAAAATTTAACTCACTCTCTCACTTTGAACATAATGAAGATTATTTGTGATAGAACAAGATTTTAGTACAATGCTTGTCACAAGCAAGATACAAAGTTCATGAAATATGTATGGATGGTTACAATGTATTTCCCTGCAGACGGTGCTGTAGAACAAAGTGAATCGCTGCTCTTGCTGTCAACCACTGGATTATTTACACATGGTGGATGTGTTCACTCACTGGTCCTACCTGACAGGTCACTATTTGTGTTTGTTACAGATTTGGTGATTGCATGTAACTTCTTATGGATCCTGATAGAGACGATCAACTTATCTAGTGAGTACATTGGGAAGTCTGCTTCAAGCCTTAACCAGTTGGGTTAACATATGTTATATTTGGGATTACACTTTGTTAGTAAAGTACAGATTCTAGTATTTTTGGGTTGAGTCCCATCCGGGATTCAAACCTGCACCCTCAAAGTCAGGCACCTAATCGCCAGCACACAAAGTCAGACGCCTAGACCGCTCAGCCACTGCGGTTTCCACATTCTAAAATGGCATTGTGTATTTCACAGTTGGGTTAAGCTCACAGCTTTTCTTTGGAACATAACCCTCTGCATTTGATACCCTAATCTTGATTTGATACCTTCTTCTGTGTTTGATACCCTTCTTTGGATTTGATACTGTCTTTAGATTAGATACTTTCTTTGGGTTTGATTCCCCACTTCAGATTTGATTCCTCCGTCCAGATTAAATACCTCTTTCCAGATTTGATACCTCTTCTCTAGACTTGATAACCTCTCCAGATTTGACCCAACCCTTGCCCCCCCCCTCCTCCAGATTTGATACCCTGAAAAAATCTTGACACTATAATCAAATTTAAGGATTCATGCAATCCAATATTAGCAATCTAAAACAACTAACTTTTTTCCCTGCATTCTCAAACTAAAAACATGTACAAACATACTTTTATCAATTTTGGAACTGCTGTTTAAGTAACTTGACCATGATGGATTGAATATATGAATCCATTGTTCTTTTGTCTAGCCTGTGCACCTGAAACATTGCTTGACTGATCCAAGCCATTGTTTCTGAAAATCCTTGGATTTACACATGGCCACCATTGCTACCATATTGAAAATAACATATTTCCTATAATTTTCCAAATTATTGATCATGAAAATTCATGTTCAAGGTGGGTTAACTAAATAATATTTAAGGTTTTGGGCATGTAATATTTGATCAAGATTTTACCTTTGACCATCTCATACACCCATTTTTGGTAATGTTGCTGCAGTTTAGGTAGATTCGTTTAATTTCTGGTGTTTTTTTAGGTAAATTCTTGTAATTTGTGATTTATGTATTAAATATTGCATGCTTCTGATGCATAGAAAAAAGGAACCCGGGGAATTATTGCATAGTGAAATTTTGATGAATGTAAAAGACTAATGGTGTATATCTATCTGTGTTTTTCTTACAGTAAATGCTGTCAATGTAAAGTCATACGATTTCACAGCAAGCTGGACTTCGATTGTGTTCGTATGTAGTAAGTAGCATTGGACACATCATTGTCAGTAACTAGTCGAGCGCTGCAGTTTCGAACAAATTCTCTGTGCTTTAATTGTGCTACAAATTGGTGCTGAATATAATTGACCGAAAATGAAAACATTCTGCCTCCTTAAAGCAGTACCAGACTCTGCACTTGTCTTGAAAAGTCAACTTTCTAAGTCTATAAACATGGTGATCCCCATGTTGAAATAACTCTTGTTAGAATGGCTGGTATGTCATCACCTTGGTCACTGATCATTGGTAAAAATATGGGTTTGTTCATCATGTTTATCAGTGGGGTAAAGTGATGATTAGTTAATATCTATCCAGTGTTCACAAATAGTGTTTCAAAGTAACAAGACATTGGGTCCTGTAAGTTTCAGATGTCTGTCTGACCCATTGAAAATTCACAGGACCCATGGAATAAAATTAAATAAACATTTCAGATTTAACATTTCTCATAATTGGCATTGAAATTATTAACAAACATAAGATTTATAAACAGCAAACAAGTGTCACATGTCACATATAACAACTTCAGTCAAAGTCATTGTGAAATATGCAGTCAGACACTGGGGCCGGTGGGTTGTAGACTTCTATCAGACCTTTGGCGAATCTGCCGGATTTGTCAGAGGGTCAGACGCTATTCGTGAACACTGTCTGTCAACTGGAATTGTTTTGCCCTGTGGAAATGCTGACTAGTAGAAGAAGCTTGTCAAGCAAATACATGTAGTTTGATAGGCGGGATGTACTGTCACACTGACTTCAGAGATTTTATGTCGTCATACCCTGACATCGTACAATGTCATCAGTCTGGTCTAGATTTGATTATATACAGACTGCCTCTTTACAGCTGAGATATTGCCGAGTATGACATCAAACCATCAAACTACCACTAATAAATAGTGTTACCATGGTTAATGATAAATACTGAAATTGTTTAGCTTCTATATGTCAGAATGTACTGTTCATGGTATTACTTCTTGCAATGGTTGTACATGAAGTGTTTGTTTTGTTTTTCAGTATACTCAGTGGAGGCCATCTTGAAGATCCTTGGCAAGGGGCCACATATATATTTCACATCAGGCTGGGACCTGTAAGTTCACTGTTTGTGATGTTTTATCTGTGGACAGTACCTGACTGCATAGTGTTTTGATTAGTGATGACAATGTATGACATGTTCTTGGTTTGCAAGGCATATATATGACATGTGCTTGGTGTTGCTAGGTTTGACTTCCTGGTGACCGTCATCAGTGTTATAGGAGTGCTCCTTGAGATCCTGGACGACAGCTTCTACTACATCATCGTACTCCGTCCTTTCAGACTGCTCAGGTACACAACCTTCTTTGTAGCAACACATGGCTCCACATACATCACAGACATGGATCCACATGCATCACAGACATGGCTCCACATACATCACACGTGGCTCCACAGACATGGCTCCATATACATCACACGTGTGGTTCCACATACATCACACACATGGCCCCACATACATCACACACATGGCTCCACATACATCACACACATGACTCCACATACATCACACATTTCGCTCCACATACATCACACACGTGACTCCACATACATCACACACGTGACTCCACATACATCACACACAGGGCTCCACATACATCACGTGGCTCCACATACATCACACACGTGACTCCACATACATCACACATGTGGCTCCACATACATCACACACGTAGCTCCACATCCATCATACATCACACACGTGACTCCACATACATCACACACATGGCTCCACATACATCACACATGTAGCTCCACATACATCACACACGTGGCTCCACATACATCACACACATGGCTCCACATACATCACACACATGGCTCCACATACATCACACATTTCGGCTTCCACATACATCACAGACATGGCTCCACATACATCACACACATGGCTCCACATACATCACACACATGGCTCCACATACATCACACACTTGGCTCCACATACATCACACACATGGTTCCACATACATCACACACATGGCCCCACATACATCACACACATGGCTCCACATACATCACACACGTGACTCCACATACATCACACATTTCGCTCCACATACATCACACACGTGACTCCACATACATCACACACGTGACTCCACATACATCACACACAGGGCTCCACATACATCACGTGGCTCCACATACATCACACACGTGACTCCACATTCACATCACACACGTGGCTCCATACATCACACACGTGGCTCCACATACATCACGTGGCTCCACATACATCACACACGTGACTCCACATACATCACGTGGCTCCTTATACATCACACACGTGGCTCCACATACATCACGTGGCTCCACATACATCACACATGTGACTCCACATACATCACACACGTGGCTCCACATACATCACACACGTGGCTCCACATACATCACGTGGCTCCACATACATCACACACGTGGCTCCACATACATCACACACTTGGCTCCACATACATCACACACTTGGCTCCACATACATCACACACTTGGCTCCACATACATCACACACATGGCTCCACATACATCACACACGTGGCTCCACATACATCACAGACATGGATCCACATACATCACACGTGGCTCCACATGCATCACACACATGGCTCCGCATGCATCACACACACATGGCTCCACATACATCACACACATGGCTCCACATACATCACACATGTACATCCACATACATCACACACGTGACTCCACATACATCACACACGTGACTCCACATACATCACACACATGGCTCCAAATACATCACACACATGGCTCCACATACATCACACACATGGCTCCACATACATCACACATGTGGCTCCACATACATCACACACGTGGCTCCACATACATCACACATGTGGCTCCACTTACATCACACACATGGCTCCACTTACATCACAGACATGGATCCACATACATCACACATGTGGCTCCACATGCATCACACATGTGGCTCCACATACATCACACATGTGGCTCCACATACATCACACATGTGGCTCCACATACATCACACATGTGGCTCCACATACATCACACATGTGGCTCCACTTACATCACACACGTGGCTCTACAAACATCACAAACATGGCTCCACATACATCAAATACATGGCTCCACATACATCACACACGTGACTCCACATACATCACAATCGTGGCTCCACATACATCACACACGTGGCTCCACATACATCACACACGTGGCTCCACATACATCACACACAGGGCTCCACATACATCACAATCACACACTTGGCTCCACATACATTACACACATGGCTCCACATACATCACACACATGGCTCCACATACATCACACACATGGTTCCACATACATCACACACATGGCTCCACATACATCACACACATGGCTCCACATACATCACACACGTGGCTCCACATACATCACACACATGGCTCCACATACATCACACATGTGGCTCCACATACATCACACACATGGCTCCACATACATCATACATCACACACGTGGCTCCACATACATTACACACTTGGCTCCACATACATTACACACATGGCTCCACATACATCACACACATGGTTCCACATACATCACACACTTGGCTCCACATACATTACACACATGGCTCCACATACATCACACACGTGGCTCCACATACATCACACACGTGGCTCCACATACATCACACATGTGGCTCCACATACATCACACACATGGCTCCACATACATCATACATCACACACGTGGCTCCACATACATCACACACATGGCTCCACATACATCACACATGTGGCTCCACATACATCACACAAGTGGCTCCACATACATCACACATGTAGCTCCAAATACATCACACAACAAGGACTGGTCGGCTCGGAGTCAGTATAATGTGGGGTATTCATGCTTCACTGCGGCATGGTATCTCAGTGGGCTGGCACTATAAAACCAGCTTCAGTCTGGGCTAGTACAAGCAGCCACACATAAACATACACACGCATGCACGTCGTCATGTGAGCGAAATATTCTCAAGCTCACGACGTAAAACCCAATTTCACCTCACCTCACTTCAGTTGTAATATCAAAAATATGCAGAAGTTCTGCTAGAATGTGTTTATTCGTGGTGCAAGCTAAATGATCGGTGTATTATCAGCTGTTTGTTCCTCTCCTCAGGTTATTTAAGATCAAGAGACGCTACAGAGATGTGCTGGGCACACTGTTTGTGCTGTTCTCACGACTGACCAGGTCAGGCTACTTTCATGATGTTGAAAAATTTATGTAGTTATCAGGCCTACCAAAGAAAACTTTGCCAGGGTGCAGAAAAGCACACATTAATCATGAAAACAGCAACATAAACATAATACCTCGCGACAGAAACAGTAAAAACGGCGACTTTAAATCGCTAAAACTGGATAAAAAACGAAGAGCCTGCAACTTCGATTTTGCGCATGCACACATGGAAGAGGAAGTCTCTAGAGCATGTTGACATTTTCTAGCTTGGACAAAAGTTACATTCCCTTTTTAAAGTATTTCTGTTGTGTTATTTGGCATTTATCATCATGATGCTTGTGTGCACACTTGTTTAGTTTACTTTCAATTCGTATGATATGATTGACAGCAATTATTTGGCATATTTAATACTTTTTCCTACGCGAGGCAATTCACGGCTGCTCGGATATTGGAAAGAAGCGCAGATCGTACTGCGCATGTGCAGTAGAGGTCAAAGTTCGCTGCTATAAAAATGCTGCATTTTCTTTGTCATACCTTGCCGTTTTTACTGTTTCAGTAGCGAGGTATTGTGTTTATGATGCTATTTCCACAATTCATGTGGGATTTTCTGCGTTTTTCGGCACAGTGGGAAAGTTTTCTTTGGTAGGCCTGGTTATTATGAGACTTTTCCTTTGATTACTGATGAAATGTATTATTATATAGGTAGTATTTTTCTTGTACCACGAATGGTCAAAATACCGTCACATGATTGACTACAAAACACGATATTGACTTGAGTTTTCTGATAAATTACGATATTGACTTGGGTTACTAAAAATAGACAAGGAATCCCGTATGAAGGGGCTTCCCCCGCTCTTCAGCCAATCAGATCACTCGGATAGATGGCACAGTGTGTGCATTAAAAGTTTATGTTAAAACCCGCTTTCTTCATTATATAATAAAACAATTATAGACTCTTGTAGAGGTCGATATCGCTTTTTTATTGACCTCGAGAAAACAATATCGACCGAAGCTTATGGTAGGTCGATATTGTTTTTCTCGGGTCAATAAAAACTGATATCGACCTCTACAAGAGTCTATAATTGTATAATATCACTGTCAAATGTTGACTGGTAATATAAAGGTATGTTCATTGTTATATTGTTGTTGAAACCACATTTGGATGTATGACATTGGCCTAAAAATACTCTAGAACGGACAGACCAGTGCATTAGAGATGATCAGAGCTGGCAACAATGAGCTGTTGCTGGCTATTTATTAAGCAGTATCGTAGATGTGTCGGTACATGTCATTATATCCCAATTGCCTTCTTAATTTTGTTCTTGGGTTCGATCCCCGGCAGCGCCATACCAAAAGACATTAAAATATGGTACTTGTTGGTCCCTGCCTGGCGTCTGGCATTAATGGGTACAACAAGGACTGGTGGGCTCGGAGTCAGTATACTGTGTCTGAGTGGGGTATTCATGCTTCACTGCAGCATGGTATCTCAGTGGGCTAGCACTATAAAACCAGCTTCAGTCTGGGCCAGTACAAGCAGCCACACATTCACATGCATGTACATTGTCATCTGAGCGAGGGCCGGTGGGGTAGTCTAGTGGTTAAAGCGTTGGCTCGTCACGTCGAAGACCCGGGTTCGAATCTCCACATGGGTACAATGTGTGAAGCCCATTTCGCGTCATGATGTTGCTGGAATATTGCTAAAAGCGGCGTAAAACCAAACTCAGTCAGTCAGTCAGTCATCTGAGCGAAATATTCTCAAGTACGATGTATACCCCATTTCAATTCACCTTTATTTTGTTGTTACCTGTGAGGATTCTAGATTATAAGGGACAACTAACAGGATCGGAGGGTCAGGCCTGCTTGTCTGGTTGAATGGCTATCATGATGTCGCAATCACTTGGGACCGCCTCCGTGGTGTAGTGGTTAGAGCGTCCGCCCGAAGAGCGGAAGGTCGTGGGTTCGATCCCCGACCGCGTCATACCAAAAGACGTTAAAATATGGTACTTGTTGGTCCCTGCCTGGCGCCCGGCAATAATGGGTACAACAAGGACTGGTCGGCTCGGAGTCAGTATACTGTGTCTGAGTGGGGTATTCATGCTTCACTGCGGCGTGGTATCTCAGTGGGCTAGCACTATAAAACCAGCTTAAGTCTGGGCTAGTATAAGCAGCCGCACATACACATACACACGCATGCACGTCGTCATATGAGCGAAATATTCTCGAGCATGACGTAAAACCCAATTTCACCTCACCTCACCCAATCACTTGAATCGATGCTCATTATGTCAATCACTACTCCAGACACAGTTATTTACAAACCACTGTTATGTAGTGGGAAAATGCTGAGTTTAGCCTTAAACAGCATCCAACCAGTGAAAGGTTCCTGTCATTATGTCTGTAGAGCTTGTAGAGATACATGAATGTTGCTGTTACAGTTTGGCCGTGGTGATCATCATGGTCTATTATTTCTTCGCTGTCATTGGAATGGAAATGTTTCTCAATGTCGACCTGAGGAACTGTTGCAAGTAAGTTGGCTGTTGTTCCATCAATCTCGCCTGGTGTTTTGTGTTTTATCTTCTTCATCAGAATGCACAGCTGTTCCTGTGGTAGTCTTGTGTGTTGATATGCAGAGTTATTTCCCTTGGCATCCTTGATCCCACACTGCCAGATCTAAACTGAAAATCACAATGATTACAGAATCAGATTCACTTCAGTTATTTGTTTGATCTTGCTCAGATGCACATCAAAGCTCTTTCTTCCTCTAACCACCATCACCCACCTAATGGCTGAGACTTCATCACTGATCATCGGTAGACATATTGTCCTAATCAAGGTGGCTGGTGGGGTAGCCCAATGGTTAAAGCGTTGGCTCGTCACGCCGAAGACCCGGGTTCGAATCCCCACATGGGCACAATGTGTGAAGCCAATTCTGGTGTCCCCCGCCGTGATGTTGCTGGAATATTGCTAAAAGCGGCGTAAAACCAAACTCAGTCAGTCAGTCAGTCAGTCAGTCAGTCGTAATCGAGAACTAGGATTTTTTTTTTTTCTTTCAATGTTAATTCTTAAAGAACCACTAAACTTTGTTTTTTGTTACTCTTTTAACCATTACATATGAAAGATTTGTGGTTAGTCTTATGCGGAACACCAAATTTATTCTTTAAAAACTTGTGGTTAATTAATACCGAAAGATTAAAAGTGGCTAAAAAGTCGCCTGCTTCCCTCTCGCCCGCCAACGAAACCACAGACAGGTTACGTAACTCTGTCGCCAGAGCACTGCAGTGACGTCATATGAGGAACGATTTTCAGTTAGTTGTATAGAAAGTGTGTAGCACGCCATCATTTTGATGATTTCTCGACATGAACGAATTTACATGCCGAATCGCTGCTTTGTCGCCAATTGCTCCTAGGGGTCGGGTGATGGTGTCACCATGCACAGATTTCCACAGGACCCCGCAGTTCGTAAGCAAATGGGTTATGTTTGTGAGTGCGGCTTAGCTTTGTGGAAGCCTCGAAACGATATCTTACTTTGTGTTCAGATCGCTTCACGGAAGTTAAAGAATCAAACTACTTACTAGTTATAGTAAAATATGTATATGATTGATGACCATAAAGATTTTCCATAACACAACTTGTAACATAACCATTTCTTCCTCGAAGTGAGGTTGTGGTCAAAGTAACAATAATATTGTAAGTAGTATTATATTGATATCTACCCCTCGCTGCCAGGAGAGAAATTGTTATGTTATACGCCATGTCATGCAAAATCCTATTGGCTATCAATAAAATACATATTTTATTACCATCAGAGTAGTTTTGATTTTGTAACTCGCGAAAACAAACCTAAATAGCATTTATCCACAGACTGGCGGATGTTCTCACAGGGCTTCATTTTTGAAAATCGTAAAGTCTGTTAGAATTAATGAGATTATAGTTTGTTTTCATCAAGTTAGAAAATCAAAACTACTTTCTACCGTGAGTTAAATATGTATTGGAATCATAACCAAAAGGATTTTGCATGACACAACTTATAACATAACGCATTTCTTCCACGGAAGCCAGGTGGGGGTCAAGTCACAATACTGCGCCGATAAATTTCTTTGCTACATTCACATGGTTAATGTCCACTCACCAGTATGTAGATACTAGTCAATGTATGCCTTTATATTTGGTCTTATAATCCTAATTAGTTTATTATCATACTTTTTATGCATTTTGAAACTAAATAAAAAGCTGACGATCTGCTGATACTTATAGTGAATTTATAACAGAACTGTAATATCTAGACATTTTATAGTTTGCCAATGTGAATCATAATTGCACACATACCCTAGTGTATGTTGTCTGTCTCATTACACTTCACGGGCGAAAAACAATGATTCTGTTGAATGCTACGACAAATGAATAAAACAAAAAATGCAAATATTAAAATTAAAACAGATTAAAGTTATAGGAACAATATCAGACCATTACCTTGTTTGAGGAATGTATCCATCAATATCCACAAAACTGTTCCAAATGATGTGTCTTTTTAACAGTTTAATATACGAAAAAGTGATAAATCTTTTCAGGTATTGGTGTATAGTCTCATTGGTCACCCAAGATAGCACACCTGGCAACTAATTGCATAATGTCCGCCTTTCATTAAAAAACACAGTAATTTAGGTAGCCAATAATGGGCAATCAATCAATGTATTGCCGGTTAATCCTTTGAAAGAAGGACGTTGTTTTTACGCAGACACCGACACGCAGAGTGTATTCAGTATAGATTAGTAGATCTACATACATAAACACTACCTTTTGACAAACCGCTGTGTAAGATAAAAGTAATTAATCAATCAGCGTGTTATCGGTTAATCCTTTGATCGATGTTTATAATGTTGAATATTTACTCCAGACACAAGAAATGCCAAATGGGAACCTTTGTCGGGTAATCTAAGTGTGTTACCACTAATTATACCTGTTATAAATTCATTAACTGACCATCAAGTGAATGATGACAAATAACATGTGTAGGTTTATACCACCTAACACGGGTTACAAATAAGGGAGTATTAATTGCTGTATTGCATGTGAAAACTTATGAGCCGACACTGTTTTGAGAATACAAACAGATTTTTACATGACATGATTAAATATCGAGGTAAAAACACAGAAATGGGATCAATTTGGATCAGTCATCATACAAATAGGGCCCTAACGACACCAAATCAATTGTGACAGAAGCCGTCTATGAAAACAAGTTGTAACTCAGAAACTAGGCAAAGCAGGAGACAAAAGTAAATGCCAGTAGATTGTGAGAACATATAGCTTTCATTTTCCACAACAATTGTCACGATTTCAGGTTTATACAAGCCTGTAAACAAGATAATTTACCCCCTAAAATGTAGATGAATTCTGCATCGGCCCTCAAAGCTATTCCTCATATGACGTCACAGAGTCGCGCCGCTCTGATTGGTTGAAATTTCGTTCGTGGGTGAGAATTGTGCACTGTTGTCAAAAAGGTCGATTTAAGTCAATTAAAGGTCGAAATTAGTAGTTTTAATGATGGGGTTTCATTTATAAGGATGCCAGTTAGTGATTTATGTATTTTTACCCCCTAGGGTTTATGTGACCTTTAAGAAACAGATGGTCTGCACAATAAGTTTGTTATTGTTTGTATTATATTCACTTGTTGGCAGGGTAACAAGAGCCACACAATAAAATCAAACAGTTGTCTGGTCAGCCAGTTATATGTCATGCAATGTCTTCTGGAGCACTGACTGGTGTTTTCCCCACTCACCTCATGTTGGTTGTTCCAGGAACTCCAGTATGGCCGATTACTACCGCTTTGACACCAAGAACCAGCAGGGCTACTACTTAAACAACTTTGACAACATTCTCAGATCTGGAGGTGAGACAACTGCCTGAATAGTACCTGTAGACATTGGCCTGACTCCTGGGTGACCTAACAACACCCAGTTACCCTATGGATGCAGGAGATGACTGGATCGGGAGGTCAGAACCGACGTGGTTCTGTTGAATCTACGTGAAGATTTGCCTTAATTATTTATCTTGCAAAAATTGTATCTTCAAAGCTGCAAATCCATGTTTTTTTATGTTTTTTTTGGCATGTCTGCAGTGATATAACTAAAATTCTGTTCAAGACGCACTTTTCAACTCCCTATTTAGTTGATAGAGACAAATTGTATCAAGTACTGCAAGGAGCATTTGATAATGGCTTTAATTTGTTGCATTTTGAATTGAAACGTGTATCTCATATTTGCCGCATGTCAAAGAATTTGTTTCAATTATCTTTCAGTGACCTTGTTTGAACTGACAGTTGTTAATAACTGGTTCATTATAATGGTGAGTTTATTATAATGGTGAGTTTATTATAATGGTGAGTTCATTATAATGGTGAGTTTATTATAATGGTGAGTTCATTATAATGGTCTTTTATAATGGGGGGTTTATTATAATGGTGAGTTTATTATAATGGTGAGTTTATTATAATGGTGAGTTCATTATAATGGTGAGTTCATTATAATGGTGAGTTCATTACATGGTATTGTCGAGGAAACTGTATGGTAATCTGATTGTTCAGTTACTGTATTCGCCAAAAAAAAATATATGTCCGTTTCCTATTACATGCTTTTTAAAAATAGGGTAGGTCAGAAGGACCAAAAATGACAAACAAGAAGTGGAAATTTGCCAGTCATAAAGAGCTTTCTTGAGTTTTCAGCACTACACTTTGGATAATATTTGACAAAGTTCTACATTCAGATTTTGAAAACTGAGAACATTCTGGAATGTCTAGTAGATGGCCAGGATTGTATGTCCATACATCCAAATGGCTGTGGAAAGCCTCCTCTAATTCACATGTTTGTCCCACTGATAAGAGACACAGATAACATTTTGCCTCAGTCAGTTGTACAGCTTGGAATTGTTGTCAGAAATACCTTGTGTTGATCTTTCATGGTTACATGGTTAGAAAACACATTCGTTCACAACCCCAAATTATTGTTGTGATTAGTGGAGTGTTCTGGATGGATACAGTAGCGGGTTGCCTCAGATCTTGGGGTGGGGTAGATCTTGGGGTGGTGGGGTAGATCTTGGGGTGGTAGGGGTAGATCTTGGGGTGGTGGGGTAGATCTTGGGGCGGTAGGGGTAGATCTTGGGGTGGTGGGGTAGACCTTGGGGCGGTAGGGTAGATTTTGGGGCAGAGGGGTAGCCTTCGCTCGTCACGCTGAAGACCAGGGTTCGATTCCCCACATGGCTACAATGTGTGAAGCTCATATCTGGTGACATCTTGAGATATTGCTAGAATATTGCTAAAAGCGGCGTAAAACCATACTCACTTGCCTCAGATCTCTGTTAGGCAGTATAATATGGTACTTTTGGTCATTAGTTTATATGTTTAGTTGTGTCTGGGGCTCAGCTCGAGAGGAAGCAGTTCCATTTTCCAACAAGGAACAAAATATAATGTGAAAAACACTCCGATCTTTTTCCCTCGTCAATGGTATTGTCAAAATGCCAATTTTTATAACTCTTTGTTTCACATAATGGTTTTGTTGTTGCATTTTGTGTTTTAAAGTTAAGTGGTATATTTTCTACATTGCTATTATAAATAAATTGAGATAGCTATCATCTAGGTTGTGTAACACAGTTAATCCAGACTGTCATAGGAAGCGGGACTGGCTTAACCTAGGCCATGTTGTTCCAAGTGAGATGGGGGCGGTGGGGTAGCCTAATGGTTAAAGCATTGGCTCGTCACGCCGAAGACCCGGGTTCGAATCCCCACATGGGTACAATGTGTGAAGCCCATTTCTGGTGTCCCTCGCCATGATGTTGCTGGAATTATTGCTAAAAGCGGCGTAAAACCAAACTCAGTCAGTTAGTCAGTCCAAGTGAGATGTCCATGTTCTGTGTACATCTTGTTTGTTGGATGTTAATGTTTCACTGTGGCATTGTTTTGTTATAGGAGGGGTATGCGTTGGGCATGAGTGAGTGGACACGGATCTACTTCATGCTGTTCTACATTGTCATGATGGTGAGTGTGGCACTGACGGGAGTACGTGAATCTGCAATAGACTTCCTTTCCAAAATTGCATCCATATCTAGCTTTCATTGTTTTTTCCATCTGACTCATATTTTGGGTAATCCAGTTGTTAAACCTTTGGCTGGTCACACTGAAGACCCGGGTTCGATTCCCCCCCCATGTGCACAATATCTGAAGCCCATTTCTGGTGTTCCCTGCCTTGATATTGCTAGCATGTTGCTAAAAGCGGCGAATAAACCATACTCACGCACTAGCAGTTAATAATAATAATAATAAATTTGGGTATTTATACAGCGCTACATGAATGTACAGATGAATGTATTTTGCTGGAGATGAAGTATCAGTGAAGATGAGTTATCTCCCTTGCAGGTTGTGATGAACATCGTGGTGGCCTTTGTGTTGGAATCGTTCCTGTTTCGTATCAACTATCGGCGTACATGGATGTGGACGACATAGAAGGTACAGCAGCATGTTCACCTGTATTTTGTATAGAACATGTTTGGCTCACCTGTATTGCAAGTGATCTCTTATCCATGTGCAACATGTTCACCTGTATTTTGTAGAGAGCATGTTTGGCTCACCTGTATTGCAAGTGATCTCTTATCCATGTGCAGGACCTTTTCACATTTTCAACTTTTCCTCGAAAAGGTTTGACAAATTCAACTTCAATTTTGTGAACCAAATTTATTCCAAGGATCAAAGTTTCAGTTTTAAAATGGTCTGCGGATAGCCATCTGTTTTTCTAAAAAGAAAGTTTTTCCGAAAGTGTCCACAAACTTAAGGGGTAAAGGGCCTTGAATGTGATGTATGAGATGGTCACTGTATGTGGCAATGTGTTTGGTGTCGGTATTCAGGCTCATTTCTTTGTTCAAAATGCAATTAAATTTGGTGTTTGTTCCAATAGCAGTATGGCTCAACACATGTGTTTAGTTTTTTCTCATGTTCTGAAAACTGACTTATATTTTCCCTCAAAATGCATTTGGGGCTGTAAGCATCTTCTTCTCTGAAAGACACGATATGGCTGAAATACGATGTGACGATAAATCTAAACTCAGTCAGTCTTCTCTAAAACTGAAGCTTGGTTTGAATGTTCTGTTTCTGATGACCTTTTTTTCCTATTTATTAGATATTAGTGGTAAAAATTTATGAGGAGTTTTTTTATTTTTCCTTATCCTGACTCATGCTTATTGCTTGTCTCCCTTTCCTTCTGAATGCTAGTGGAACACTTGAATCCCCTTTTGAAGCTCCCTTCAAAAAAGCGGACATAAATCACTTACCAGGAGTCACCTCCCTTGCCAGGTTTTGGCGGGAACGGCGCCACCCGTCTGCCATGCTCTTCACTCTCTCCTGATTCGCCCGAGTGGTCGGTTGTGAGAGCACCTGGTCCCCTATACGGCTTTATATCCTTTTATTATTTAGGCTTTTCTTCTAAATTAGCTGTATAAGGCTTTAGCTAACATTTACCTACAATATTGTACGGAATTAAATCTCAAATTTCTCCGTTTTTTGTCACGTTTTTATGTGATTATTCACATTGTTTACAATTGATGAAATCTTGTTCTGATTGTAGGTATCGTTTGTCTGCTGTTGATCCGCATAACCTATGTCCTAATTGCAAGCCTATATGTTTATCTGACACTCGTTGTCAGTTGTGTTTTCACCTGTCTGATATTGCATTTTACAAATGTTCATATTATCTGTCTAGACGTGCAAAGGACAGGTCCAGACGAGATTTTACACGACATGTCTAAACCGGCTAAGCTTGCAGAGGACCGGCAGTTGGTGTCTGCGCAGATACACCATTCCAGTGGTCTACGGGGTCGTCTACGGAGGAGGTTGCCGCCTTAGCCAACGCTGGCTCGAGGAAGAGATCGTCCCTCTGGAAGAAATAGATGTCTACGATGAGCCGCCCATCCTCATCCCTGAGATCACATCTAAGAAGAAGATGAAGACGTCTTCTACAGTGACCACGCAGGACACCCTATCAACGCAGACGTTCGGCACGAAGGTTCTACGCCCTTCAGAAGAAGCCTCATCCATCTCAGATGCGTCGTCAGTACAACAGACAACGCAGACCTTCAACCCGGGCGCCTTTATGCAGCAATTCACCCAACAGATGTTGGATCTGATGGATCAACGGTTCGCACGCGAGAGAGCTGTGACGAAGACGACGTCTGCGACGAACCCGACGTCCGTTGAGAACCAACGTCCTGCAGAGCATACAGGAAGATTCCAGCTCGACTACAGCGTTCTCACGAATACCTGGCAGCCATACCAACGTGGACTCCGCACCAACTACGTTCGCCGGAAGGACCAGACGTTCGCGGAACCCACGCAGATCTTCATCGACGTCAGATGAACGTCGTTCAACGCTAAAAAGTTCTCTCTTCACCACATGGAACCCTTCATGAAGGCCCCAGAGATAGATGAGAATTATAAGATCATCAACGACACTCGGACTAAAGCTTACAAGATAGAAGATAAAAAGCTGGCACAGTTAGACACAGTAACCAGATGAACCTTCTTCGGCCTAGCCAGGTCAAGAGCTGTCAACGAGACTCTCATCTCGAAGTTTAAGAATTCAACTTCAGAGGAAGATAGAATGGTTTATTCAGCTCTACTTACACAGAAAAAGGATCATCAGTTCATGTCTGAACATCTATCATCCATTTCTGCAGGCTTAACTTTATCAAGAAGGCAAGGACTGTTATCTTCATGTACTTGGAGTGAGAAGTTTACCAAGACACTCTACAGAGCCCCTTGGTCAGCACCATCCATTTTTGCAGGAAGGAAGTCGCCAAGGAAGTCGCTAAAGATTCCCGAGAAGTAATGATGATCAAGTCTATCGATACACTGGCCAGTGTAGTACGTCAGACCTCCCAACGTTATTTCGAAGTTTGCAGGCATCCAGAGAGCAAGGGATAAGAAATCAGGCAACGCTAAAGGAAATAAGGATTTTTTTCGTAAGCCCATCCGCAGCTCCAAGAGGTAACTATGGAAGAGGTCGGCCCTTTCGGTAGCCAGAAGTTCCAGGCGATGAAATACAGGTTCGAGGCGACTGGAGTCTTCCACCCCAGCAGTTCAGTACAACCCTCACAAGTGGGTGGGCGTCTGCAACTCTACTGGGAGGGAAATTCTTCAAAGGCGACTTAAGATCTCAGATTCTACGCTGGTTACAGGATACAGCTACAAGCAGTACCACCAGTAACAATTAACCCTATGGTTCACAACTACGCTGCAGACCAGAGGAAATCTACTAGAAGCCATCACATCTCTACTAGAAAAAGAGGCAATAGAAGAGATAAAACACTGCGTCACACCAGGTTTCTACTCCCCAATTTTCTGGTACCAAAGAAAAATTAAAAGAAAAGTCCTCATTTACAACATGAGGAAATTCAACAAAGATTACCTCCTACCACCCATGAAGTTCAAGATGATACATCTTCCACAGCTCTGACAGCTCATCGATCCGGCTAGACTATCTGCGCCAGCATAGATTTACAGGATGCATGCTTACATCCCGATCCATCAGGAATCAAGGAAATATCTACGATTCCTGTTCAGCGGACGTCATTTCCAATGGAAGGTCCTGCCATTTGGAATATCGTCGACCCCTGGTTGTTTACTCGGTGACAAAGCCCATCAATATATATCTACATCGTCGAGGTCTCGCTGAGTGTGTTCTACCTAGGCGACAGGGATTCAAGCTCAGCAAGATCCCAGTCAACTCAGACTGCAACTGAACTTCACCATCAGACTTCTCACTCAACTAGGATGGCTAGTAAATCTCCTGAAGTCGGGAACTACAGCCTACTCAGGACTTGCAATTAGTGTAGGAATACGACATAACAACGAATAATCGCATTCTCGTTCCAGAGGATGGATTGGATCAAGATTCAACAAATGATCTCTCAAGTTCTACTCTCTCCGTTACCACTCACGAGAATGGCAGAGCCTATTAGGTCTCCTCCGTCAGCTTAAGACATGGCGCTGGAGGGAGACTACAACTAGATCCACTACAGAGATTTTATTTTTCTGGGTTAGATCTTCTTTTATTCCACGAGTACAACGTTTCAGGGCTTGTTCTGGCCCCATCATCAGGTAAACTGAACAGTAACTGTTTTTTCTGGCCGTGACGTCTTTTTGCTTATGACGTCACAATGCTATGTTCTGACCCCATCATCATGTGGTGGTCAATAGATACAGATGACTCTGGCTCATAGGCGTCACATGCTTATTATGAATATATCAGATGTCATTTACAAAATTAATGGATCAATTTAGATACTGTGACATACTCATACAAAATTGTTGATTGAATTAGAAATGTACAGAGACGTATTTATAAATGTATAGAATGTAAAGTAATAGCAGTGTATACATAGAAATTATGCTTTATACATGGGAACAGTGACGAGGTAGGGTATTGTCTTATTGTTTTATGTACCATGCATTTGGGAGGTAGACACCCTGGTCCCTGTTTATTGCTGGTTTTGTGCGTTTGATGAAGATAGCTTCAATCAACTTGCGTTTACGCCAGGCACTGATGTTTTTTGAGAGGACTTCAGTTTCCCAGTCAATTTCATGATCGGGATTATTCATAATGTGTTCAGAAACTGCAGATTTTAGATCTGATTTGTCCACTGAAGTTTTGTGCTCTTTCACACGTGTAGCTACTGGTCTGCCTGTCTCACCAATGTAGATGTCACCACAGTCACATTTCAGTTTATACACACAGCCTTTAGGGTTGGATATAGCGTGATTGCACCCCTTACCATTTGCACGTAGCAAAGTTTTAAGGGTTTTGCCAGATGAGAAAGTGGTGTCAATGCTGGCCATTTTCTTTAGGAGTCTGCTGACTTGGTGGCTGATGGGCCCAACATACGGGATGTTGATGCGGATGGGAGATGGTTCAGGTTTCGGAGGAGGCTGAACTTGATCTTGTAGTGTTTTCTTTATGGTGGTTTCTACAAGGTTCTTTGGATAACCATTGTATGTGATGAATGTTGTCATCAGGTGGTCTGTTTCTTGTTGCAGTAGGTCAGGGCTACAAATCTTTTTCGCGCGTCTCGCAAGTGTGGCAACAATTGCTCTCTTGATTTGGGGATGGTGGTTTGAGTGATAGTGAATATATTGGTCTGTGTGGGTAGGTTTCCGATAGACCGACGTGATGAGCTGGTTGTTTGAGTTTTCAATGGCGATGTCCAAGAAAGGGAGGTTGTTATGCTGTTCTGTTTCCATCGTAAACTTAATTCTAGGGTGTTGATTGTTGAGGTGATCTAGGAGTGCATTGGGGTCATGATGGTTGTCTAGGATAGAGAACGTGTCATCAACTTTCCTGTGCCAACATAGTGGTTGGAATGGTGAAGTAGCCAGAGCAATTTCCTCAAAGTTGGTCATGAATATCTCAGTTATGAGAGGTGAGAGTGGAGATCCCATGGGTAGACCATGAATCTGCTGATATATCTGATCTTGCCATGTGAAATAGGATGTTTCAAAACAGCTGGATACAAGGCTGATGATGCTGTCGATGGAAAGTTTTGTGTCGATATGGTCTATACAGGACTTTAATCGGGATCGTAGGATTGCTAGGGATTCTTCTAGAGGAATGTTAGTGAATAAGTCTACCACGTCATAACTGACCATGGTGCCACAAGCTTGGTAATCCTTAAGTTTGTTAACAAATGATGATGAATCAGTGATGAAGGATTTACCTTCTTTCCCTAATGGTGATAAAAGTTTCGACAGGAATTGGGCAGTATTGTAAAATACCGACCCTCGGGGAGCACACTAAAATTCTGGTCTTCACTGGCGATTTATGAATTTTGATAGTGGCACGAGCGTAAGGTGGCTGGGAGTTGTTGGGATTCAGTTTGTTGTGTATGATATCATTAATCTCACCTTTGTCATGAAGTGTTTTCAGGTTCTTCTTATGTTTAGATTCTAACTTTGCAGTTGGGTCCTTAGACACTAGTTTGTAGGTGGAGGTATCACTTAAGGTAGTGTTAACCAGGGTCAGGAATTCAGGTGTATTCATAATGACGGCTGCTTTTCCTTTGTCGGCTTCGGTGATAGTGATGTCAGCATCATCACGTAACTCTGCTATGGCACTTTTTTCATCTTTGGTCAGGTTGGGTTTATTCTTGGGTTGTTGCTGTAGCAAGGCCGATATCTGATGACGCAAGTAGTCTACATTTCCGTTTGGTGCAAGTTGTTGAAGACCACTTTCTATGCTTGCGATGTAGTCATCTGAGTTGGCTGAAGCTGTTGTTGGGATAAATTTAAGTCCTTTAGACAACAAGGATTTCTGAGCTGCACTTAGAGTTTTGCTACTTAGGTTGACAACAGTTTTCTCCTTGTAACTATCAAGTTTGGATTTGGCACAAGCGGTTGATGTAACATCTGATTTCTGCTGTTTCAAATTGGTGAATTTCAATATCTGGCGCTTCTTGATTTTCTCACACAGGGAGTAGTTGTTAGATTTAGTTAAGGTACTTATCTTCTCATACAAGTTGGTATTCAGTGTTGACTGAAGCATAGCTGTTGATTTCTGCAAGTCATGTTCAAGGGAAGCCTTCTTCCTTCTCATTTGCTGGATCTGCTGTTTAAGGATCCGGGTACTGGCTTGATGAAGGATTTTGTTGATGGCTGGGTTTGATGGAACCACTGGTGATTTGAGTCGAAAACCCTTTGGAATAATTTCATTGTCTCTACATCTCAAGAGGAATGTCAGGTTGTTCTTTGTTTGTATGTACTTACAGTTGATGATACGTGCAAATGGTAAGGGGTGCAATCACGCTATATCCAACCCTAAAGGCTGTGTGTATAAACTGAAATGTGACTGTGGTGACATCTACATTGGTGAGACAGGCAGACCAGTAGCTACACGTGTGAAAGAGCACAAAACTTCAGTGGACAAATCAGATCTAAAATCTGCAGTTTCTGAACACATTATGAATAATCCCGATCATGAAATTGACTGGGAAACTGAAGTCCTCTCAAAAAACATCAGTGCCTGGCGTAAACGCAAGTTGATTGAAGCTATCTTCATCAAACGCACAAAACCAGCAATAAACAGGGACCAGGGTGTCTACCTCCCAAATGCATGGTACATAAAACAATAAGACAATACCCTACCCTCGTCACTGTTCCCATGTATAAAGCATAATTTCTATGTATACACTGCTATTACTTTACATTCTATACATTTATAAATACGTCTCTGTCTTTCTAATTCAATCATTTCTAAAGTATTCAATCAACAATTTTGTATGAATGACATCATATCATCTGTATCTATTGACCACCACATGTATTGCGTCGTCATAGCATTGTGACGTCATAAGCATTGTGACGTCACGGCCAGAGTTAACAGTTACTGTTCAGTTTACCTGATGATGGGGCCAGAACAAGCCCTGAAACGTTGTACTCGAGAATAAAAAGAAGATGTAACCCAGAAAAAATCTCTATGTTCATCAAATATCATCTTCTAAAATGCCAATCAAGCATCTAATGAAGTGGTTGCCGGGAAATGGTCGAAACAAGAAATGAATCTGCATATCAACATGCTCGAGATGAAAGCAGTAGTAAATGCCCTACTACATTGGTCCAACATACTAAGGGACGCAAAATTGATGATCAATACGGACAACTCAACAGTGGCGTTCTACATAAACAAACAAGGATCAACAAGATCTTGCAATCTTCTAGACCTCAGCTTTCAACTATTCAACATAATAGACAATCTCAACATTTATGTGAAAGCATGTCACATTCCGGGAGCCAGGAATGTAATAGCAGATGCGCTATCTCGACCACATCAACCATCCCCAACAGAATGGATGTTACATCCACAAGCGTTCAGATGCATCATACAGACGATAGGATCTCCACTTTCGTAGACCTATTCGCCACGAGATTCAACAATCAACTGGCAACATTAGTCTCTCCAATTCCGATCCACAAGCATGGGCGACAGGCGCTCTAAGCATCCCATGGGAAGGGGCTAAACGTCGTGCGCATTCCTTCCGCCAGTGTTAATACCACAGGTATTACAGAAAATCAGGCAGACAAACAATCTACAACTGATTTTGGTCGTTGCCTTACTGGCCAGTACAGAACGTGGCTTCCCGTTCTTTTACAAGAAATCGGAAAACCAACAATACAACTTCCAGTTTGGCGAACCTACTAATTCATCCTCACACCAAGCAAGTTCACAAGTATCCCAGATTGTTCCACCTACATGTATGGAGCGTTATCCGCACTTGCTTGTCGAAAGAGGATACTCCGCCAGAGCAGCGAAAGCAGTTACACTAGCTTTACGCCGAGATCTACTCGTAACTTGTATGGCGACAAGTGGCAAAGCTTTGAGAAATATGCATCGAAGAAAGGTTTCACTACAGTGAAAGCAACACATCCTCAAGTGGCGGAATATCTTTGTCATCTCAGACAAATGAGGAAATTAAAGGTTCGACATTATCTACATACCTAGCGGCTCTCAGCTCAGTTATCACTATGAAGACAGTGAAACTGACCAAGGTGCCAGAGTTACTGGCCTTGCTACGCTCTTTTTAAACTGGAAGACCAACAAATGAAATTTAAAGCGCCCGGCTTGGGATATCAGCGTGGTATTCACGACATCTCACCAGTGATGTGTACGAACCACTAGAAAGAACTTCTTACGAATTTCTTACACAGAAAACGCTATTTCTGATCGCCTTGGCTACAGCGGCATGTATGTCAGAAATACATCCGCTGGACTTTGAACGGATACGTTTTGACACACGTCACAACACGGTTCATCTAGGATTGAGGTGGGATTTCATAGCTAAGAATCAACTACCAGGTCAACCGGACAGACAATTCCACATCCCAGCATTATCTACAATCCTTGGTCCACAGGATATACAAGATTTATCCCTATGTCCAGTCAGAGCACTGAAAATATATCTACAGAAGTCTAAAACTAGGAGACGAAAATTCAAACGCCTTTTCATCCCCATATCGTCGGAGACACCCACAGAGATCTCACATACTACGATATCAGTTTGGATGAGAGCAATCATACTACGAGCCTACAAGGCAGCAGGACTTGAGCCTCCTCGAGCCTCCAATCCGCACGAAGTTAGAGCACTGGCATCTACACTCGCTCTACATGGAAACTGCTCCATATCCACGATCATGGAAGGGTGTTTTTGGACAGTATTTGCTAACCACTACCTCAGAGATTTTGCTACCGAGGACGTCTCCGGTATCCACCAGTTTGGACCTCTGGTTGTAGCTCAACAGCTGACGGTCCCTCAAAGGCGCTGAGATGTATCTCGCCCTTTTACCGCATGTCATGCAAAGCTCGTACTCCAAGGAATAGAGCTTATAGTCCATGTACATGTCTAGAACAGACTAGCATGAATACTGGACCCTGTACTTGTAAGGAATTACTGGTACACGGATAGGGTCACTACTCCACTTGATACGACCATCAAGAGTTGGAGTTATTTAAATCCAAATGTACGTTTACAGAAGAGTTTGATATATTGTGGTCCCCCCAAATTACCAAATTATTTCGACATATGGATCAACAGCAGCAGTGCCATTAAAAGTTCCCATGGGGTATATAGGACGTAAATTCATCACTAAGGAATCCAGAGGTGGCTTGACCCACCACCTATACCGGCGGATTCTACAAGCAATAAGCATGAGTCAGGATAAGGAAAAATATGTAATTTTCTGACTAAAATTGATATTTTATACTTATCCTGACTCGTGAGGTAAGCCCTCCCAACCTCCCCTCAAGGCACTCTGGATTTCCCAGTAAACCAGTGTGTCGGGTTATAATACGGAGAGACTGAAAAAGCATGGCAGACGGGTGGCACCGTTCCCGCCAAAACATGGCAAGGGAGGTGACTCCTGGTAAGTGATTTTACGTCCGCTTTTTTGAAGGGAGCTTCAAAAGGGGATTCAAGTGTTCCACTAGCATTCGGAAGGAAAGGGAGACAAGCAATAAGCATGAGTCAGGATAAGTATAAAATATCAATTTTAGTCAGAAAATTACATTATTCAAGAGCTGTCAACTTTTGTTAACAGCTGTGTATGCTACTTATCCAGGTGAGCTACTTATCCAGGTGAGCTACTTATCCAGGTGAGCTACTGCTGTTGGACTAGAGAATAGTGTCTGACAAAGGTTCATAGGTGAGGTTCTTTTAGAGTGTTGACAGCTCTATATCAAAGACAGCACTTATACATCGATCACCACGTGTTTCAGATCACGGCAAGTACAATGTGGAGATTTCCCTGTCAGAAGAGGAGAGGGACATGTGTGAACGGCCGCATGCATGGCTGACCGGTGCTCACATATCTACCACAGCTAATCAAGAGGGATCACAGGTACGTCAGTCATAGATCACCATGGTGACTAGACATTACCGAGGTCCTCTTCATGAAGCCATAGCTGATGCCATTTGACTCGTAGTGTCTATATTAAGGTACAGTGAGACCCCGGATACCCAGACCCCAGATATCCGGAAACCTCACCTTCCGGCCATTTTTTATAGTCTTACGTTATAAAAGTGACTGTCTATAACGGATGAGGTTTCGGTTTCCGGACAGTAAATTTTACAAACCAACAGGCTAAATCAACACAAAATTGACTCAATTATCTGAATGAAGCTTTGATCTTCCGCTGACCGTATGAAGTGAAGTGTGAGAGTCCCATGTGTCTTGAGACGAGACAAGATCTGCTAGTCCAGATTAATGCATGAAGCTTTGATCTTCCGCTGACCTTGTGAAGTGAAGCGTGAGTTGTCCCGTGTCTTGACACGACACAAGGTCTGCTATTCCGGATGAATGACCGATCAGCAGGGTATTGGTGGTGATCAGTAGGCCTATCTGACACTGAGTGAATTGTAATTGGCAAATCAAAATGACCACATTGGTTTGGAAGTGATTTTAAACTAGAAGTGTATGCTGGCTACCGTTTCAACACGACAGCCTGGATGACAGGAATCCAGATATCCGGATATTCAGTTATCCGAACGATTTACGCAAACACAAATGTGTCCGGATATCCGGGGTCTCACTATATATGGAGGCATGTGACATTTTCACGAGGTGGTATCAGTCATAGCTCACCATGGTGATCAGTACCATGGTACTCTTCATGAAGTCATAGCTGATGCCATAAGACTGGAAGTGTGTATCATTCGTATTACCATGATACAGTAGACAGGGGCATGTGACCAGGTGGTGTAGTAGGCTCGTGAATAAAGTGTTCGCCCATCACGCAGTAGACCAGAGTTTATTCCCTGTGTGGTACCAGTAGTGAAGCCTACGTCTGGTGTCCCCCCTGCTGAAAGTTTGCTGAAACATTATTCTCTCACTTCTTTGTATTTGTGTCCACCCTTGTTTCTAGTATTACTGCTTGACATTCATGCTGTCCCACTGGCCCGAGTCTAGTAAAATGTTGACAGGACCAGTGCAACTATGATAAGTGCTATCCTCACGGTCCAGTAGATATTTAAGGCTGTCAATAGAGTCCCCTAGCAGGACCAGTAAGAATCTGTAAGGACCAGTGATTTTTAAAAGTTACTGGTCCTGTGGTCTTGTTCGAGAATTTGGTTAAATGTCAAGCCCTGTACTGCATTAGGAAGGTTTCCTTGTGAAACTGAAAGTGATATGGTATTTGGTGGTCTCTCTCTCTCTCTCTCTCAAGTGTAAAACAACAGATCTCCCGAGGATTCCAAACTGGAGGCCGTGAAAGGTTAAAATAACAAGTAGGCTCCCTTCTTTTGAAGTCCCTACTTGCTTCAGGTCTGAGGTGTTTTGTCATATTTTGACATGACATTTAATCAGATTATGCAAGCCCAATCTACTGTATAAACTCTGCTGTATAAACATCTATTATTTGTACATCATTGGCTTCCTTACTGTCCTTTGTCTACTCTCTGACTTCATCAGCTTTCTGCCTAGCCAATTATGTTAATTATGTTGTTTTCTTTGTTACATTGTTACATCCAGTATATATACACTTCCCCCTTCTTCATGTTCCATTATGCTTGACAACGGTACAAGAATCTGTATCGAAACGTCGCACTCACAAATAAAAAGAAGTTGTTATCCATAAAGTTTGTTCTATATTGTACTTCCGAACTTCTAAAATGCCACTCAAAGAAACTAGAGGTGATGACGATGATGATGCTGAGACTGACTTATTGATGATGTTAATTGTTGTAGATGCCGTAAGTGTACCGTGGGGAGAGGTTCCGAAGCAAGGAGGACTTCAGTCTCAGGATGTACTCAGACGAAGTGCAGGTGAGTGGACCTGGGTGGGCATCAGATCCAGATCACTGCACTGTACCACACTACACCATACTGCACCGCACACACAACACACGCCCACCAACCCCCACTCAATAAGTACCACTATTGATAGCAGCATCACAATGCCACCATTATCTAGCACCTCCTTATTATCACCCACTGCACCTTCACTCTCACATTCTAACTGCTCTTCCATTGTCCCCCTCTTGACCTGGAGAGGGAAGACTAAAGCACACATCCATCCACAATTCTAACTGCTCTCTTCCCTTGTCCAACCCCCTTCCCAACTTGAATAGAGGAAGAGAAAGCCAAGTGCACATTCATCACAAGCACTTTCCTTACATGACTAACTGCTCTTCCCTTGCCCCCTCGACTTAAATAGAGGAAGAAAGCCAAGTGCACTTTCACCACAAGCACTTTCAACCACAAGACTAACTGTTCTTCCCTTGTCTCTCCCCCAAACTTGGATAGATGGATAGAGGAAGAGATAGCCAAGTGCACATTCATCACAAGCACTTTCACCCACATGACTAACTGCTCTTCCTTTGTCCCCCAGACCTGGATAGATGAAGAGAAGGCCAAGCGGAGAGAGGCAATCTGTGAGATGGAACAGATGAGACAGAGAGTGAGTCGCCCCCAACTCCAGGACCTACTTGAGACACAATCGAGGATGACCTGGACTTTTTGATCCAGACAGCTCCACAAGATGACATGAAGATGTGAATAGGATGAGAAATACTTTCAAACTTGTAGATATATGAATGAAATACAGCTGCCAGTTTCTATAAGCCAGTAAGAGGGACAAGCTTGCCAGTGAACATGTGTACCACGTGTCACAATAAGTCTTGTATGCCATGAGCTTGTTGTAGCCTATTCTATCATAAGCTGAAGACCACCAGATTCTTTCATATTACTTTAACTAATTTAGTATGAAAAACTAAAATATTTTTGGGACATTTTTATAAAATACTTTAGCTCAAGATCGTAGTAGCCATTTTCATGGCATAATGATTTAAATAACAGCCACAAGAAGTTCAATTACTCTGTGAGGATGTCATGGAACCAGTAACCATGGTAACTAATGTCTTTCCGCAATGGTATCTAGTGGCTAGTGATCACCGCACAAGCCAAGATGATGTGTGCACTCACTACTGTAAAACCTGTACAGAGTGATACCTTGTCTGTCTGGACTCTGGTAATGTGGCCACTTTTTGTGGTCTGAGACAAAATTACTTCCATAATGGTGCTTCCTTAAATCAGAAATGTGTTGATCCTAGCGATTTCAGCAGGAATGCACAAAACCACCAGATTATTCTTGTATTTTATTCTGTTTTGGAAATCGAAAAGTTGAACCTGTCCTGAGTGGAGTAACTGTCCAAATACATGTCCAAACATTTATGCAAAATCTTACTGGACCTGTGCTTTTGGCTCATTCTCTCTAGAGTCCTTGTGGTAAACAGGTAAACAAACTATGTTCCCTTGATGGAGGAACACACACATACAGAGGGCGTTCTGAGAATGTATGAACCCGGTGGACCAGTTTTACACTGGTATATAAAGTACAATATTGGTACAACTATCTGTGTTGCTCACACACTATGACCAGGTGTTTTTCAATCAAGTTAAAATGTAAAACACTAAATTTTTTCCTTATCCTGACTCATGCTTATTGCTTACCTCATGAGCCAGGATGAAGTATAAAATATCAATTTTAGTAAAGAAAATTACATTTTACTTTTCATTTTACCTTATTACTATACAACCTTGTGACAACTTTTCAAAATGACGTATAAAGGTTTTGTGCCACTTTAGCAATTTTCCAGCAATATCATGGCGGGAAACTAGAAATGGACTTCACACACATTGTAGCCATGTGGGGAATCAAACCCTGGTCTTCAGTGTGAAGAGCAAGCGCTTTAAAACAACTGGGCTACCCGCTTTCGCCCCTTGTAAATTATATCTGGTCAACATGTATTCACTTGTGTATATAGCATTCAATGTGTTCTTAAATGGCATTATTACTCTGTATGAATACCCATGCATTTGCTGTATAAGCAGCTTCTGTACAAATCACAAACCCAATGACCATCAAAGAAGGAGACTTTATTAGCTGACAGTAACATGATTCCAAAACATTCACATTTCAATCCATATTTTCTAATTTCAGCATCTGAATGAAGTCTATTCTCTGATAATTTATTGTCATAATCTCTGATAAGTCTTACCGTGATATTACTGTCTATATGTCGAATTTTGAGGACCCAAAAGTAGCAGTCTGTAGAGGGGTCGCCTTATCCATGGGTTCACGTTTTAAGTCAAACTTTTTCCCAGGGTAAGAAAACAACATCATATCACTTAGTGAACAAACAACAGAAGACGACTTTGTCAGTAGAGATGTCAAATTTGCAATTAAACATCACTAGACAAGATTATTTAAATTTTAAGTTCTAAGTTGTTATATTTATTTGCAGGGGATTAAGATTACCGTGTGTATCTGAGCGGAAATAGCAATCAGCTGTGCACATGTTTCCTCGCGATCAAGCTCAAACATGCTAATAATATATACGGCGGACTAATTCTGGACGAGCATCATCAGTAAAATATAATACAGAACACTAGGTATTGTTTTATTAGCATCTACCTCTTTGTATTGTTTCCGCTGTGTGTTGGGAATGCAGTACTTATTAATGAGGTCAGAGGTTACCACTAGAGCAATGGGACTGCCAACACGCTGCTAGGTAGGGTGAGTTAGCACAAACAGAGAACACTGTCATGTTGTTCATAGCATTTTGATATTTCACTGCAAATGTTCAAGGTGTGTGTCTTGTTTTATATATGTTGTCGATAGGACCTATACTTATATGATATCAATAACAGTTATCGGTCAGAAATCTTTAACTGGAAGTCTATCTTGAACTGTATGTGTTTTACATACTTACGATTTTCTCTCACCATTCTACTTTGACAGTATTGTAATTTTATATACATTGTATATTTATATACTTATCCTATCTCACAGCGATGGATACCCACCTGACTCTGCCCACATGACAGATTACTGGAAGCTCAAGGCGAATGACAGGCACAGGAGCTAGTCACATGATCATCTGAGCTTGAGCTCCACTTTTACGGAGATGATTGACAGTAGCTGATGTCGGAGGGGCAGAAGGTCAGGTCAGAGGTGGTCAAGGCCAATAGATTTGATTCAACTTAGCCTACAGCGTATTCCACACATGGTGGAAGAAGAGGAGAGGTGCATACCGTGAGATAGGATAAGTATATAAATATACAATTTATAATAAAATTAACAATTTTAAACCAGCCTTTAACATGATGTTTCAAAAATATATGTATAAGCATCTAATTTACTGTTAGACTTCCACAAATCTGAGTAGCTTTATGTTAAGTTTGGAGAAGATGTGCATTAAGTTTAGATGACTTCATTAAGAATGTTTTGATAGATATTTCTTGCTATATTAGCTAATTGTCTTGACAGAGACACATTTCATAAAAACAGTACCCCTCCTGTATTAACATATATATCTTCACCAAAAATTCAGTGCAACTTGGGCCCTTGAAGATCCAAGGTTAGAATAGATCCTTCAGTAACCTAAGCTTGTCATATGAAGGCGACAAGCGGATCGGGTGGTCAGGCTAGCTGACATCATGCTGTTGATCACTGGATTGTCTGGTCCAGACTTGAATATTTACAGACTGCTGCCATACCTGTAATATTGCTGAGTGCAGCGTAAAACTGAACACACTCACTCACTCACTCACTCACTCACTCACTCACTCACTCACTCACTCACTCACTCAATGCAACTTAATGTCGTATTTAAGTTCAGCTTGCAGCACTAACAGAGAAACATTGACCTTGCAATATTCAAATATTCAAATGTGGTTAGATTTTCCTTAACTTCTTTCAAACAGTTTATTTGTGTACATACTGTATTATTTTATTGCATTTATTTCACATGTATGTGTAGATAGTATTAAATATTTGTCATGCTCGTTAAGATAGTGTTGATATCTTAATATTGGAAATGTCTGTAGAAAGACACTCATTTATCAATTGCTCTAGTGGGCCCACCAGCCTCTGCCTTGAAAGAGGCGATGACATCACTGGTCACTTGAAGACTTGATTGTATGTTGTTGTGTAGATCAGTGCTCATTATGTCAACCACTGGGTTGCGGTTCCAGAATTATCACAGACTGACTGTGGCATTCAACAACTAGTCTGTTAACCAAAGTCAACATGTCTCTTTTTTAAATATCATGATGGATACATATTGTATCTTGTTATCACTGTATCGACATACCCTACAGTATAGGAGAATATTCTGTGCAATAACAGCATTGTAGAAAGACTATTTTTATACCAACGCCAGTGAATCTACTCTCACCATGTGTTTATGTAGTGTAGAGGGGTTACGGATGATGCTTGATGTTTGTCCCTCATTGTTCATATGTTTGATGTGCTTATTTATATCTGCCATTTTATAATGGTTGGGGCCGGTGGGGTAGCCTAGTGGTTAAAGCGTTGGCTCGTCACGCCGAAGACCCGGGTTCGATTCCCCACATGGGCACAATATGTTAAGCCCATTTCTGGTGTCCCCCGCCGTGATATTGCTGGAATATTGCTAAAAGCGGCGTAAAACTAAACTCAGTCAGTCAGTATAATGGTTGGTGTTCCTTCAGAATATTTTGCTTTGTGTAACAAATCCTAAATCAGCCATTACAAGATGTTGTATACTGAACAGCAAAAGAAACGCAAGTCTGGCTTTTTGTCAAGTTTTTGAATTGAAGACAACCCAAATTATGTCTAATCGTTTATTCTATAGAAAGCACTGTCAGTGTAACAGCTAAACGTTGCTGTCGACATTGAATTGCAATAAGTTCAAATTAATCACAGTCCGTCAAATAGTGATACCCCCGAACGCGAAAAGTGACAGTCTCTTTCGTAGCGCGTATAGCCACCTTGAGCTTGCACACAGGCCGTGCAACGTGGCCTCATTGAGTTCACAAGAGTCTGAAAGAATGCCTGATGCAACTGGTTCCGCTCAAACACCAATCTCTATTCCAATTGTGCAAGTGTGAGTGGCTGTCTACCTGCAGCAATCCTCCGTCCAATTTTGTCCCAGAATGTTCAATGGGAGCCATATCCGGGGAAAGAGACGTTAATGTTGTTCTGAGCCAGATAATCCATCGACACCCTTGCTGTGTGAGGGCTACAAACGTCGCTGGCGTTGTTGACGTGCCAAAATTGGCCCCACATATGGTCTTCGGCAGTGAATTCCAGCAGCCCGAAGATCGATGCCTAATCGTATCGCTTGGCACTGCTCCCTGACCCAAAGAACTAAGGCTGCTGTTACTGTTGCTGCTTGAGTTCGGTTCCTTAGATGAGTGACCGATGAACCCGATCTTAAGCATGAGTTGTCACTGCTGTCGTGCCCGTCCGGTATGCCGACGGGGACGATCAGCAGCAACCCGCTTTGCTGATGACGTTGGAGCAAGTCGCGGTGATGGTGGTAAAGATGACTGCCCAATTGGCTGCTTCAGCGGTTGCAGTGCTACCCCGCAACTCTTTCAATGGCCATTCCCTCTGCTCACTCGTTAGTCTAGGCATCGTTTATGTGGCGTGTACACCTCC